TCAGGCACTTTCTTAAGTTAACGTTGTGTGAATCGCTCGTTCACCACCGCTGATGAAACCCGCGATGCTGTTCCCACAGCGCGGTGAGACGGAATGCGTCGCTGACAATTTTTCCACCCGCGCACGTGAAGCAGAATTCGTTTTGAAGACGCTGACTTGCGGATGAGACTTAGCATTACGCACAAAGCATAGTGGTTTATTTAGTGTTCAGTGTAAGCTTGCCTATGACCAAATCTCCCGTAATGTACTCGATATGAGATTTCAGAAAGCTAAGCAGGTGTTGAGCCCAATAGTGCTTGGATGGGTGACCACCATGCATAAAATAGGTGCTACAGGTTGCTACATGGCTGTGTGGTGGACAGCAGAGGATGGTGCATCAAATTGTGTTGATGTATTCCACAGTACTTGTGTTCTGCCACGTCTATGCCCTCTCTCATGCAGCAACCCACACTGACCAGCGTGATGACATGTGACCGAGTAGCCGCCGTGATCCGCACAACGCTGGAAGGCCCTCATTCAGCAGTGGATTGGAAAGGGTCTGTACATGTCGTGGGATCCCTCTCTTAAGCCGTCACTCTTCTTGTGATGCTCCTCCTGCTGTATTGAGCATGCCAAGAGCTTTGATATGCAGCTTGGCATGGATTTAGCTGCTGCTAGCTTCTCATTGATGTGGTGTTAAAATCACAAGCCCCTTCTTACCGCAGGGCTTGCTTAAAGCAGCTTAAATGGGGTAATTATTTTATAGTCCTGCCCTGTAGAGTTGCTAAGGTGTTTAGTATTTAATATTAACAAAAAAAATCGGCTTTCGAAGGATTATTCACATTTGAAAACCATTAACTTCTGTGTTAATATTCGATATACAGGAAAAAAAATTGTATAAGGTAGTAAAATGTCCACATTTGATGCCTAATGTACAATTTTTTTTTAAAAATCGTGCATATATACAGTACTGCATATATATGTTCATAAACATTTATTTTTATTTTAGCCAGAGGTAACCAAATGTCTCACAAGTCCAAATGGTGAGCTGGTGTCTATGAGATATAGGGTTCGAATCCAGGCAGCATATTATGATTAAACCAGCTTCTGAAGTGTAGCAAGTTGACGTTTTCACCCGGGTAACCAATTGCTGTGTAGAAAAAAAACCCCAATATGGGACTTTTCATGCCAGTATCAAAATATAAGAATAGGTTTTACCCTTTCTGGCAATAAAACAGGTGTTAAGATGTTTAAACACCAAACAGAAACCTTTTGTTGCAAGGAATCCTGTCTGCATTAACCACACGTACTTGTGGTGAACATGCAAACAAAACACATGCTCTGATAATTATATATTGGCATTGTCTTGGAAACTGATTGGTCCAGAGACAGCTTTCTTTAGAGCCTCGTCTCAAAGTGTTCGGGTAAAACCTATTCTTAAAAAAAAACCGATGTGTGCTTAATTTGGTTAAATGCCAGCTCTGAGGTATATAAAATGTCATTTCGTAATGCGACGAACACTGCTCTAAAATTGCAAAACGTTTCGAAAAGGTCACTTCAAGCGATGTCCGAAGTAGCCACGATTGGCTCACGGTGACGACATTATCTCGCTCTATTTAAGAACGCAAGCAGGTGGATTGCTTCACTATTCTTGCAAATCGCCCGATGATGCTGGATGCAATTACTTGCGAAACGTCGTACTCAAATTGTAAATGTGGTGCGTTTACTCTCCAACACACTGGTGGGCTGCAGTAGTAACTAATTGGCACATTTTTGCTTACGTGACAAACCTTACTGGTTGTGTCGGGTGGTGGAGGGTTACGACACATTTATATTTACCCAATAACCTTTATTATGAATAGCCCTGTGATGTCTGCTTTTGGGGACCACGCTCTAACTCGAACTGTTGCGCTGCTGTGCGAGCGATCTGAATCGATATTTCCAAGCATGGAAAAACAAAACAAAGGAAGAAAAAATATTTGTATTAGCTTGTTGGTCTCCAGTTGTGTGTTGCCATGCCTCCCTGAAGCCGCAATGATTTCCTTAAGGAGGTTCAGTTGGAGGCAGAGCACACTGGAGTGAGGACACGAGGCGTCGCTTCATGCTCCACAGAAAACACTTCGCTGAGCCTGTGTGGCTTTCTCTGTTACTGATGCCTTATGTTAATGACTATCTAAGATGGGCACTGGTGGGCCAGTGATGCCCCAGGAACAGCACTAGGATCTGGGTCCATGTGCCCATGGTCAATCAATGAACCATGAGGTTCAATGGGCTCAATCCGCCCCCTCCCCCCCCCCCCGCTCCTTTTCTGAGTTTATCATCTTCACCGGTCATGATCTATCTACTGTAGGATGAAAGCCTCTCCATGCTGTCGCCATCTCATGATCCTGCAATGTGACACTCATGGCTTAGACTTTGACTAAAACATCTTTATTCTTACGTTTTGTATTTTCAACGCTGCGATATGGCCGGGAAGGTGAACCATGCGAGTGGTGTCACAGTGCACGTGTCTCCTGTTCACCCTGTGACATTGCGACTGGTTCCAGGATCATCCCAGCTCTAGGTTCATGGATCAGTATGGGAACGTCTATTGATTAACCAGTGCTGGTGGTACACGCTCTGAAATTAAATTATCCAAGCATCTCCGTGCAAGTTCCTCTTGAACAGGAGTCTTGTTTTTTAATGTATGAACTGTTTTCGCACCGTACGTAGCCAACCGCGATAATTGGAGGTACGAGGGAAGGACATCAAGCTAAACATAAAAAGCAGTTCTCGAGAAATGAGATTTCAAAAGAATCCACAAGGCTTTCTTGAATACACAAAACAGCGTTATCATTATATGGTGTGTTATAAAGAAGGACCGTTGCCTTAAGTGTGACCTGTGAAATATTTCTATATTATTTAAATATATTTTAAGATATTTTATTTCTATATATAATTTTAAGGCAGTATTATTGATGAACGTGTTGGGTGTTTTTGTTGCTAAACTGGAATTGGTATGGACAGAGTAGGAAACGTGCAATGGGAGAGTACGTCCACCATGAAGATGAAGTGATGCAATCCGCTCGTGTGCAGTTGCCAGGTGGATTGTTGCGTTGGGAGTGCGTGAGTGCATGACAGATGGCAACGGCTTGGGAAGGCCATGATACAGCAATCGAGATATCATGGCTGATGATGAACAGTCTAGGCTGTAGTCCAAATGTGATATTTTGGACCCCATTCTGGCGCAACTTCTATACCAACACGGCTCCCACTTAATTTTAGATTTGAAGCTTTCGTGACTGCAAGGATTCATACTCTTACGTTTTTTTCGGTAAAGTCACGTAAGTAAAAATAAATTAAAAGTTAATAAAAGTAATAATGGAAATAAAATAAAATAATGAATCACGACGTTTCGGAGGCAACACAAGTCTCCGTCATCAGGTGGGACCGTCACTTGATGCAGTAATTTTAGCTGTGATGGTCCCACCTGATGACGGAGACTTGTGTTGCCTCCGAAAAGTCGTGATTTATTATTTTATTTTATTTCCATTATTACTTTTATTAACTTTTATTTTATTTTTACCAACGTGACTTTACCGAAAAAACCTAAGAGTATGGCTCTCACTGGCCGCGGAGATGAAGGCCCCATGTATCCTCGCGTAATAGCCTTCAGCAATTTCGGTCGGTGTCAAAACGTCCAATCAAACTGTGAGGCACAAATCTGGCTGTCACTGCCGTGGGTTTCAGGCAATTTCCGACACGGGTCAGAAAGCACGGCCTGTGACTTCATCCTAACATCGGGTGGAAAGAATTCCCAACAAGAGTCTTTCTTCAAAGTCGTGCCATTTTTTTCAAAATATGTTTTTGAAAAGTGTATGCGAGGAATGTGACTGTGTTGTTTTTGGTGTGCTCACAAATGGCATTTCTACGGATTCCATGGATTGGGGATTTTGAATGCTGCTTCACAGTGGCACATGCGTTGTTGGAAATTAATATGAAAATGCTTGAAAGAGTATATACCAACTGGAGCAAAATATGTTAATCCGGTTTTAATTACCCTTGGAATATTTTCTGCTCAATCTTAAAAACTATAATCCATCTGCCACACGAGTTATTTTAATATGACTACTAATAATGTATAGCCCTTTGTTGGTCCACTTCTGGTTTGAAGGCTTTCCCATGCCGTGTCAGTCGTGGGCATTGCTTGACCTTACTTCACCACCCCGGTCAGTGCAGGTTGTAAAGATGGGGAAGGGAGCATAGATATTGGCGCATTGTACAGTACAATAATGGATTTTGCTACATCCGCCCTCTGCCATCACACATGTTACATCCACGTCATCAGTCACCTATGCAAGCTACGATCCAGGCTGCAAAACCTGCTTGGCTTGCGAGATCTGTCGAGACAGGGGGGAGGGCCTTTGGGATGATTCAGTCGCAGGCGAAACGCAGCGTCACGCGACACTCAATCGATTCCACTCGCTGCGACCTCGTCTTTGTCACCTGGAGCTGCGTCGCGAGGCACGGCCTCTCGAGCTCGTGGCGTCCTCCTCGTGAAATCTCGCGTTGGAAGTGTGAAGGTCGTTGTCGCCCCCGATGTCCCTAAGTCCCGACTGCGTCCGGCCACCCCCCTCCTCTCGTGGCGCTGTGTCAACCGTCATTCCATCGGCACTCGACTCCTGGCCATGCATTGTCGTGAGTGGTGTGTTATTTTACGGTACTGACAAAAAACTGACTTTTAATATCCCGGAAAGACTACCTTGACAAGAGGACCATCCTGGAAAAACCAGGACAGGTGGCAACCCTATGACCTACGGGCACATGAGGCCAACTACTTCGAAATGGCTGATGATTGATATTCATCCATCACTATGGGAGAATATAGTCCACACCAATCGGTACCGGAGTGGAATATTGTTTCGACCTGGCAAGGGACTCCTTTAGAGTTGGTCAACGCGCTCCTTGTTTTTCGCATTTAACCCCCCTCCCCTGCTTCCCTCCCCCACCTCCACTATCCCCCCCGGCGGTCATGGCGGCAGGGCCCCCGTGATCTCGGCGAGCCCGGTGTTCCCGGACGTGTCCCTCCTGCGCTTCTCTCCGCACCACGCGCCCGTCCTGGAGACCCCAGTTCGGCAGCGCCCATGCGCAGGCGCTCGTGGGGCCCTATGTGGACCAGTACCTGCGCTCCGTGCATGGGAGCCCATCCTTGTCTGTCATCTCGGCTGCCCGGGGACTCAGCCCCGCGCATGGTAGTGTAATTGCTCACTCGCTCGCTCGCTCACTTAATGGTTCGCTTCCTCGCTTGCACATTCACCTAACTCGCTCACTAATTTGCTTGCTCACTCAGAAACCCACTCACCTGTCTCAATCATCCACCCACCAACTCACCGATTCACTCACTCACAAACTGACTTACCAACTCGCTCACTTGCTCGCTCACCCACTCAGTTACTAACCTGCTTACTTGTTACAGCATACACTCGCTCCCTGACTCACTCATGAGCCCTCTCACTCAATCGCGAAACTTACCAAATGACCCACTTACCTGCTCGCTCACAAGCACACTCATGCGTCACAGCCCACAGGGGCAAGAGCGGAAGGTTCCCCTTCTTTCAATGTCTTCTCACCTGGCTTAACGTAAAGAAAACAAACGCTGCCGCGACATCTCGTCCCGATCTAGGTTCATGATTACGCCTGTGGCTCATCGACGCCCCCCCAATCTCCCTTCCTTGCGCCAGCCCCCCATGACGGCCTGAAGGAGCGAGGAGCGTACCCCTTCCCGACGCCGCCGCCGCCACCCCCCGCCGCCGCCGCCACCGCACCCCGCGTCCGCCAGCACGGCCGCCGAATATTACCAGCAGCTGGCACTGATGGCGAGCCACGGGGGGGCGGGCTACGCGGGCGGCTTTCTGCCGCACCACGCCGCTGCCGCCGCCGCCGCCGCCGCCGCTGCCGCCGCCGCTGGACCGCCCCCCTCCACGCTCGACTTCATGCGCCACCTGGAGAGTAAGACGCTGGCTGAGCCCCACGGATATTTTCTTTGGCTCCCGGCCTCATTTAAGACGGGCCTTCTCAACTCCAGGCCTCACGATCTCCCATGGTCCCTTGGCCGTACGATGACCATGAACAAAAATAACTCTTAATCCATTGCTGGACAAGGGCCTCCCCACTTTGTGTCGGTCACAGGTGTCGGTCACGACCAAGCTTCACCTCGCTGATGAATGATGGTTGCAGTAGGATGGCGGCCCAGCACTGGTTCAGAAATTGCTCTCCACTGATGTTAGCAACCAGTGGCCCGGATTCGAACTTAAAGTTACCGGGTTCATAGCGCAGCGCACTAATCATTGCGCAACTGCTTTACAAATATGCAAATTATGCTAGTTCACACTGTACACACCTGATAAGTGGTAATCAAAGAGAAGGCCATACCATGGGTGGGGGAGTGGTGGTCAAGAGGACTGGGGTTGAGAAACAGGGGTGTAGGAGACACGCGGCGGTGGCGGCGGCTGCTGATTGTACACAACGGGCGGGAGGAGGGTTGTGCTAATCTTTCACCGGATTCCAAAAGCTATTTCACGACACTTTCCCCGCTCTTGGATGTCGTCCCTGCTGGGAGTCAAGGCATTGATCAGTCCGCTCCAAATTATTATATAGAATAACAGTCTGAATTTTTTATGAAGCATATAAATGCGACTGCATCTCAAGATGCTTTGTAAAAAAAACTTGGGCATTATTACATTCTGGTGTATAAAGATGATTTTTAGTATTTTGAATGAAGGGGAGGAGAAGTTAGGAGGAGCAGAGTAGATAACGGTTTCATCTCTGTAGCCAAAACTTAAGTTTTTCCATGGAATCAGCTGAGCAGGAAACAATTCCTGGGGAAAATTACTTCTGTGCCGAGCGAGACTTTCGAATTGATGGTAGCGGTCAATCATAGGCAGACGGAAAAGAGGTCTCATAGCCTGGACTTTAAATCAAGGGTCTGCCCTCCTCGTGTAGTAGGTTAATTGCCACCACCAGCCCCGTCGAGTAGAAATTACCGTAACGATTGCTTCATCGCTCCAGGGAGCGTGCATTTCACAAATGAAAATGCAATTTGTTATTTTAGAATTATTTAATCCTTTCAACCTATTATAACATTACCATAAAACAAAGGCAAATATTATACACTAGTTTTCGGCGGACCCACGATTTTTTGGCAAAGGCTATTTGGGCGGGTAATAAATTATCGTGAAAAATAAGCCAATGTGGCAGGTATGTGAAGCGTGGCATTTTGGAGTGCTTGGCGCCAGCTCTCCGTGCATAACCCCGTGCATTTCTTTCTGTAACCAATCACCTCCGAATAGCGTGTTCCTGCCACGAATTTGAAATCCTTAATATTACATCCATTCCCCGCGTGACAGGGTCATACATCTCAATCTGAGCGAGCAGACGCGTGGCCTGCCTTTACCCGCGTGCATATAGTCGCTTGGCAAGGGGTTTCCCCCCCCCCCCCCTTTTTTTCTTTTCGGGGCAAGGAGATCGGTGGAGACGTTGAGAAGAGGAGGTGGCGTGGGAGAAGTGGTGGTGGTGGTGGGGGGCGTTGGAGGGTGGTAGTGGGGGGGTGGAAGTCTTTAGGAGTGGTGGGGAGAGGCAGGCGTTGAGTTCGGCTGAATTACGCTGAATTAATGATGGAGGCGTTCAACCGCTGCAACGCGATCGTAAATCAAGTGGTGGGGGGTGGGGGGGGGGCCGTGGCGCGGGAATGCCGGCGAGCAGCCTGGAGTCACTCAGCCCGGGTTAGCTGACGTCGTTATTAATACAATGCAGGTGGCGCGCTCTCTAATCGCCCCTCGCATTCCCGTGGCCCGGCGCAAGTCGCTGGGACCCCGGGCGCAGCGGTGGGAACGCTTACCTTCGTTTGTCATAACTCGAGCGCGCTGCGTTTCCCTCGCGGAGTAATCGGTTGCTGGCACAATACCGCACGCCGCAATGCGTGACCTTAGCTCGCAGCACTCGCTGGGCTCGGCCCGCAGGGAAAGTTATGATGCAAGATGATGAATGCATTAATACCGAAACTAAATAAACGTTATGGTGAACATAAAGGCAGGAGTTGATGATTTGTGGGTCAATTAATTAAGTTGATAAAAAAAGCGAAGTTATGAATTGAAGAATAAAAACCAAACAATTATATTTAAGTAAAATGCGTCTTGTTTATTCAAACTTATATTTAGTTTTACATTGCAATATAATTATCAAGAGGGAGGATTAGCATTTAATAAAGGCAGGAGTTTATCATTTGTGGGTGAATTAATTAAGTTGATGAAAAGCAAAGTTACGAACTGAAGAAATTAAACCAAATCAATCTGAGTAAAATGCCTTTTAATTCAAATATATATTTAGTTTTACAATTATCAAGAGGAAGGATTTCCATCTAATAAACCTTTACCTCTCCTAGCAAAAGCTTCACCGAGCATCAGGGCTCAGTTTTCACGTCGGTCCTGTTCAGGACATTTGGCAATTTACATTGTGGATTATATTCTAAATGCAACCAACCGCATGTCTGGACGCTGTTGGAAATAGTGGGATATGCATATCGCGTGTAAAGAGGCATGGATTTATATTTATTTATTATTGATCAAATTTGCAAACGTTGTGTCTTAAGTGTATTCACATGTCGGCATGTGTGGGTGCATGTGTTTGTAAGTGTGTGCACATTCGTGGCTGCGTGTGATTATACGCGTGTTCACACAGTCCTTGCGCTTGTGCATTTCGGTGCTTGCACTGCACTTATTTGTGCTCCCGTGTGTTTGCGCGTGTGGCTGCACTGTGCGTGCGTCTGTCCGTGGCTGTGGGTGTGTTCGCGTGGCGTGCCTGCGCGTTCTTGCCCGCGCCTGCCCGCACGCACGCAAGCGTTGACTGCCGCCCCCTGAACTTTCCGCACAGCAGTGGCATCGCGCTACTCGAGCCCTCGCCCCGGCAGCATCGGCGCTCGGCTCAGCCGCAAGCGCGCGCTGTCCATCTCGCCGCACTCGGAGGGCAGTCTGGACCTGCACGCCATGATCCGCTCGTCGCCCAACTCGCTCCTCGCCTTCCTCAGTAGCTCGCGCAGCAGCTCCGCCTGCCAGTGGCTCCTACGGACACCTGTCGGCCGGCGCCGCCAGGTGCGCTGCACAGAGGCAAAGTTCTCCCGCGGGTTTAGACGACTTTGGGCTGTCGGGGCAAGTGCTGTTAGCGATCTCCTGGTGAAGGCCGGCACAGCGAATGAGAGGGCACCACGCTTGGCCACCTAATGTCTCAACTGGTCCCGCCCCCTCCATATCCCCTCGCCAATCTGCACTTACCAGTGTGGTCACACACAACCACCATGAAAAGAACAATATGAGGAGGCATTCATCCAGCAGTGGATTTCTAGAAGTATGTAATTTATAGAAATATATTTAGATGTGGGATGCTGCCGTCATGCAACGGTTGGCACAGAGGTGTCATCGTTTGCAAATCCCCCTCGCCCCCTCGCCCACCCAGCAGTACGAACAGGGGGCACCACCACAGCTCGTCATGTCAGTAGAACGAGTATGGTGGGGTATGGTGGGGTACGGTGGGGTACGGTGGGGTACGGTGGGGTACGGTGGGGTACGGTGGGGTACGGTGGGGTATGGTGGGGTAACGTGCAGGCTCCCCGCCACCTCTCTCAAGACGTCTGGTCAGGAGACCGAATACCCTCGCAAAGGGCTTTCTCTCTCGAGATCTCTCTTGTGGAGGCCCTTCTGCCAGCAGTGGCGTGATTAATAGCCGCCAGGGCTGGACCGCCTCTATATACAAGTGGGATCATTCACAGGCCTTCGCAGTCTCATATAAACCAGGTTGTCACGTGCAGCGACTTTGACAGGCTCGGTCCTGGTCACCAGTTGTACGATAAATCCCGGTTTTCACTTCAGTCAAATGAACCCGCGGATCTAAGGGGCTAAAACGTATAAACATATCGGATGATTGATATGCGGGCGAGCTGCTCTTCGCAGAGCGCGCAGGAATGCCACGTCGCTAACCCCCCCCCCACCTCCCGCTCCTAATGCGCCGACTCTCGCCGCAGTCCCAGCCTGGGTTTCGCCCACGCGGCCACGCCAGCGGCCTTCCATCACATGGTGAGCCGGCACCGTTCGGCCTTCGGACACACGCCGCCCCTGCCGCACCACCCGGCCGCCCGGCACGCGCTCACTGGCCTCCCGCCGGCGCCGCCCGGCGCCTGCTCCGAGGCCATGGAGGTAGCGAAGAAAGAAAACACGAGTGTGGAATTTGCGGTTGAGTGTCTAGAATTAATCCGAGTGTGGGAACCGGCGGTCGACCCGGTGGGTAAATATATTGGTGGTGAACGGATGTCTCAAGACCCGAGGGGGTGGGGAAAGGGTGAGGAGGGGAGGGTGGGGGGGATGGGAGAATGCGGCAGAGAGAGGGGATGTAAGCAGTTGTAATCTTTATAATGAGCAGGTAAATCTTATCAATATTATAAAATATAAATTTTTTTTTATATTTGTTTCAATCGTGGCCCTACCCGCCGCTAATGTTGAATGGCCACTGGTGGGAACGTATGCCCAGACATTACGTAGTAACATCCACCGTCATATGTCAACCCACAGGGACCTTCCTGGCACATTCCACCATGTGAGTTTCCCTTGCTTTCCCCCTAGCCCTTGACAGCAGTTGTCAGTCGCTGCTGCCAGGAGGCCCATGACTGTGACCTTGACCTTCTCCACTCACCAAGTGCTCACAACAGAGAAAAGCAGGGTCAACCACAGAGAAGAGAGACACATGACCACAAAGTCCCAGCAGAGAGACACTGATGGACTGGGTCAATCATAGAGAAGCTCGAGACACACGATGCTCAGAATGCCGTAGTTCGTGCTTCCATATCATGCATGCAGCCACACCACATTTCACTGTGAAGGTTTTACACAAAGTCACCCCATCGGTATGCCAAAACCTTACAGGGAGTATCATTAATAAAGGATTTGAGTTATAGCTTCATACCACATTTATTGGCGGCGGCTCCTGCCTGCATACGATGTGGCGGCGCTTGCAATTGTGCTCGGCGTGACGATGATGACATCGTCCGCACTGAGCCTCGTTGAAGACCGGCGCTCGCCTCTCGCCCTGATATTGATGTCATGCAGAGCAAGCCGAGCGGCGAGATGGCGGTGAGCAGCACGGGCGACCCGCAGGCGTTCACCAAGCGCTCCAAGGCCAAGAGCGAGGCGGGGGCACTGGCCTGCGCACGCGCTGCACAGGTCAGGCCACGTCCACAGCTGCCGCGCTGTAGACGTTGGGGGTGTCCAACTTGCGTACGCTTCCCGGTGGTTATTAGATTCCCAGATGCAGAGTGACTCGTGTTTACACACCGCACCTGGTATTCATTTCAGTGCGAGCTGACCTAGGGGAGACCCAGACTGAATCTCGCGAAAGCTGTGTACACCACAAATTTGTGTATTTGTTTTTTTATTTCGCGGCGGTCACGAATCTAACTCGAGTAGCCGGGTTCATAGCACGGTGTGCTTACCACCGCTCCATCCATCGCACATGACATTCAGATTCGGACATGGGCAGCAGCGCACGCGAACACCAAATTTACGGCATCTCGCCGCACCTCGGCGCACATTTCCAGTTACCCGCTGTCCCTGGCCAGTGTGGTCATATGATCGCTAAACCCTGCCTGCCCGTGCGTTATCTTCGTCTGCAGCACCAGCAGAGGATGCAGCAGGAGTTGGAGCAGAGTGGACAACTGGAGGACGACTGCGATCGCGACGAGCTGAAGCAGGAGCCCGAGGCACTTGTACGAGACGAACTGCCGCTGGGAGGAGTGCGTGCGCGAGTACGAGACGCAGGAGCAGCTCGTGCACGTGAGGCCCCGGCACCGCGCGCCACAGACCGCCGAGAACGCCGAGACCGCCGAGACTGGCGAGACCGGCAGGGCTCTCCATCTGCGTTGTTCTAATGCACCACACAACATATTTGGTGCGTGCTGGCGGAACTACATGCTGTCTTATTTCGCGCATGTACATGGCGTCTTGACGTTATAGCCTTTGTACATGACCGCTAACGTGTATCCTAAACCTCGTATCAACTGCTCTTGCATGTCTAGTCTGTTGCTATCTCATCCCACTCTGTCTATGGCTCAAAGAGCTATATCTGTCAGCGGGCTGCAGCTCAGCGGGCCACTTCAGGAGCCTTAGTGCGACCGGGCCGACACCCAAACGACTTGCTGTACTTGAGAGCACGGTTTATGGTTCGATTCAAACTTAAAATGTTAGTGGTGCCTGCTCTGTGCTCTGACCCCCGAGCCATTTGGCTACCTAATTCTTTAGTAATTTTTTTGTGTAACTCGACAGGAGCCCGGTACAAAGCAAAAAAACCGTGACCACGCAGAGAAGGGGCACACAAACTCCACAGACAAAAGCCCAGGGCTCAGTGCTCCTGAGTTAAGGAGGGGGGGGGGGGGAAATTGGGTTCACTGGCCCATCCAGGTGGGGACCGCGAGCGCAAGCATGAGAGTTTATATGCGGAGGATAGAATGGTGGTGGGGGGGACAATTTTCAGATAAAAAAAATGGACATGATAATACGAGCCGCGTCGAACCTGACCAATGAAACTTGACGGATGGTGTTAGCAGTGCTGTGTTACAAACATCTCCATCTTGGACAATAGAGGGCAGTGCATAAAATGCATTTGTTGTACTGTTCGTTTATATGCTTCCGCATCTATGCTCCTCCACCAAACCCACAGCATGACGTGCGGAGCCCAACATCCAGCAGTGGATCACAAAACGGGCAGTACATGTAGACGCATAGTAAAGAAAAAAATAAATACGGCGGATAACATTTTGGGCATTGGCTCTTTCTCAGAGCAGTTAATGTTTAAATCTGATACGCTGTTTACTGTTTGTGCGAGGAATGCGATGTCTTGAAAGGCACATGCCCTCGTCCCGCACTGTGCCCTGCACCCTTACGATTTCTCACCGCAAGACCTTTTAGTGCGGTGGGGAGTATGGGAATAGTTTCGTAAATTAACTGTGTCAGTTTTTCCTCTCGTTTCCGCGCTAAACATGGAAACCTCGCTGATTGCGCCGGTGCACATTTCTGTACACGAGGTCCCGTGGGACGGCCACTATTAGTGTGCTGAATATTTATAGGACTACATGGGCACTCTGATACACCGGGGACATTGTGAGGAAAAAAGTATACACATTGGGTACATTTTCCTTGGAGAGAGTTTAAGGCAGGATTTCGGGATTTCAAATGGATTCCAAGAAGACTTGAGCTTTCTTGTTGTGATAATGGTGATTATCATTCTTGTGAATTTATTTGTACACTGTCGTTTATAGAAGAAGAAAAAAACTGTCACGAGCGTTTTGAGTCGAGCACTTTGAAGCACAACACACAGGCAAACAGCATCCTTCACTCACTTGCGTAACCATCCAGTCTTCAGGCGGTGTAATCGCACCAGGGCCAACAGGTCGGAGGGGTCACAGCACGCACCTGGCTATGAAGATGGGAATAGATGGTCGTGGTGGGGGGGGATGGGATTGCCCAGGCAGCCCCATTTCATTCCTTGCGCCAGGGCCCATGCCAACCACGCTACGCCACTTGCCTTCCCTCCCATTGCCAGTTCCCCTACTCTCAGCGAAAAGCGCGTGGGAGGCTGTTTTCTCAAGTTTCTGCGCCGTGTACACACAGTGCCATCTGCTGGACACGATCCTCGGCGGAATGAAAACCAACGGCAACTTCGGAGCGAAGTAGAAACAAAAGCCACCGTGCTGTTGTGTCACGCTCATTTGTTTTCTTTGGAAATATTTAACGCTAGCTCCTGCCCACGGGCCTCCGCGCCTGCAGACACTACGTTACAGGGCGAGCCCTCGCGCTCCCCCCGAAGCCCCCTGGCATTTTAGGCGTTCGCGTCGGTGACGATTTGTCACCCGGGCAGGCATCAAATGCAAGTGTTGCCAATTCCATAAAGCTGAGGGTCGCCAAACAAACCCTCAAATGATCGCTCGGCAGACCTTCTAAAATTCGTCAGAAATGTCATCAGACAATGCAGCAAGTATTACATATCATAAGCTGATGCAGGACCCAAAATACGCTCTATGGAATCGCTCAAAAATCTGCATGATGTTGCAGAGAGGCGCTAGATTTATCGCTGTAGTCACTTTGGCAAAAAATTCTCAAGAGGGAGACGCAAAAAGTTGCTAGATCTAGCGAGTTGGCAACACTGGCCACAGTGAGTCGAGACTGTCCGCATACATGCACAAGTGTGCGTTTCATGGTCTCACTGAAGCTAGGCAGATTAACACAAGGAAACGAGGCCGGGGCAGCGAGGGCGAGACCACTGACCTCTGTCAGCCTCCCTGGCGTGTAAAGCATCATTGGCTGTAATAACGCAACACATGAGCCGACCCCTGCCACCCCCAGGCTGCTCAACCCCTGGCTGCTCAACCCCTGCACAACACGCATCTCCCACGGAGAGGGGGTTAAAAGTAGGGGAAATTCTATTTTCAGACGCTTCTGTCACTGCAGATTTGCCAAATCTAAATTCGGCTGTACCTCAGCCCAGATACACCGTCTGCATCCAGGCCAAGTGTGCCACGTTTAGATTTGGAAAATCCACACTGACAAGACCTCAAAATAGATCGGACCTGCTTCTACACAGTCCAGCTCCCACGCATCCTTGACGAGGGGTTTCACATTACGAGCCCTGTCGGAGTATGATCTGCCACTCCGTATCAGTCGGTTCAATTGTCCCACCTTTGTCAGGTTGGCAATCTAAACTTTGGGCACTCTTTTAAATGATTAATTCACACCCTCCAAGTCTGTCGTCAGCGCCGTGCCCCAGAGCTTCTCGGTAAGAAGGACCCATGCAAGCGGTGGTGATTTCATAATTACCGAGCGAGCCCTGCCAATTGAGCGGTGGCGAGCATGGCCCCCGGTACCCACTCACCGAGTCTCAGTGAGAGATCGCACAGCCCACAGGCTAATTTGTTTTTTGGGTCACTTGCTGCGCCCAAGCCAGCGGAGTCGAGTTACGTGCGCGAATGTGAAATTGTTTGGGAGCGAGCAGCACCCCCCACCTCCCCTGCCCCCCACCAATCCGCTCTCCCATTCATCCCACTGTAATTACCGCGTGCCGGTCAGCTGTCGGCAGTTTTGTTATGTAAAGGGCAGTGCGCTGACAGTGAGTGGCTTGTGGGTAATGTTACAGGCAACGCAGGTTTAGTCTCAGATTATGTTACCTAATGTTCTTTAGGGCCGCACTGAAGGCTGCGCCAATTTTGAATCTCGAAAAGCGTGAACGATGGTTCCAGAGCCCCGGTGTTCAATGAGGAAAACGCTCCGTTGGAACTTCTGGTTTCCATTGGCGCTCTTTGAAAACCGCTTACTTCCTCTAGTAAAATTTTTGTTCACGTTCAGGGTAATGCGGAACACCTGGGCACAGCTTAACATGGTCTGCGGCAACACACTGGGACAGAGATTGTGCACCTATGCTGTGGATCGAGATGAACAAATGGAAATAATTTAATATACTAATCAAGTAACTTATATGTGGTCCCTTCCAATTCACTGTGCAATCACCTTATGAAAATTACCAAATGTTCTTCATTAGCAGCCTCGTCATGTGAGCATCGTTCCTTCTTTTCATGTCGGGTTGAAGCTATGCATTCTGCTGCTGCTGGCTCAATGTTTTAATGTTCTCCATCTGCTTTCTTGTGGCAGGCGATCAAACTAGAAAGTCAGATTGGTTTTCTGTGCGTGAATGTGTGGGTGCACACAGCCATCAGTCATAAGGTTCTGAGCATTCACTTTCTCCACGGTGACCTTCACGCAGAATAACTCTCAGCACTGAATGCTAATCCGTCAGTGACGTTTGTTGTCACAAATGTGCCAGAAGCTGTTGGTCAATCAATCGGATTTTTAACTACAAACAAGTCACCTTGAATGCATCTAATCTCGGAAACGAAACAAATTGAAGCCTGTTTCGTGCTTGTATGGGAGACTGCCTGGGTGGCCAAAGGATGGCTTTACAGAAATTCTTGAATCTATCTGTGCACAGCTTTGAGAGATCCCTTCCATATTCGTGGTGGCTTTTTTCTGCATACTCCATTTACCTTACACCTCCCAAACACCCATCTCTTGCATGGAAAATCTCGTTAAGGTGGTCCAATCTGAATGCAACTTTAGTATCAAGTTGTGTTGCTGTTAGGCACTTACCTGTTGAAAACCGGTCAGATTGACTGCACAGAATGCGCAAAACGCTAACACCCCATCGTCCGCCCTGTCCCCCCTTGCAGCACATCAACAACGAGCACATCCACGGGGAGCGCAAGGAGTTTGTGTGCCGCTGGCGCGACTGCAGCCGGGAAAAAAAGCCGTTCAAGGCGCAGTACATGCTGGTGGTGCACATGCGGCGGCACACGGGCGAGAAGCCACATAAGTGCACGGTGAGATGACGGCGCTGCTCACTTGGCATGCACGCCTAGTTTAGGCGTGCAACACTTGAACTAGGCCTGCACGCATGAACTAGGGGTGCCACGCTTGTTGTAAGTGGTAGGCTGTCAATTGTTGAACCCTTTTACAGCATATCCATTTTAAAAGTAACAAAAATTGTGGCTATATTTGAAAACGAATACAGAAAGTAGGTAAGCGGTAAAAGAGTGTTTAAATATCGGCAGTCTACCGCTTATGGTGTCTTGAATATGGCTGGATGACTTGCAGTGCATAAGTCCGTGTCCACGTGAAATTGCCAAGAAATGGCTTCAGTTGCTATGCAGATGATTTCTAATTGCCTATGTTGAATGTGGTTCAGTACGCGGTCAATAGTCATTCGATGAATTGTCATGATCCATGCAGGCAATTCGATTCAAGATATATATACAGCAGTCTTTTTAAAATCTAATTTCTACCATGTCATTTGTATTGTTTGTCTGCTAAGTTCTTACTTTTCACTTGTTAGTACTCTCATCCAAAAGCCATGGTAGCACATGATAATTTTAGAATATGTCTATAGCCTAAACAATCCGTTCTCACATTCGCAATTCAATGCGTGTAACGTGAGCATAAGAATCAATCTTAATCTATGAACATGCCGAGTAGGAACCTTGATGGCTAGAGATGTGTGTGTCTTACACCTATGCTTGTGTAGCGTTCAGAAAATCGCACCAAGAAACGATTTCCTTTCATTATGCTGACACGGCAAGAAGAATAAAATTAACACGCATCACCGAAATGACGAGATGGCATTCGTGACTGTTCATTTTTAAATCCTTTATATTAAGTTCACTTGCGCGCTTGCTTGCTTGCTTGCGCGCTTACGACCGTGCAAATCTTTCAGTCGTTTTTTAACCCACTTCCCGTGATCCAATCGAGCTGACATTTTGCACACAAACTCGTTGTGCGTGACAATGTATTTTCGTGAAAATTTTTTTTCCAAAATGTTACACTTTTTAGGAAAAAAAAAATTATATTTAATTACCAATTGCTTAATGGTGGCAGGCAATCATCTGACCCATAGGTGGCAGCCATCTCAAGCCAGAGGACGAGAGGACTCTAGCCGCCACGCATATAAAGGATTTATAGTGAAAAACTTTGTTTTTACGGGTTAATTTTTTTGTTGCCGTCGTCATTGGCAGTTTGAGGGCTGCGCCAAAGCCTACTCTCGCCTGGAGAACCTCAAGACGCACCTGCGCTCACACACGGGCGAGAAGCCGTACGTGTGCGAGCACGAGGGCTGCAACAAGGCCTTCTCCAACGCGTCAGATCGCGCCAAGCACCAGAACCGCACGCACTCCAACGAGGTGACTCCGCACACCGACGCCAACGCCTCTTCAAAACGGTCGGAAAACCTTTTCACGTTGTCAGAACCCCGGCGTGCCAGCGTCATGGCTTAATTTCAGCTGGGTCTGGTCTGGGTCAGTGACCCGGATAATATTTCTGCACAACACGAACTATACCTGTTGCTATGTGGCCACCCACCCACTGCAGATCTGCCTTTAGAAATATACGGTGAGAAATTAAGACCTGGCTGGTGTTTCAGTGGCCGGCACTAAGTTTAACACGGAGGCTTTCGCGACCAATATCATCCATAATACAGGTTTCTTGGGTTAGATCAGGTAAATATATAAATGTGTCGTTAAACCCGCACTAAATCCGTTATGCTCACGTGATATGTCCAGATGAAGCGAAGCGTTCGCTGTGATGTTGATCCGGACAAAGATTGACGACACGGCAATTTCTTCCACTGCCAAAGAGACACATGGTGCCGTTGATAATTTCCCTTTAAATTTTAAGTCATGGTTTCTATAATGCTTAGCGTTATTTGTTGTCCGTAATCAGCAATATGCGGTCGTGGTTATTAGAGGTGTAATGATGCATTGATTCAATTATTATGATAGTATTTAGAATTTTTTTATTCATCATGCATGCAATTGAATTGCGAATTGCACGCATTAGAAATCGGTGAATGTTTGCATGCAGTGAGGTCCACGTCAAGCTCCGCTAGACACTTGCGGCTGCTAAATTCACCACGGTGTAAGAAAAACTTATCGATTGCCAGTTCAAGTCATGAACATTAACGATGCTGGGGAGTTGGTGAATAATTCCAACTCTAATGGCTGTGTGCCTTATTACGTATTGTTAAAATTACATTAGATATTGCATCACAAGCAGAGGGGCCTCCCCCCCTGGGTGGTCATGAATAAAGGAATTAATTAATTCTGGCCAACATAGATTGTTCGAATTCTCTAGACACTTTTAAAAACGCTGTGAGCAACCACAATGTTCCGTGCGGTGTTTTACGATAATACAAAAAAATGTAATTACCGTCATGTACGTTATTTACAACAGATTACAACGTGGTAATTTCTCAGCCTACATCAAATGCATTGCATGCAATGGTAACCTTGGATACAGTTTCGCGTTTTTGCGAGTCCTTTTAACGGACAAACCGGTTCCCGTCATGAAAATATGGAATTTCCACCTCTGATGCAGGACTGGCAAAGAAAGGCTTTTGAGTGCCGCGGCATTTGTCCATTTGCAGGAGTTTGCTTTGTCCCTCACATTTGGAATCGTGGGTGCATGTAATAAATGTATTTTTAATCTTAATTGTAAACTACTGAAAATATATTAATAAAGGTTTCCAGTTGGGGGGGGTTGTTACCATCCCCGTGCCCCCCCCCCCCAAACACCGCCCATGATGCTCCCCATCTTCCCCAACCAGCACTGACAAGCGTGGTGAGGCATGGCGAGATAACAGTGTGAGGAGGCCCTTATCCCGCAGTGGACTGATTTAAAATAGTCTCCACCATGGCTTGTGCCATGCGGGCCAGCAGGCAACACAGAGCGGTTGAGCGAGCGAGGGACGCCTCCACTAACAGCGGCCGCACGCCATCCCCCTCCCCCACCCCACCCGCGTCCGCCCCGCAGAAACCGTACGTGTGCAAGATCTCGGGCTGCACCAAGCGCTACACGGACCCCAGCTCCCTGCGCAAGCACGTCAAGACGGTGCACGGGCCCGACGCTCACGTCACCAAGAAGCAGCGCGGCGCCGGCGATGCCCCGACTCCCCGCGCGCCCCCCGGGGCCGGTGGAGGCGGCAGTGGCGGCACCAGGGACGGCGCCGGTGCGACCAGCGGTGGCAGAGGGGGTGGCGGCGGTGCCACCGCGGGGAAGCTTGGCATCAACAGCCCGGGATCAGCACACGGGGAGCAGAGGGGACGTGATGCGGAGGATGGGCAGATTCGATCGGTGAAGACGGAGAAGTCTGTGGTGAGCAGGAGGGCTGGAGGGTGCTGAAGGCTAAGCCCTCCCTTTTAGATTCTTATAGTCAAGACCGAACATTGTGGTAGATGTACATGGGCATATCCTCGCATAGGCAGGGGGTGGTGAGAGTCAGAGCAGAATGCACGATAGAAAAAAACAGATCTTAACGTTACTCAATCTGTATTTAGATTTGTTTAAAGTTTGCTTAGCACTGACCGCACGGGGAGCGGAGTGGCTTAGTTTTTCGTATGCCCCCACTTTAATAAAAAAAGATCACTCTACAGGGTCGGGTATAAAGCGAGTCAAGGATGTTGTGCTCTCTCGCTGTCCCACCACCTACGCGTGGTCTCAGCCAGCACCTGTGTTAAAGAAATGTGAATGAATGTTCATGCTGACCATAGGGCTCTGCATGTACACACAGTCCACGGCGTCGCAGTGTATAGAGCAACAGTTATAACGCTCGTACACAGGGCTGCTAGTCACCAGTCCTATTTCATAACTGACCATTTGTTTATTTAACACTGACCAAATAAGGAATGAGAGAGCGCCTACTGTAAATATTGTTTCCATCGTCCGTTGCCTTCATTTGATGCGAGTCGGTTTAAAACCATAAAAATGACAGCACATTTTCTCGATAGTGTATATTAATGTGTTTTCATTGCCCTCCTTTGCCTCAGTATGATTTGTGATTTGGCTTAAGAAATCGTAGCGTTGACTCTGTGCCAGAATCTCTCAGTTAGTCAGAGGCCACCACAGAATGTGTCAAAATTAGTAGATGAGTGGCTGCTGGCACGGCGCCCTGCTTAAACGAATGCACATTTTGACTTGCGAGGCCCGGAGACCTTGGCACTGAAAACAACACCGCTCGGCCGCTCGCTCAGTCGTTCGCTCACTCGCTCGGCCGCTCTTTCCGCTGCTCACTCGGTCTCTTGCTCAGTCGCTCGCTCCGCCGCTCGCTCAGCCGCTCGCTCAGCCGCTTGCTCAGTCGCTCGCTCGGTCGCTTGCTCAGTCGTTCGCTTGGTCGCTTGGCTGCTCGCTCGCTCGCTCAGTCGTTCGCTTGGTCGCTTGGCCGCTCGCTTGCTCGGCCGCTCTTTCCGCCGCTCACTCGGTCTCTTGCTCAGTCGCTCGCTCCGCTGCTCGCTCCGCCGCTCGCTCAGCCGCTCGCTCAGTCGCTCGCTCGGTCGCTTGCTCAGTCGTTCGCTTGGTCGCTTGGCTGCTCGCTCACTCGCTCAGTCGTTCGCTTGGTCGCTTGGCCGCTCGCTTGCTCGGCCGTTCTTTCCGCCGCTCACTCGGTCGCTCGCTCGCTCAGCTGCTCACTCGGTCGCTCGCTCGGTCGCTTGGTCGGTCGGCCACTCGCTCAGTCGCTCGCTCGCTCGGCCGTGCGTTTGCTGCTCGGGCTGCGCAGCTCCTAAATTGGCTGCATTTCAGTTTGAGGTGCTCAGCCAGTCAACATCTTTATTTATCCTGGAGAAATCCGATGAGCTATGAAGCTCTTTTTCACAGATGTCCAATGGTGTAGGTGGCGGGAGCACTTTGCGGCTCATTCACGCATTTGGTAGCCCGTTAATGTCGTAAGCTCATTTCACTTTCACGTGTTTATGCATGACAAGCAAAATGGTGGTGTCGTTTGTTTCACGTTCACGCGTCACGTGGGAAAGCGCGATGCCCCGCGCGCTCATCCATCTTCCCGTGCGTGACGGATCTCGCAATCCACTTACGCCCTCCGCCAACCCTCCTCCCCAGACGTCGCCGGGCAGCCAGTCGTCGTGCAGCAGCGAGCTCTCGCCGTTCAGCCAGCACGAGGCCACGGAGGGCGACGGGACGGAGATGGGCGAGGAGGGCGACCTGCCGGGAGACGACGCGGACGAGCGCGGCGGGGACGAGGGGGCGGCGCCCGGCGAGACGGATGGCATGGCCGGGTTCGGAGTGTCCGTGGGGCTGCCTGCGCGCCGCTCGGCCGCCACCACGTGTGCCACGCAGAGGCTGGAGCAGCTGAAGCTGGGACGGCTGCGGCACGTCGGCGGGACGGACGCACGCGGCCGGATGGGGCCCGAGGGCGCGGCCATCACACGGCTGCCTCCCATCAACGGTGCGTTTTTTTATTCCCAAGGGTCCCTTTGACCGAATCGACCTCGGTGCACCTCATCTCGTGGGATCTCGGAAGCTAGGTTAGGGCTTTATAACGTGACCGAGTGGACGGTGTTCACGTTGGTAAGGATGATTACCGTGCTTTGACCGAATAGAAGAATGCCAGTCAAGCTGATATTCTTCAGCAGCGCTTACCCATATTTCTTTGTAAGCTCACGTGCACTTACCTGATCACAACTTACCTAAAAGGTAAATTTAGTAAAGAATTGGCTGGGTTTACACACTATTGCCTATGACCAAATCAATCTGAATGTGCCCGATCTCGTAGGATATTAAAAACAAAGCGTGGTTTTTGCCAGGTCAGTACTTGGACAGTAAATACCAGGCATTGTAGTCTTGGACTGTGAGGTCACCAGCATTTGGCAGCGAAGCAAATGTCATGCTTGAATCTGTCCCTGCAGAGCTTCATGTGTTACCCTTTCATGCATGTTTTTTAATCAAGATTATCCGTTTTCCTCCCACATTTCAAACACTCACGAATGTAACGCGTCAAACATCTCATTACAGGGCCCTCGTGAAAAAAATTTTGAGACTCGGCGAGGCTTTTTTGTCAATAGAAATGCTCTTGTTTTGGGAGACTGTTTGTATGCTCCCATCTTTTATTTATCACTTGTAACAGATGAGAAGCATCGGATCTGCGTGTGAGTGCAGGTGTTTGCATGAATTCTGCAGTTACCCTTTGATGTCAGTGGCTGTGAGATTATATTTGTTTTTCTGAATGAAATGAAAACTTATCTTGCACCAATGTGTTCACTTATCCTCGAAATATTATTGACGCATCGGGTGGAGTGGTAGCATTGTGCTATGGTCCCAGCAACACGAGTTCAATTCCTAACCATAGCTAACATCAGTGGCTAATGATATCTTAACCAGCCCGCAGGTCCCCATTGTTAAACTGAACTATCCTCCATCATCTATGTTGCCCAATTTCACCTCACACGGATCAAACAACCCCCATGACCAAAACAGCATGGGAAGGTTTTCATCTAGCAGTCGATTGGCAAAGAGCTGTAAAGTATCACGTACCTATAAATTGTTAAAAGGCATCCCATCTATTAGCACACACTTGCAAATTCGACTGCAATATTGAAACACCTACAGTGAGCATCACGTATGCGTATAATTTTCGGGCATTAACACCTTGTTGCTTTTCAAAGATTTTTAACTTTTCTCTGCCGTCGTTCCGCAGGCCGCCAGAACTTCTCGGGCTGCCTCACCATTCTGCCGGAGAACCCGGGCGTCCAGGACTCGTACCTGAACGACGTCGCCGCGCTCAACCAGCTTAACGAGCGCCGCGACAGTGCCACCAGCGACCTAAGCTCGGCCTACATGAGCAGCCGGCGCTCGTCGGGGGCATCGCCCTGCCACCCGCCCACGGGCCGCCGCCACCTCAGCACGGCCGACTCGTACGACCCCATCTCCACGGACACGTCGCGCCGATCCAGCCAAGCCAGCCACGGCGGCGGAGATGGTGGGGGGCCTCCTCCGAGCTTGCTCAGCCTCACGCCGCTGCAGCAGTACCGGCTCAAGGCCACGTACGCGGCGGCCACGGGCGGGCCCCCGCCCACGCCGCTGCCGCACATGGAGAGGATGGCGCTGCGGACGCGTGTGGCGATGATGGCGACGATCGCAACGGACGGCGAGAGGGAAGCCGCGCGCGACCCGGGCACGGAGTCGCCGTTCCAGGGAGGAGCACGGCTCAATCCGGCACCGGTGGCTGGGCAGCTGCATCAGCGGCGGTGCAGTGACGGTGGCGCGTGCGGCTACGGCGCGAGCCACACACCACTGCCGCACGAGATTCCGGGCATCGGCACGAGACGCGCGAGCGACCCTGTGCGGAGGGCACCGCACCGACTGCAGGGCTTGCCCACGGTGCCGCTCCACCACGGCCCGCAGCTGCAGCACAGGTACAACAGCCTGAACCTGGTGCCGCACCCCCCCGCGGTGCCAGCTATGATGGATCAGCGCCACGGGGGCCCGCTCAGGGCCACGGGATACGCGCGCTCCGACGGAAGCCTGCACCGGGGCGCGTACTCTCCGCGGCCGCCCAGCATCAGCGAGAACGTCGTCATGGAGGCTGTTGCCATGGAATCGGAAGCCCACATCCCTGAGGAGGACATGGTTCTGCCCGACGACCTGATGCAGTACATCGCCGCCGAGGAGAGCAACATGGCAGCCAGGGCCGTGGGAAACGGGATGGCGTACGGGGAGCAGCCGAGCCAGGGCTTCCAAGCGGGTTTCAACGGGCAGGGCCACGGCCCGTACAACCCGGCTAATCACCAGGCCCAGCAGTCACCCATAGCGATGTCCAGCGGCGCCAACTACGGCCAGGCCTATCCCATGATGGGCCATTGCCAGTCGGGGCAGGCAGCCAATCGACAGACTCAATATCGCATGCCTGGCCAGATGATGTCGCCGGACACGAATAAGAACTTGCCGATACAGTGGAACGAGGTGAGCTCAGGCAGCGTGAGGAACAATCCCAGCGCCAACTGTGCGCATGCCGCAACAGCACCACGCAGGCCGGCGCAAGCGAACCTTGGCTTGGTTCGGCAAAACGAGGCTTTCATTCAGTACCAGCCACATCCTACGCAGCAACAGCAGAACTTCTACCAACAAGGCATGCCCAATGGGAATCACATGGCACAGCAGCAACAGCACCATCAGCAACAGCAGCAGCAATTGCAGGGCCAGTATAATTGCTACAAGCAAACGAGAGCCACAGCAGGATCAGGTCAGGGCTATGTGATGCAAGTGAGCCCAGCCCAGGCTGAGATGAGCTCATGTCAGAATGGAATGGCGCTGAATCCAGGCTCCAGCCAAAGACCTACAGCGTGTGGAGGCATCCACTTGAGCCCAATCCATCATCCCAGCTGCATGCAGCAACAGCAACAGTCGCCGCTGAGGACCGGGGTGCAGCCTTGCTCGCAGACTGGTGTCTGCTCCGGGAAGCCGCTCGTGAACCAGAACTTTTCCCAAGCTCCGCAGGGCTTCGCGCAGTCGCAGCAGCTGCTGGCGAACCACGGTAGTGAGCAGAATGCGGGGATGATGGGTGCCCATAGAGGAAACGTGCAGGCGAAGGTGGGTGCAGCCGCTCGTTCGAACTACAACTCGCCAGTGCATCAGAGTCCCAATCACGTGCCTTACCAGTCGCCGCATGCGCACAATCCCATGCTGAGCCCCAGACAGCAGAGCTATGGCCCAGGTCAACACGTCCAAAGCACAATACAGCCTCACCCTCCTGCCTACAGAAAACCCGGTACCGTCCAAGCTGCCACCGCATTGACCAGCGCTGCTGTTCAGCAGCAGGCTTACTCAGGGAGCCACGGGCAGCTGACGAACGGACTGAGCCCCGCGCACAGCGCCATTGGCGCCAGTCCCAACAGGCCCATGCAGGTGGAGGGAGAGGCGCACTCCAGCGGCATGCACATTCAAAGCCAACCCATGCATTACACGGGACAGATTCAGATGTACGACGGGGGCATGGTGCAATATGGGCAGCAGAATGGCGGCGGCGGTAGCGTCGCGCCGAGTTACCACGGCCAGGAGAGCAGCGCTGCGCAGCAGTCAATGGCGGCCACCGGTCTGCAGAAACCCACAGAGGCGATGTTGTCGCCAGGCACCGGGCAAGTAAGCAGCAGCACGTCGGCAGCGATGGCAAGCCTCGATGCTACGTTGCCATCGCAGATCGACTTTGAGGCCATGATCCTGGACGACGGAGACCACTTCAGTCTCGTGTCCGGTCCCCTGAGCCCAGGGCTGCTGCAGAGCCTCTCGCAGGCCTCATCTCGCCTCACCACGCCGCGCGGCTCTGTCACGCTGGCGCCAGGCAGGGCGGCCGCAGGGTCGGCGGGGGGCCTTGCCGGCATCGGGATCGGCCAGCCCGTCGCACCGGTGGCGCCCGGGATGTCCAACATGGCCATCGGAGACATGAGCTCAATGCTGTCAACACTGGTGGAAGAGAGCAAGTTCCTCACAATGATGCCTTAGGTGGTGCTTTCTTTTTCACTGAATAGTTTCCGGGTCGCTGGTTGACTGGAGTAGGCAGGTGGGCTCGCAGCAAAGGCCCACTTATACAAGATGCAGTTTGCCGAGCATGGAAATATTTTCCGAATCGCTGACTGGACATGTGACCCGGCTGAAATAAAGCCCTGGCCTTAATTCCTAGTCCCCTGCAATGCAGAGTCTAGGCCTGTGGCGGTCTTGCTTTGAGGGAGCGTCTAAAAACGATGCGTTTTGCCTCAAGAGCTAAGGAGTCATTAAATAAAAGATGTGCAGTGTTGAATGTTGACACTTGATGAATTTAAACAGCTTTCTTGAACACACCTTGGTCAAAAGGACCCTTTGTATAATTCTGCCGTTGTTGACCAAGGTGGTAAAGCCATTTTTTTTTTACAATGCAGAATTTATTTTAATATCGGGAACATGTTTTGTTTTGTAAGAAGGGGTTAGGGTCAGGACTGCTGGTGGAATGTCCTGCTGGCTGACAAGTACTCGCATGATTGTGTTCGTCGTGCAGGCATTTTTTGAAGGACCGATGATACAAGGGTGGAAATGTCATAAAATGAAAGAGAAACCACCAAAATAAAATGGTCTTATTTTGCTTCTGGCCAGTGGATTGCAAAACCTATACCCTGGTTTGGTTGACACGAAAGTAGGTGACACGCAAGTCTGTAGATCATTCCCCTATGCAAGCGGAACTTTTCATGACCGCCTGTAAAACACATTCCTCATGAGTAAGTCACGCGGAAGTCACACGGACACAAAAACACTAAGTGATATATGAAATTCCAAATACAGTGGTAATAGCAATTACAATAAAAACAACATAAAATAAAATTAGCATTGTAAAAAAGCTCAAAAATAAACAAACAATAATATAGAGATCTCGCCGAGTGCATTTTTGGGTTGTACCAAGTTTCGTTTGGCGTGATTTTATAACGGTTCCCTCTTAATGCTGAAGCAACACCCCAGCACGTGGATCAAAACGACAGACATTGTGCCCAACAACCCGCGAAGACTGTCAGAAAGCTGTACAGCACGACCGGGAAAACCTACGTCGCAATAAAAAATGAATGCACTGTTTGTAAGTAATTGCCTGGATGGCCGTCATTTCTTTTTGGACTACGACCCCGTGGGACACGTTCTGGTGCAGTCGCCCGGCGCAGGAACATTCCTGTTTATTACGGCTGCTGCACGAGAATCCACAGAGCAACTCAACCTTAGCCTAAGGAGCCAGATTGCATTTCCACTGCCTCCCAGGACATGCAGTGTGTGCCCTGAACATGTGCTTTGCCTTACCTCGACAAAAATCTTTATATTTTCGTACAAACTAATGGAAAAATGCAAATATGGTATTTAACATTTTTTGAAAATTCTGTATAACTTTCAGAACCTCAACGGCTGACAACATTCAAAATGTGGACTCCCAACGAGGCTTCCATTGCGTGTTGAGTAAAACTATTCCCAACCTGTGTATGCCAGTTGGAGGAAATACCGAACGAGAGTCACACATGTTGCAGTGTTTGGCAGCTATCTTAAGATGATGTTGAAACCTTAATGTGACAAGCGAAACACACGACCTATTGATCTTAAAACTCAGGCAAGGGTTGTTGCTCGGAAGGCGGTGTTCTCTGATAGGTGCATTCCAAGTGATGTGTCATGCTGCATTCTACTCTGGCAAATTCACAAGAGGCATGCCCAGCAAGCTGCTGCCAATCGCTCAACCACCAAATACAAACACATTTGACAAAAAGCATGCTTTGCTCACTGCCATGCAAATGTTTTGTCTTCGTAGATGATGTATTATGCCAATAGGGGGTCGTGTTACACCGTTACTTACCAACTGTGTATAGGCTTTTTTTAATCTCAGTGCAGTTTATTTTACCTATGTTCTGTGTACTGTACGTTAAATGTCAAACCATGTTTTGTGTACTGCATGCTTGTATTACATACTGTATACTTTTTAAGCATTGTATCGCCTGTTTTTTTACATTCAGAAATGCGCAATGATTGTAATGGTTCTTCTTCGCTGCGTGTATTATAGCAGCTTGTAAAAATATGCCTTAATTTAGCTTACAAACACCACCCGCGGTTTACTTTCAAGCTTGTGCCTTAAACTCCAGATCGTAGCAGCATTTCTACTCCGCCTTCCCGTGTTTATTCTGTTTCCATGACCTAACATTGCCTTACTTTTCGTCACGAGTCATGTTGGCTGGTACCAGCTGTTTAACTTTAGCAATATTAAATACTGATTTAAAAATGACTGACGTGTTCCATGTCATTACCATTTTAAGTACCGAAAATAAAGACACACTGTGGTGCGTGTGTGTCTATATATTGAGAATAATGCATTCGGAGAGAGAGAAAAATATGGTTCATACATAATTATGGGGAAAAAATGACATGGAAAAGACATCTTTTTTTAATCGCGCGTGGAAGTCATTTATAAAAACGTTAGATTTTTATCAATTTCTATTTGGCAAAAGCACCATTTGACGCATGACTGATTTGCAAACCGTACAGCACCTGTAAATACAACACAGACGTGAGATGAACACGCAGCGATGAGTCGATGATAACCCGCACCACTCCGAGCCTTTTTTCACACGAGCTACGCAACTCGGCACAGTTAAACCAACACGAAACCCCAGTGCCCCCTAGCTTTCAAGTGTGCAGCCGGTGTAACTCACCGGGGCCCATTTGGTCAGAGTGGCCCAGGTGCTCGGTGCAAATAGGTGTGGTGGTGGGTGGTGGGGGAGCAGAATTGGGATATGGGCCCCCGTAATATTCCTTACACCAGAGTGCGCAACCTTGCTGTGCCGTCACATTGCAACAAAAACGCAAGCGCCACCCACCCCTTTGAGGATGAAGTGTAATTCGACATCTCATACTGAAATAATAATTTTTCACGTGCCGGTTGAGTCAACATAACTTGTGTCCACACTCTTTTAAGTCGACATTACAGTAACTGTGCTCGTGTGAAAAGGCCCATTAATACACACCGACTTCTGTGAGCTTGCATAAATTATACGACCTCTCTTTGTGCAACTTTGAACGTTTACAAAATCTTGACCCATTTTTTTACACAAAATAAAAATATCATTTTGCTACATTTCCCCCCTCCCCTTCATTTTGTTATGTACATATACAGCTGCCCCTCTGTCACTACACTGCTGTATGAGGATCTCCCCATGCTGTGTGGGCCGTGGGGGGTTAATTGATAAATTCACCACGCTGGTCAGTGTAGATGGTAAAATTGGGGAACCGATATGGGAGGATAAAAATTAACCCGTAAAAACAAAGTTTTTCACTATAAATCCTTTATATGCGTGGCGGCTAGAGTCCTCTCGTCCTCTGGCTTGAGATGGCTGCCACTTATGGGTCAGATGATTGCTTGCCACCATTAAGCAATTGGTAATTACATATATAAAAATTTTTTTCCTAAAAAGTGTAAAATTTTGGAAAAAAATTTTCACGAAAATGAATTGTCACGCACAACGAGCCTGTGTGCAAAATGTCAGCTCGATTGGATCACGGGAAGTGGGTAAAATAACGACCGAAAGATTTGCACGGTCGTAAGCGCGCAAGCAAGCAAGCAAGTGAACTTAATATAAAGGATTTAAAAAGTACAGCACACCAATAGACTTGCTGCACTGCGCTTTGCTGCCCGTAGTGTAGCACAGTTGTCACGAACAGCCTTGTTATGCATGCTGGTTACCCATCAAAGCACTGTCCAGGCTCAAACTTGATTAGATCCTGAGGTCTGACAGGATCTGGCGGGCCCATTCTGGATGATTTAGTCGCATGCTGGAGTATGCTATTATACCATCTTTACAATTTTGTTGTAAGCTGGAGTTTTTATGCAGCCAAATGTTTAATGTATTTGAGCAAATATTTTAACCTCTGAAAAAAGTATGCCTATTAATTTGAATCACTGTACATTTAACAAAGAATCTACAATGCTCCAGGATATGCAGAGTATGTGTAACCAGTTCAGCTGCTATTTATTGCACATACTACCAAGTTATGTTTGGCATTCATTGATTTTATTTTTGCTTGCTTTAGAATGTTAAAATTTTAATTGCCAGCAGAAGTCTATAAGCTCAGACACTAATTATTGGGATTACTTGATCTGGCCTGACAGCTTCATCAATCACGACTCACTCAATGTAGCACAAATAAGGAAGCAAGGTAAAACAATGTGACGGTTTGCTTCCTGATTTATGGATTCACTACCAATTACATATGCACAGCTTTTTATTTAACATAGCAAACACGTGGCTTATAAAATCACATCTTATATCTCCAATTAGTACTCAATGCTTGCTGGTTTCAGAAAAGGGTTTTCTCTTGATGGCTACATTCTACATTATCAGATTCTTGAAATGACAAATTAATTTAAAATACCATTGTCTGGCTTTTGTAGACATGACAAGGACATTCAGGCTCTCAAAAACAATGGCTTGATAAAAAGCAAGAAAAATCATGAATATGCATGGATTATGGAACACTTTCCAACATGGGTTTATCCTCAGAAGTATTTATTTAACAGTACAGAAGCCGAATGTTAGCAGTCGGGCCAATTAGTTATTTTGGCACTGATTTTTTTTTCCAAGTTTTGGCAAACCCTTTGACCGGGTTTCTATAGGGTAGGTCCCTACTAGCAACACAAAGGTATACTGTACCAAAATTTTGTTCATCTTGGCTTATCCATTAGTGGACTTATCTTGACCCCATTTTACAGACTACTGTTCTTGACAGTTTGTGTGGGGCCATTTAAAGACGTCATTACAAGCACGGCCAAAATACAAACACAGGATGGGGTCAGAAAAAGGTCATCATGTCCTGCAGATATTTACATAGCACTGTAGTATGCAAATGTCTCTCGACATATGGACATAAATTCAGGGTAATGGCGAGGATAAATATACGTGCAGTACTCGACTCTAAAATATTTTATACACATTTTGGTAAAAGTCATGAATATAAATTGCATTAAAGGCTTACGCTTATGTGGAGAGAGGCCAGTGAAGACATACATCAACTGAGTACACATACAGCCCTTTGTCAATCCACTCCTGGGTGAGGGTCTCTCCACGCATTGCGGCGGTTTGTGAGGATTTGACCATACTTCACCACGTCGGTCAGTGCGGCGGGCACAGACGAGGTGCACTGCCCTCTGCTACCCACTACATAGCCCCGCAGCCTATAGCACCTGTTATGCATGGCGGTCGCCCATCCAAGTGTAAGGGACGTCGCCTATTCAGGCTCAGTCCTATTGGGCTGCCTAGTCCGCGGGGCATTACGGGTGATTTGATCAGTCGCATGCATTGCAATGTACAATACAGCAAAGATAATCTCATTGGTAAGTTTTTTTTATGGTTTCAGATAGGTGTAATGCAGTGTAGTTTTTAATCCTCGGTTATAAATAAAGTAAAAATATCACGCCACTCATTACAGCACAAACACAAAAAGACATTGGCAGTCGTGCACAAATATAAAAAAGATCTCACCAAGTTCATCATGAGCATTGCCTAACAACACAGCGATCATTTATGGGCCAACGTTTTAGGCAATGGCTCTTCAGAACACACGATAGTTTGGTTGATGGAGACCGTACTTCGCACTGTCGCATTAAAACGTGAAAGGTGACATACGAACAGTTTTAAATTGATGCACAAACAGTTGAGAAAGTCAGATATCCAACAACATCAAGTAAACTCCAAACTAAAAGCAAAACAAACAAATGTAAACAAGACCCACGCTGGAATTTCCCGCGAAAATGACGTCATTTCGCAACGCCATTCTCCACTGTCATTGGTCGCCGCGCCTATGACGTCAGAAAATGCGGCAAAAAAAAAGCGCGCGCCCACCAATCACATGGCGATGTGAGCCACGTGGTCGGGGGTGGTGGGGGGGGCCTTGAGCCGCGGACCCGGAGGGGGGGGGGGCGTTACCCCCAACCACCCACGAAGCCCCGCCTCCTGAACCACCCCCCCTCCTCCACCCCCGCCTCCTCCACCACCCCCCCTCCTCCACCACCCCCCTCCTCCACCACCCCCCCTCCTCCACCCCCGCCTCCTCCACCACCCCCTCTCCTCCACCACCCCCCCTCCTCCACCACCCCCTCCTCCACCACCCCCTCTCCTCCACCACCCCCCCTCCTCCACCACCCCCCCTCCTCCACCACCCCCCCTCCTCCACCACCCCCCCCTCCTCCACCACCCCCCCCTCCTCCACCACCCCCCCTCCTCCACCCCCCCTCCTCCACCCCCCCTCCTCCACCACCCCCTTTGCTCTTTGCGTTCTGAGTCGTGGGAGGCGTCCCATGGTCTCCTCTCTCCCCTCTTCCTCCACCCTCCCCTTCTGCTCCTCCTTCCATCCCCTTCTCCTCCCTCCCCTTCTCTCTACCTCCCTCCATACCCTCCTCCCACGCTCCCTCCCCCCCTCACCTTCCCCCCCCCCTCCTCCCCCACTCCCCCTCCTCCCATACCCCCCCTCCCCCTCCTCCCATACCCCCCCTCCTCCCCCACCCCCCCTCCTCCCCCTCCTCCCCCCCCTCCTCCCCCTACCCCCCCCTCCTCCCCCCCATTCGCGAGGAGGCCGCGACCTCGGTGCGGAAACGCGGGGAGAGCGGCGGCGCAGCCAATGAGAGCGCGCGCCCTGGGCCCGTGACGCCACCTCCACCACCGCCGCCACCACCACCTACACCACCACCACCTACACCACCACCACCTACACCACCACCACCTACACCACCACCACCGCCGCTGTTGCTGCTGCTGCCGCCCAGACGCCCGTCCGTGTCACGGCGATGAGCTGCCCATAGCCTCGTTGTGCGAGCGGGCTGCGGCTCCCCTGCGCTGCCCCCGCTCCAAGAGAGCGACTCCCCCAGGCGGGTGCCGGGTTCGCTTGCCCCTGCGGAAAGCTGGTGGGTGTGTGGGTGGGTGTGTGGGTGGGTGGGTGGCTGCCTTGGGGTGGCTGCTGGGCCGTGTTCAGTCGGGGGGGGGGGGGGGGCCTCTGGCGGCGGCGACGGGGAGGAGGAGGGACGGGGTCGGGGCGTGCTGGGGTGGAAGACGAGGCCGCCCGTCCGTCCGTCTGCTCGCCTCGCCTCGCCCCGCTTTGTGTGCGCCGAGCTCGGCTCGTCTCCCACAGTCGCCGTCGGCGTTCAGACGACGGTGGTGGTGGGTGTCTAACCCCGTGCGGGAGACATGGCGATGAACGGCATCTCGCGCAGCAGGTTCGAGGTGAGGGGCTGCCGCGGTCACGCCGATTGGGAAGTGAAGCTTTTAGCTGCTGGGCAGAGGTAGAGAGAGAGAGAGGGGAAGCGCCGTGGGTAGCCGGGGTCATGCGGATCGGTGGGCCGAGTCGGGCTGGGCAATGGGGCTGATGAACAGCTGATCGGAGCTACAGCTGGTCAGGCCTACAGCGTGGCGGGGTGGTGGTGGTGGTTGTTGTTGTTGTTAAAGGCCCCCCCCCCCCCACGCGGTTTTACAGCCCTCGTTTAAAGTTGACTGCAGATTTGTTTTTACGAGCCGCAGCTGATCACAGGGGCTAGTACAGCTGATGGAAGCTGCAGCCTATCCCTGTGCCTATGTTACAGCTGATTGGTGTTAGATTTGGTTATGTGTGGTAAGGATGTTGGTGGTGGGGGGGGGGGGTCTACAGCTGATTGAGGCTTGGAACTTACGAGCCACAGCTGATCAAAGCCACAGCTGAAGGAGGACAACAGTTGGTGAGTGTAACAGCTGATCAGAACCACAGCTGGTGGGTGTAACAGCTGATCGATGCTACAGCTGATCAGAACCACAGCTGGTGGGTGTAACAGCTGATCGATGCTACAGCTGATCAGAACCACAGCTAGTGAGTGTAACAGCTGATCGATGCTACAGCTGATCAGAACCACAGCTGGTGGGTGTAACAGCTGATCGATGCTACAGCTGATCAGAACCACAGCTAGTGGGTGTAACAGCTGATCGATGCTACAGCTGATCAGAACCACAGCTGGTGGGTGTAACAGCTGATCGATGCTACAGCTGATCAGAACCACAGCTAGTGGGTGTAACAGCTGATCGATGCTACAGCTGATCAGAACCACAACTAGTGGGTGTAACAGCTGATCGATGCTACAGCTGATCAGAACCACAACTAGTGGGTGTAACAGCTGATCGATGCTACAGCTGATCAGAACCACAGCTAGTGAGTGTAACAGCTGATCGATGCTACAGCTGATCGATGCTACAGCTCATCAGAACCACAGCTGGTGGGCGTAACATCTGATCGATGCTAACATCTGATCGATGCTACAGCTGATCAGAACCACAGCTAGTGGGTGTAACAGCTGATCGATGCTACAGCTGATCAGAACCACAGCTGGTGGGCGTAACAGCTGATCGATGCTACAGCTGATCAGAACCACAGCTAGTGGGTGTAACAGCTGATCGATGCTACAGCTGATCGATGCCACAGCTGATTGGGGGGGGGGGGGCTACAGCTGATCGATACGGGAGCCCGGCGTGTTGTGTGTGTGTGCTGCAGATCAACAATCTCCAGTGTAAACCGGACGTGCTGTGGGGGGGGGGCATAAACACTGTGTGGAAACTAAATACTGTAACGCAACATCACTGTAATAATCCTGCTAACACATTACAGGTTGTGTGCGTGTGGGCTCGACTCTGCCTCAAATGAGTAGCTGGTGCGGTGTGTTAAACATCGAGACAGGGGAGACAAAGGCGGCCGGGAGTAGTTTTAGTTCCCTCCCCACCCAGCACTTTCTCTAACAGTCTGAAGGCTCATCTTCTTGGTTCTTATTTTATTATGTTTTATTTTTATTATTTTATTATTTCCCTTCTACGTGACTTTACCGAAAGAACCAAGAAGATGAATCCCTGCAGTCACGAAAGCTTTAAATCGAAATTTAGTCTGAAGGCTATAAGGGGGTCTTTGTGGCGGGGGATGTCCAATAAATATCGTGACAGCAGTCTCAGTGTGTAAAGAGTGTCATATGGTGGCTGTGTGTGCTGTTACAGCCCGTTTTCTAATCCACCGCTGGATGCGAACATCCACGCGCCTTTGTAGGCAGTGTGGACACTCTTTTGGCCATACTTCACCACGCTGGTCAATGCCAGTTGGCGAAAGTTGTGGGTTTTTTTTGGGGGGGGTGGTGGAGGTGGGTAATTAGAGAACGACGCTGGCTTGGGTATTTGCTGCCACTGCCCTCTGATGTCCGCAACGCCGACTAGGGCCCTGTTGTTATGCCTTTTGGTTGTCGCCCAGCCAGGCGCTATCCAGGCTCCAAAACAAAGTCCCTGCTTAGCTTCCAAGGTCTGGTGGAGATCGGACGCAGCAGCATGATTTGGTCATTGGCTGTCAATGTTCAAGCGCATCACGCCTACGTGTTGCTTCTAAGACGAGAACACCCCCCCCCCTCCCCATTGACGAGCGTGGTGAAGTATGGTCAAATAGCGGATGGGGAAGCCCTCATTCACCCATTGGTTTTACAAAAGGGACTGTGTCTGTACCATGCATGGGGTTCCCTGCGGTCTTGGTTATAACGAGCTTTCAAGTAATGCTCATCAAAAGGAATTTTTTTTTAGATTTCAGTGGCAGGACAGGCAATTTCAACTGCAAATGGAATTCCTGCCCTGTTCCTCATTGTGTTTGATGATTGCGGTAGTGTGCCCTCATGACTTGCACTATTTCTGGCACATTTGAATAGTAATAATGTTTAGCTCTGCGTCATTCCACTGCTGGATGAAGGCTTCCCCCACACTGCACGCCCAATGCACTCGCCATGACATCTGAAAAGCAGGCTTATCTTCTCTCTCGCTGATAATTAGTAAATAATGAGCCGGTGGTGGTTGTTTGTGTCGTAATTCCCATGATTCTGGGCAGGAATGTTCCCAAGGTGGTGTTTTGTTTAGTCAGCAGAGATAAAGCTAAAATAAACAAGGCTGATGAGAAGCTCTGGCTTAGATGGATTTGAATAAACTGTTTTCAAGTAATCTTGAAGGAGCATACTCCGAAGAAAACAATTGTTAGTTGTTTGGTTATAAATGTGAGAGTACGGTAGTAGTTTCACAACTGTACTCATCGTGATAGATGGTTTACTTGTTATTTTTTATTATTATGCATGTTTACCCAGGAAAGCCTCAACTCTTTTTCAGTAGGGTCCTGGATTGGTGGTGGGGGGGCGTAGTTGCTTTGCGTAATCCAAATTTTGTCATTTGCAACGGGATGTTTTTCCTATACCAGTTACATAGTTCGTTTTAACTATGGGAGGAAACCAAAGAATCCCAAAGAAACCCATATGCAGAACAGGGGGAGAACATACAAACTCCACACAAAGGCATCCGAGTCAAGAATCGAACCTAGGCCCTTCTTCGTGTGACACATGAGTGTTACCACGGCGTCACCCTGCCGCCCTGTTTCCTCAAATGGATATCTGTGAAGTAGAGCTTTACAGCTCATCGGATTCCTCCAGCATAACTATTTTGATTCTGAAAATTGTAAATGTATTCGTGTGAATGTCTCTGGTGTGTTACTGTGTAACAGGTGGGATGCTTGCTATTCAGAGGTGGTTTGGTGACAAATTGCTTTGTTTTCCTGCCTCATTTGTGCAAAACAGATGTTCTCGAGTGATGGCGATGAAGCACTCATTAACAAGAAGCTTCCCAAGGAGCTGTTGCTAAGGTATGCAAAGAGCCCCTGCAAACGAGACCCCCATCTGTCCAGTAATGGCACACATGTGCCAGTTGCCCAAAACATAAAGCTGCCACGTTTCTGGCAGGCTCAACTGGGATGCGTGACGAGCTGGCAGCCCCTTCCTTGGTTAGCCCTACCCACGTTTCAATAGTCACAGCAATTCAACTGGTAGTACCCACGCAGTGAATGGCCGAATTTGTTTTGACGTTTGCTCCACGGCCTGCTCATAGGCCCCTCCAGTGTCAACCCCACATCCACGTCGCATGTAGAACCCACACCTCTGCCTGCATCACGAGTCGAGCACGATGTGAGAACATTTTACACCGGGGACAATATCTGTTTTCGCAAATGCTTTGAAACGCTGGGACAGCCTTTCTGAAAACGGGGCACTTGATATCATTAAAACGAACGTGCCACCCTCAATCCGGTCTTTCGTACGTAGCCGGCAGCCTCAAACCTGCCTGACAACAAAAGAGTAACAGCTGGGAGTTTAAAGAGAATGCTTGGTATTTGCTGGAGGGGGGAGGGGAATGAGGATGGTCCTGGAGTCTTGAACCTACATAATCGGTGGGTGTTTCAGTGAAGGCGGCTTTGGTATTTGTGGGCCTGCACAGGTGACTTAAGAATGCAAGTCTGATGATACCTGCACTGCTCGGCATTTTGACGTGTGGGGTGTACTGTAGGCCGTGTTGGGTGCCCATGGTTACCGGCGAGTGACGACTGAGAGTTTGCAATTCCAGTGAGAGCTGCATGAAAGATGGCAGTGAACTCGAGCGTTTGCGTTCCTACTCGATGTCGTGGCTCTATGTGGAAGTTATTTTTAAGGACTTGGACTGCCCAAGCTCATGGTGCCCTAATGAGGCGTAATGACTAGACTGTGATACCATTAGACCGCAAGGGCTCATGATTGTACTAAAGTGCCTGGTGCTTGCCTGCGTGAGGGTGTGGGAGACCGATCAAGTATTTTTAGGACCAGTCTTTTTCAAAAATCATAGCTTTGCATGGCCCCAGGCGACTACGATCCTGTTTGAGCCGTCGCAGACCCCGGGCACTTTTGGAGTTGTACTTGTTTTAATTCCCTCCTCCCCCCTCTTGCTCTCTTCTCCCCCAATAACAAACAAAAAGCCCTTAAATCATCTCGGCGCTGGACCTGTACCAATTGCCACCATCCCCCCTCTCGCCACAATTTGATTAATTATGATTTGAAGTCCCGATGCACCCCCACCCCTCCTGAACACGCGTGAACCGTCCTATCTGTTCAGCATCTTTAGCCGTGGGTTGCGTGAAGACACTTTATAAGTTGACATTGTACGGGAGCGTTTATAAAAAGAATTACAAATCCGCTGCTCAAAGAAGGCCTCCCCCTGACCGCTATGGTCATGGGGTTTTTTGTGGTCATACTTTACGCTGGTCGGTTGCGGGTTAGTAAAAGCAGGGTGGAGGAAACCCAGGTCCAGTTCTGGTAAAATCGCTCACCGCTGGCATCAGCACTGGCCAGAAATCAAACTTTGTTCGGCGGATTTTCTCCGCTGTGTAATATTTACTGCACCACCGCTGCACCCAGTGTATACAGTTCACGTGTTTGGGGATAAATTCTGCTGCGGATGTTGCTGTTGTTTTCCAGGAGTTTTTGTATGGTAGCTCCGACAACTCAATGTGTTCGGCTCGTGTAGCCTCTGAACATTGATGACTGCTGGTATTGATTGAGCCCTAATGAGGATAAAAAAAAACCTCCACATTTGTCTTAGTTTCACCGCTGCTTGTTGGGATGGGCACATTTTCTCAACTCTTTTTAGTTGGTGGTCTAAGTGACAAAATGGCCACGCATTCAATTATTTTGAACAGGTGGTCTGGATTAAGGTGAGAGAGCCTTGTACATGCAAAGCACATATTTGTTGTTAAATCTATTTGCGAAGCCTCGCAGAGATTTTTAAGCACTCTTACAGATATCGGCAATCTTCCAATGTTTGCCGTGGTTGTATTGGCGGTGCTGGGACTGTCTCTTTTTCTGAAGATAGTGTTTTTGTCAATATTTCTGCACATCCTCTTGAGATGTAGTTGCCTTTACACAATGTATAATTGGGTGTTGTTGTTATCTTGAAGCTGAGCACATGCTCTGTTTGCATGTACAGGTGATAACAGAGCACCAATTGTGTTGGAGATTGTCCCTGCACAGTTTCAGCAGTGACTTGTAAAAAAACCAATATTAAATGACAGCCCTTTTTAAATCAACTTTTGGTTGTAGGGTTTTCCATACTGCATTGGTCATGGGGGTTGTTTGATCGTAATTCACCACTGCCGGTCAATGTGGGTTGGTGAAGGGATGGGGGTCCCAAGACCGGTTTAGATCTTACAACTTATGTTAGGCATGAACTCGGTATGCTGGGTCTCAGTTGCTTGTAATAAACGAAACACTGGTACCACTTTCCACACTACTCTGCAAGTGTAGTCAGATGGATTTTAACGATTTGTTATGCCACGTCTTCATTTCGGTGATGAGCTGTGCCATAACAGTTCTAAGTTAACACAAGTGTGAGTTGAGGTGTAAATAAATCTATAATTCCTTTGCTCGGTCAGTAGAATTCTCACAGGAATACTGCTAAATATTGGACGGAAGCTGAAATGAAATATATATTTGTCAGTGACCTAAGCCACAAGACGAGGGATGGTGGTTAGCTGTGTGCTGGTGGCGTGCCAAATAATGAGGACCGCTGAGGCCGTTTTGTAGGCCAGATATTTAAAGAAATATGTATAAGTGCTCGTGTACGCGTGCGTGCATTTTGTCGGAGCCACTCAATTTGCCGTGGGACTTGAATCGAGGTTAGTGACCACCTGCCTAGCTACCGAGCTACCATATGCCGTCCGTCTCTAATTTCAATGCAAATAAGGCGTTTGATTATTCTGCTCGTTACATTTGGCCAGCAAATTAGTTTTTTTCCCCCGCTCTCTCTCTCTGCTCTGGTTTCATCATTGTGCGGAAAAGAACAGCGACTATGGGCCTCTTGTGTTTCGTGCGTTGGGGGGATGTGGGGGTTGTGGCTTGCCTCCTCTAGCCATATCACATCCTCCACTGTGTGTGTCACGACCTATACAGACACATGTTTGTTATTAGCCACATTGGGGGAGCATTATCTGCCTCGGAAAACATAATCTTGGAAACTAATGAAATCCACGATGTCGTCCGATGTATGTTGTGGATTACGTGTTCGCCGCTTTGTTATTTTTTGCGGATGACAGATGGTTTGCTTTTGCTTGTGTTTTATGCTCCCAAGGTCGGCTGAGTATTTATTGCAGTTTAAACGGCCTAAAATGCTCAGCTTTTTGTAGTGGGAATAATCCTGCAGCAAATTGTATTGATTGTGTCATAACAATGGAAATATTCACCACCCCCCCCTTCCCAGAGATTCAATTAATTGTTGTGATTCGATTTGATTGAAGAATCTATAAAATAAAATGTAACAGTGATGAATGTAGCAGCCTTGGGCAGCTGTCGAGGATCATGTGAATACTTAACATATACATGAACACATTCACTTCACTGCTGCTGGATCAGTTAGCTGAGCTATTTTGCTCTATGTTTACACGGAAATGAAATGCCTCGGTTTTCTTGGAGTGATGCCTCCATGATCCTTCTGTTCAAAAAGGAAGACAATCGATTTGAAAAATTACAGGCTCATTATCCCCATTTCACTCAACTAGATAGTGCTCACGAAAATAATAGAAAATGCAATACTGTCATGAAAAACTCCACATTCGTCAAGAACACTGTGGCCTTATAAGAAGAATGTATATAATAGGCGACTTTTAGGCAATGGCTCTTCTTCTTAGCATGTAAATAGAGGCCAGATGGTCACCTCTCTGGTCTCAATGTTTATGTACTCTGAAGAGGAGCCATTGCCAAAATGTTGCATATTATATATTTTTACTCTGCAGGCAGTGTTATTGATGATTTCGGTGAGGTGTATTCTTGATATTTGTGCTTGTGCACCACCGCCAATGCAGAATCGCCAAATTATTTGTTCAATACTGTAATGGGTCAATTTACAGGTCAACCAACAGTAATGGCAGCAAGCTGTCAAACACGTACTATCAATCAGATAAAAAAAAAAAATTCAAATTAATTTCACATACCATTGTGAGAATACCTGATGCAGTTATCCTCTCACAAACCAACGACTTGACCATTGATCCTGAAATTCACGATTCGATGCACGTATCCTTGAGCTTCGTCTTCGATGTTAATCAATTTGCCGATGTGTCTCATGTTGTAGGGTTCTTGCTTTTTTTTTTTTGAGAAGAAAATAAAACATCTGAGAGCAGGAGAAGAAAATAAACATCTGAGAGCAGGAGAAGAAAATATTACATCTGAGAGCAGGAGAAGAAAATATTACATCTGAGAGCAGGAGAAGAAAATAATACATCTGAGAGCAGGAGAAGAAAATAATACATCTGAGAGCAGGAGAAGAAAATAATACATCTGAGAGCAGGAGAAGAAAATAATACATCTGAGAGCAGGAGAAGAAAATAATACATCTGAGAGCAGGAGAAGAAAATAATACATCTGAGAGCAGGAGAAGAAAAACCACGTCGGATTGTATTGCCTGCGGTATGAGGTGGCAGGGAAGCAGGAAGTAAAGCGGACCTGCGGGGCAGCCATCACTCGAATGCCATTGCAGTGAAAGAGAGGTCTTTATTTTTCTATCATCCGGACTTAACCAACTCTCTGCACCAATGGGGGGAAAAAATGGCAGATTAATTAAAAATCCATCCGTTCGGCTGGGAATGAGTGACACGTCGATGGTGACCTGAATCGTCAAACAGCTGGAGCACGTGTGTATGGGGGGGGAGGTTACCCCCCCCCCCCCATCTTCTTTGTGACACCCGCTGGGACAAAATGTTATCATTTGGCAGCAATCGAGGAGACAATGTTTAATTTAAAATGTTATTAACATTAATAATGAGGGATATGCTCAATCATTAGCCCCTTTGCTTTTCTCACAGTTTATTTTACTATAAATATTGGGAGACTGAATAGAGGTGTTTTAAAAACGATATGTTAATATCCGAGCTGTTTATCATTTGAATAATGGGTGGTGGGATGGATATTTTTTTTTCTACATGGAGGCAGGGCTGTCTCTGTTTGAAATGGGTAATGTCTTTTTAAACATTTCGAGAACGCCGCATTGTTATGCTGATGATGGACCTTTACAAGCGGCATTTAATGCAGGATGACACTTTGAAAATTCACGATCGCACATGCGCTCACACACACGCACACATTTTTCATGCCAAGTCATATGCATTTAGAGAACCCACGTATCCATAGAAGGTAAAGGTGCAGCACTGCAAAGTATTGTTCATGCTGCCGCTGCAAGAATGTCCTCCACTACAGGGAGCTCCTGAGAGCCCCCTCTCAAGGGTCTTTTGGTCTACTTTTCCTTTTCCCAATCCATTTCTTGTGGTTCATTCCCATTGATTGTTATAATAACGTAACATCTGAGATGATTAAGATATTCACTACAGTATTTCTCTTTATACAGTGGTACCCCAGAGATCGAACTTAATTCGTTCCAGAAGGCCATTCGAACACCGAATTAAGGTTCCCCATAAGATTTAATGTAAATGACATTAATTGGTTCCAGACACAAGACATCTCATTATAAAGCATTTTTACACAAAGTTTACAGTAATTACATGCATAAAATCATAAAAAAACAAGAAACAATAAATAAATGGAATAAATGAATAAATATATGGAATAAATGAAATAAATGAACATTGAACTTCACTTTACCTGTAGTAAGGGGAGTTGATGGCTTGAGTGGAAGGTGGTGAGGAGGAGGCGGTGGTTGTGTTATTGTTTGGGTGAGAACTACTCGTTAACTGAGCCTCTCATACGGTAAAACCTTTGTCTGGGCAAGCATCATGCATGCTGGCCATACGCGTCTCAGCCGTACAGGTTCTTTCAAGTCGCGATTGCCCGTTCGACCTCCGAATTTCGTTCGGTTTCTGGGGCATTTTTTTTTCGGAGATATCGTTTGAACACCGATTTGTTCGAGTTCTGGTGCGTCCGATCTCCGAGGTTCTACTGTACCTTGATTCCTCCAATACAATTAAAATTTTAAGGAACATGTCTTCGAGTGTGGCTATAATTACCTTGGTGAGAGAGATGTTAACATTTTGCAGTGGCGAGATGTAGTTAACAATCTCGGCTGGTATGCAGGAGGTCGTTTGTTCGATCCCAATCCTCATGCCTGTATATTTGTAGTTTGCATATTCTCCTCGTGGTCGTGTGGATTTTTCTCTGGGTATTCCTGGTTTTTCCCTCCACATTTAGAAACATGCGTTTAGAGTATTTGGCTGCTATAAATTTCAACATGATAAGCCACTTTATTTGTGGCCAGGTCGCTTCTGAAAAAGAACTATATAGCTCAGTGGGCCTTTCCTGGTAAAATTAAAAGTTTAGTTGTAGTATCTCCTCGCCCGACTCTTCTGCTTTGTATTTTGTTACTTGTGCAATCTCATTGTCGCTCTTCCTTACTTTTGTTTTTATCAATTGTAAGTGATTGCATCAGTCCAAATTGAATCAAATGCCTGATGGTAATCTGCAAAAGCTCTACATAGTGGCATTTGATACGTTTCTCTTCTAGAGTGTGATTTGTGGTAGACGTGGTAGAAAAACGTTTTCTAAATCTAATTTCCTCTCATGATTGGTTGACCTCTAAATTGACCATTTTAAAGTTCTCTAATCATCAGGAACAGTTTATATATCCACATGACAAGAGGCTGATGGACCTGCAATTCATCAAGTCACGTGATTGACACACAGCTCCATGGGGCCTTTTTGGGCACACTTATTTAGTTAAATGTGAAATGTGTTTTTTTTCAGCAGCCACCGACTTCTGAGATCATCAGCAGAGAGTGGGTAGCCCCACCCCTTTCCGCACATCTGTGACGAGTGCAGCATGATTGATCCCTGACATTCTCAAGTTCCTGTCACTATTAAGAGCGCCGTAGGGATTCAATGGGATTTTAATCTCGTGTATCAACAGGAACAGAGGCGGGATTTAACGGCAAGCACAACACCACCCGCCCTGCAGCGTATGACACCACTGGAGTGCTGGCCATGATTCTTGATTGTGCTCTCTGTAGGATATTCTCCTGCCTGGATGTGGTCACACTCTGTCGCTGTGCCCAGGTGTCCAGGGTAAGAAAAGCCGTTTCATTAGTTGCTTCTCAACCTGTGTCACTCTTGACTGATTTTACATTGAGCATCACGACCAGTTTTATACAATATATAGATACCTTGCTATTTCTTTCATTGGTGTACTATTTTTGTTCATGCTTTGGTTATTTTGGCGACCCATGCCACTTTTGAAAATAAGACTGTATCCTGGTCCCTTGAGTTCTAACCTGGTTAAACAAAATAAACTTGAAACTTGAGTCCGAGTAATGCTTGGATTGGTGACCTTTATGGGTGGTCACAGGGACTGCTGTTTGATACAAACTGATATAAGCAATTCTACACCGATGACAATTTTCAAAAGAACCTCTCAAGCACAACCTTTTTTATAAATAGAAACACAGCATTACCTGGCTCGTCGGTTTCAACATTGTATATTCTCAGAAGTGCACGAGCGTGTATTTGCGTCCTTACGTACCAAGACCATTGTCAGGTAGCTTTCTCACAAGAGCACGGGAGAGTGGTACCTTAGTAATAACAATAACAATCCTGCTCATTGTGAAACACGTAGCAAACCAGGGAGCCTCCTCGTCATTTTTGACCGTGCAAAAATGTTTATCGAAGGCGCTGTTCTCACCATTTTTTTCCCATCCCCAGTCATGGAACGTCCTCGCTCTGGATGGCAGCAACTGGCAGAGGATCGACCTCTTCAACTTTCAGAGGGACATAGAGGTGAGTGTCCTTCGGGGCCGTGTGACCGCCACCATGCACCGTGAGCCAATCGCCAGGGAGCGATGGTGGCCTTGCACCTCAGAGTCTAGGGGTTGTGAATTGATAATCGATTTATCTTTTGGGATACTTGTTTATGGAATCGATTATCAATTCAAAAAGGTCATGGAAGCAATAATCGAAACCAACCGTGACAACGTTCAAATTGCACGATGTATTCAAATAGCTTTGGTCACGGGGCAACCCACTGCATACAATATATATAAACAAACGTAGCCCTTTCTCAGTCCATTTGCTCGATGAAGGTCTCGTCATGCCGTAAAGGTCATGGGGTTGTTTGGCTATGCTTCACTATGCTAATCAGTGGCTTTTTATTTATTGTTAATTTGCATGTGATTATCCATAGTGCATAAACATGAAACTTATAACCCCGGTGAGAAACCTTCTGTCCGCTTTAAAATGCATAACAAAAGGAATATCTCTTACAAATAACAGGTGTGTAACGAAACATCCGTTCATCAATTAAAAACTAATTTCTACACCTGCATTAATTACTGTGTGTGATAATCGATTTATGGTTTGTGCAGATCTCGTGCCAATTTTTAAATGTGTCTAATGGAGCAGCACACAGGTGGAATAATAATGAGACACTATATAAACCAGATGCAATAACAAGACTAACTAATCGGGTGGCTTTTTGTTAACTGATTTCGCAACCTAAAAAAACGGTGAGAATCACAAACGAGCCAACACCCTTGAGAGGACGTCCACCGTGGTGAGGGTGGCTAAATCTGCTGATGCGCCGGTACTGGGCCGATCGTCGCATCATCAATCAGTGGATAGGTCATAGCTGATAATGATGATATCTAATTGCTGGATGGTGAATCACTACCTGCCTAGTTTGTACATACCTAGGCTTGACAACAGCGTAAAGCTTCGTTGGTGGTTTGGGGTAAGCATGTCGGTTTATAAACTAGAGGAGGCGGCATGATGTGTACATTCATATCCACTATCAGTGGCAGTGCTGTCACATGAACGTGTTCTGACGGAGCACCTGCCTGTAACAGTAAAGTTCTCAATCATTAACAAAACCTCACAGTTGTGTTTAGTAGCCTGCGACCACACACCCTAAGTGCGTATCTACAAGATGAGAGCTGTTTTGTGGGTTGCATCTTCCTGTATTAGCGTTTGCATAAACCTCGTAGAATGTTCCTACCTCGGAACTGGAAACGACCTTGGCATAGTATGGTTGATGTGGATGCACGTCAAGGCTGAGGCTAACATCAAACACCACGGTCTCAGGAAAAGGTTTCCTGACAGCGTCTCGTGGGGTCGCTGAACTGCAGCCAGGGGCAAGTGAATAATGATAGAAAATGGACATATGTGCTCCATGGTCTTCTTTGCAAATGTATCCAAATGGGTTGGATGTTTTTTTAATGGTTTATAGTTATATGGTAATGATTTACAGCTCTCCACTGCTGGATGAGGGCCTCCCTCCACACCTTTGTGATCATTTGAGCATACTTCACAACGCTGTTCAGTGTGGGTTGGTGAAGAGCATGGTAGGCCCACGTCAAGATCGGATATCGCACGCCACTGATGTTAGTCGTGGCCACGAATTAAACTCACACTTCCAGATTTGTAGCACAGTGTACAAACCATTGCGTCTCTGCCCACCCCGCTCATTGTTAGAAATAAATATATAACGATCAAAAACACATTGGTGTACAACACTGCCTTAAAATAATATTTTTTAAAATCTGTGACGTTTCGAGCAATGGCCCTTCTTCATAGCACAAATGTAGAGAGACCAGAGAGGGTGAATGCACTCACAATGGGGCCTGATGAGAATTACATTTAAAAAATGTTTTCCCAAGAACCAGTTCATAAATGGGCATATGAATGGTTACCCAAGTGCAGCTATCGAGAACCAGACAAATCCTTCAATGAGCAAACATATTACGAAATTAACTCATTTAAACTTATAAAATGTTGCTGGCACAATGCAATGTGGGAAGGTTTGTTTTTTGTGAGGAGCTACCCCACCACCCCCCTCCTTGGCAGTGCATTCCTGGGTCCAATTACTATATAAATAAATATTGAGGCCTTTCCCTCCTAATTTCCATGGTCTTTCACGTAACATGGCTGTGAATTGCGTTGTTGTGTACATATGCTGTTAACCAACAATATACAGAATTGTTCATAACAGTATAAAAACGCCAAACTGTTTGACTTTGTTTTATACATAGCCGAGTGCCGAGCTGGTCGGTGCTGGGTGAAACTGGATGTTTAGGTTAACCATTCACCAGTGTCTGGAGACTGACTAATTCAATTGAACAATGGGCAACACTCTAACACATTAGACACTGCAAACACAAGGGAATGAAGAAAACGGAAGACGTCGGATAGAGGATGAGACGAGTGGAAGTCTCATTGGCAAGAAGATGAGGCTCCTAAGGCTGGAACATCTACTCGCGATGAATACCGCAGTGGCGGTTACCACAAAAACGGAAAGCATGGAAACCCCGACACAGGCAAGACGGAAAAGGGGAATACCTAGGAGCACATGGTGAGACACAGTAAACAGTGACTTGGCACGGTGAGATCTAACAATAACAGGAAGGGGTGGAATGAACACGTGTCGTAATGCCACCTGGTGATGATGAACACCTGGGTGTAGTTTCTCGCCATTATTATTTTTATTATATATCCACTTTGTGGGTGTCTTTTACATAATAGCAGTGCGCACATTGCCCACATAGTTTTGAGTGCTCGCAATACGAGGCTTGGGCATTGCAGTGTCTTTCATTGTACCCACTCTCATTTCATAGCTTGCTAAAGTGTACCGCCGACATCGCTGTAACCATATTGGGATTAGACTGCGTAGAGTTTGAGCCAGGAACTTAGGGCCTGGCTGTGACCAAATCACCTGTTCAGTGTTGTCAGATCTAGGAACCTAAGCAGGCCTGAAGCCTGGATATTGGGCTGGATGGTTGTGTGAGAAACAGGAGGCAGTGTAGAAATATTCATTGTTAAGCTGTTCTTCTATGCTCCCACAGGTCTGTGCACTCCACCTTCACGCGTCCGCACTGACCAGTGTGGTGAAGCGGGGGGGGGGGGGGGGGATAACCCCCATGGGCCGCACACTGTGGGGAGCCCCTCAGCCTGCAAATACATTGATCAAAAGTGGCTGTACATCCACCGAAAACCGAGGCTATTGCTTTCCTCTTGATACGTTTTGTTATTTACTGTATTTGCATTAAACGGAGGAGCAAGCGTAAGAATGACCGAAGACGATGATGATAATATTCCTGTTGAGTGCGATGGGATGGTATGTGTTGATGCGGAGACACCTGCACCAAACGTGTGCACACCCGTGGCAGTGGTAAATGTTTATTCCTGGCAGCAAGCCAGCACATTAAGCACACACTGGGGCAGAATTTTAATAGCTATTGGTACATAAAAGGGGACACTCCATGCATTAAACAGCTGGTGGCCCAGTGGCAATTTAAAGGTTGAAATTTGTAATTCTTTAACCGGCAAAAGAAAACATGTGAAGTACCACAATGTCATTAAAGAATAACAGACGTGTAGAGCAAGGGACATTTGCATTAAGCTTTGATTTTTGTCAGAGCAAAGCATCTTTATCAATATGTGGAAATTAATTCGATGGTGGCTGAAGAGCCTGTACGTGTGTGTGGTTTCAATGCATCCATAGTTTATTGGGTATGATGGTGATTGTGAGATGTCGTGAATAGATTATCCATTTTCGATAGATCATAGATTTCTGATAATCGTTTTCACAATCCTGAACGTTGAAGAAGTGTTGGAATTGATGATTGAATCCAGTTTAGTGTTAGCAAGAAAGTAATTGGCACAGCGGACATATAAACGGTACGGCTCGTTCCAATGTGATTGGTCAGTTGCAGCAACTGTATGGAAGGCTCATCAGTCACCGGGGTGTTTGGTATGTGTTAGATATTTAGTTTTGTATGGTAAAATAGTTGTTTCCCTTTTTGCAACAGTTATTGATAACGCGACAAAAACGAAAGCGTCCATTATCGCGAGTCACACAGCAGCATTACTCCCAACAGATTTTCTCGAATCTGTCTCCACGTTCTTGTTGGGTAAGCAAAAACGAATTTAAACATCTTAAAAACAACTCTGTACTCGTGTTTCGTCACATCCCTTTTTACACGCTTTTATTTAACTCACTCTGTTGTTGTTGGCGTATCCTCAAATTTTGTAACTCAATTTTAACCCACTTCCCAATGTGGTATCGACTGCAAACTTTGTATACTTATGTCGTACTGATGACAATACTATATTCTATAAAAAAAATACAAAGAATATTTTTAAACATTCCTTTTTATATGTTATGTTTCTGCTTGGGTCTAATTGTCCACGCTCAACTGACGTTGGTTGTAAATCACCACGGGCCCCTTACGTTATGGCAAACTTTGCGGCAACTTCTTGGAGTCGTGGAGTTCTGCCATTACGAGTACGGTACATTTCATTAAAGCGTGTTTAAAAAAAAGCATTTTTAAATATTACTTATTATTAACTGACCGGCAAGTCTGCCCGGGATGTTTTGGTCCCTTGCTCAATGGCCCTGCCGTGTTCCCACGAATCGAGCTGAGGTTGCCGCCGCAGATTATGCGTTGCTGCTCGGCGATTAAATCGAGGGCGACAGTGATGGGATTACGTGCGTGCGTTGCCGCGCCGGCTGTTGTAATCCGCCGGTACCATCGATGCCATTGGCACTTCGCCGACCAACTTAGCCGCATCCACTGCTAGGTTGGGCAGATGATGACAAAAATATACAAATGTTTTTGTACTACATTCGTGGTAATTGTTGATTTTACATTTGCACAACGGTGGCAGTGGGTTCAGGGAACTGAATGTACACGGGTTTATTGGCAACATATCGCTATCACTGTTACAACACCCACCATCTCGTATACGGGCACATTACACTGTTATTTCATAAACAATGTTTGTCTAATATTTAGATAACATTTATAGATCTTCACTGTGTCTATTAGTTGTAAATGATGCATTGATTCAAATCGACCGTTACGCCCCAGCTAACTCCATTGAATCGTGTGTGTAAGCTTAAACTTGTCTGTGATTGGTATGTATTTTGTACGGTAGTGGTTTCATATGACCCCTCCAGCCACAGCACTCATCACAACATTCAAATAATCAATTTTGGAAGCAAAACTCTACACAGTCTCTTCACAATTCATTGGATCGCAAGGACAAGGGGACAGATCATTACACCCCTAATGTGTCTCAACAAAGGCGTCGTCTATCTGCATGCACAATGGGATTTTATCGGTACCAGTCAGAATATGGCACAAATACAAATTATTTTCATTATTTTTCAAAGTGGCAAATTCAAAATGTGAACGTGCCGATTATTCTTTATGATAAGTCCATACATTTGGGGCTTCAAGCAAGCAGGATTATATTGAGGAGGCTTTTTCACAAGTTTATTATTTCTCATTATGTTGGGTTTTTTCTCCCACAAAGTATCTCGTCCTCTTCGAATGGCCACATTAAGCACTTGCTGTGCAAAGGTGGGAATCATTCATCACTTGGTGTCATTGTGTTCCTGCTGAGACCTCAGGAGGGCCCCCTACCCCCCCACGCTGACTACAGACTGAACCACAGAGCATGGCACAACGTATCTGACAGGAGCGTGTACGCCTTCACCGCCTCACCAGGGCATTGTGGGCTATGTCTGAGTTGTTTGACCACCAATGGAGTTGGCCAAACAGCCCAATAAAGAACCAAAATGCTTGGACAATTGTTGCTGCCAATTCTGGCTGCCTTCCTACATGTCTGTGGTTTCCCGTGTGTCTAAATAATTATCTCCCTCCTCGGCGTGAACGAAGACTCTACGCGTTACAAATTCTAAATTTTTGCCAGGTCTGGTTCGATTGGTGACCTGGAATGTATTTATGCACGGAGTATAACGACATCCAGTATTCTTCTCACAATGCGTGTGTGTGGCTACCAGTCACGGGCCAGTCTACCAGGAACCCGGAAACAATTTTGTGAAACAATTTGGTGAAACAATTTGGTGGAACAATTTGGTGGAACAATTTACCCCCCCTTCCTTCCCCTTTGGCAATGACATGATTTGTGATTCGGGGTTGTGGTCAAACCTGGGTTCAATAATAATTACAATTACAGCTCAGCATTGTAAGCTCAAGTTACAATTACACCCGAATTGTGATTGCCATCCATTATTAATGACAATTACAATTAAAATTGACCACATGTCTGGTTGTGCTTCTATTATAATTATTATTGTTTACATTGCAGTGAAAGTTAACACCTCTAGTGGCTGTAGGAGTGACATGTACCCATTACATGCAACATCTACAATGATAATATATATCAATGCAAATAGGTGTCTTTAGCAGCAAATATATTACAGATATTCCAGAGTGATTTTCATGTCAAAGACATCACCATTATTGTACTTCTTCGATAAGAATGACATTTTTACGTAATGTACTTGATTCGGTGCAGGAATCATGAGTTTTATAATTCATGTTAACCAACTAATTGATGTATCACCCCACCCCTAGCTGTTAAGGTCTCACAATTTAAGGCTGGAGTGTTATGATGTCCCAACATCTCGCGCTTGACTTTGAACGTGTGTGTGCCTTCCCCCACAGGGGCGTGTTGTGGAGAACATCTCCAAGCGCTGCGGCGGGTTCCTCCGGCAGCTGGGCCTGCGTGGCTGCCAGGGAGTGGGCGACAGCGCACTGCGGTAACAAGGACTGCTCGCTGTGGAATCTTGCCAACACGTCCCGAGCCGAATGGTCAAAGTTCACTCGAGGAAGGCCCGGTATCTTGTGGTCACCATGACCATGAAATGACAGTGGGGAACAGAGCGGAGCAGGGCGATTAATCTATTATTGTTTTCGTTGGAAGCGTCGAAAATAAACTTTTTGATGGATAACTGGAAAAAATTAACGCAATCTGTGGGTCATTTTCAATTGGCCGTGGGCCCGAGGAGGAGGAAGCGTGATGAGAAGGCATCTCTGAGGGGAGGGAGCGCACGTGTGTGTGTGTGACATTTCGAATTGGCTGGTGGGAGTGCTCTGTCTATATGGGTAAGCGTGGGAGTGTAGCATCAGTAGTGTTTATGTGCAGCGGGGGCGGTGAGTGTCGTGTTGATGAGTGGTGAACAACAATGTGGATGAGTTAATTTACATACATTCCTCGACTTGCGAACGTGTCCTGTTGCGGAGCCACATTCGCTAAGTCAGTGTTCGTAAGTCGAGGATGATGTGTTTATATTTGATGTTAACCTATAGGGCCTTGAATTGTGATCACCGCAATAATGTATTATCATTATGAGCAAGCTGCAGAAATAACCAAAAATAATAATAAATTAACAAATAGAACATTCATAATGTTCCAGTAATTATCACTGGCTGTTTTGTTCAAATGTGTACTTCGGTTTGGATTTCATTATAATGAATTTAATGTCAGCATATGTACATATAATTGGATGGAACTTTTGGGATTTAAATTGTGTTATTGCCTGTCATTGCCGTCAGTTTAACACGTAGGCTGTCGCGACCAATATCATCCATAATATATTTTTTTGGATTAGATCGCGTAAATATAAATGTGTCGTTAAACCCGCCACCACCCAACACAGCCAACTAGTAAGGTTTGTGACGTAAACAGAACGTGGCCAATTCATCACTAGTACAGCACACCGGTGTGTTGGAGAGCAAATTCATAACATTTACAATCTGAGTACGACGTTTCGCCAGCAATTACAACTAGCATCATCAGGCGACAGCCACATTTGTGGAGAAATCCGCCTGTTTCGTTACATGTAATTGGCATGTTCTGTTTACGTAACAAACCTTACTAATTGGCTGTGTCCGGTGGTTGCGGGTTTAACGACACATTTATATTTACGCGATCTAACTAAAAAAAACTATTTTATGTCATTGCCGTATTTAGCAGTTAATAATTTCTTCAGAAACATTAATTTAATTGTGCCTGCGCCACATTTTTCCAAAAATAAATCAAGGCTGCTGTGAAGATGGACCAATCTTCTAAGAGCTCACAATGTAACAATTACCTGTTATATTACTTTGGCAGTTGTGCACAGTACAAATAACAAACACTTGATCAGAACCATTGCCTGAAATGTCACCGCGTGCATATATCTATTTTTTTCTTTTTAGTACGTTGCTATTGAAGAACGTGTTTAGATTTGGTTGCAGGTGCTCAGACAAGTGAGAACTTAAACATTTTGGCTCTGCTGGAAAAACAACAGCAATAACTACAATAAGAACACCATTGGCTCTACGCCACAGTCAGACTGCACCATAGACTCCGGATAGGAAGGCGTTAACAAAGGCTCTTGCCAGCAACACAATGGTGCACTTGTGGATGATCGACTTGCAAATGTCGCGTTTTAATCTGGGGCTTTACACGTGACTGAGTGCAGAGTGATCATGTCAGGCAGGTGATTCGCGTGCGTTCACCACACAGAACATTGCCAGTCAAGCTGATGGTCTTTAGCAGTGCTTACCCACAGCAGTGTGAACATCCATAACCAGTGGTGAGATACGTTGTGGCCAGCCCTTAATGTCCCAAACAAAGCCCTAACACAAGAACTACCTGCCTGCTTGTCTCGAAGACACTGGATGGCACTTAACCATGTTCAAATTATGCATGGAGGTGAGGCTACGTCCTCCAAAAGTGGCGAAATAAAAAATTGCCTTATTGTAACTGCGGCGGAGTGAAATCCATCACTCACATCACCAATCATTGTCCCACATGCGCTTTTGCAGGAGGTACAAATTGAATCCATCTGGCGACCCCGGAACGCCATCCATTGGCTTCCAAACTCAATGAGTGGTTACAAATTAATCCGTTGTTTGACACGCACAAGGGGTCGTATCTTGCCTAATAAAGGTTGAATTGTTAAAGACGGGCTAGGTTTATGCTGTTTTGCCTGTGGTTAGATCACCCCGAATGTACCGAATTGCAATAGATCTTTAGGTCTTGGATGGGAGATGGCCTGCGAATCCCAGCCGTTTTATGCTTGGGCTGCAAGGTGGCCAGGAAACATGCAATAGTATTGAGCCTATCTGTGTAGAGCTTTGAATGTGACTTCTTTACAAGCTTGGATTTTTATCGAGGTGCTCTAAATTGTCTGCATCACTCAAAACACACGTTAATGACTAATCATACCAATCAATGCAGGACCCTCCTGATGAGGAGTCTTGAGACACAGGGATTCTCTCGTGGTTAAATTTTTTATCCGAAAGCATGTTTACATACATTCGGCTTTGTAAGTGGAATACATGAGCCTTGTCATTCAACACTACGAATGTAAGAAACTGCCCATCTCTTAATCCGTACTTCAATTGCTTACAGAAGTGGGATGTTTTGCATCTCTGGCAAAAAAAATTTCTTCCCCAAAATGTATGGTGGGCTTAGCTGATTGGACTTGTCCTGTGCTATTTTGTGTTCCAGTGCTCCGTAATTATGTGAAGCATTGACACAGATTTGGACCATGTAAAGTATTATTATTATAATCCTGCTAATAGTATATTGGCATTCACAATGCAGCCTGCTCATTCACGCTTCTTGGGGGAGCAGCCAGCTTTCGCTGCACACCACTGGTTATGGTTTTCTTTGGGGGGGGTTATTTTTTATTTGTTTGCACTTGAATTTTAAACAGGACTCAAGGTTGAACATTTTTCATTATTTTGTATTTACATTACGGAAGTTTAGACGGCTGTTGAATTCCCGGTTGATTCTTTCAAATTCAATATAGAAAAATTGTCACCTGCGTCAAAGGCGGCTGTCAAGTTGAGATTGCTGATGACGGCTATAAAATATGTTTTCCGAGCTCCGTAAATGAAATATTATGTTTTTGTTGGTGTGTTGAAGGATTATTTGCATGCGGCCATTAATAGTGTTGTAGCTACATATTTCTGAACTAGAATTCATCACAAGCTATGCTTGAACTTGGCCAAGCCTGACAATAGAGCCCCCGATTTAAAGAGGATGTTGTTTATGTTTTGGTTTCATATAAATATGTTCTAGTTCGTAAAGAGTTCCATAACCACTACATATTAGTTAATATTTTTGCCCACTTATGTCATACACGTAAAACATTATTTGGTTATGTTCAAAATTATTTTAAAATTCTGTGTAATACTTGTCACATAATTTGCTGACTTTACTAGCAGTTGCACTTTTGTGTGTTTTTTTAAACATAATTTACAACAAACAAAAGTTAAACTTGTTAATTAAAAAAATAATCGGAAAATAATTTATCATTTTTTTAAATGTCGTTGAATATTTACTGTGGTTCTTTAATACATGAACTTAAATAATGTTAAAGTGTTTGGAATTGGTTACATTTTGCATAATCCTCAATAGGATTGTGCGTTGCAGTTAAACTGCAGCGGGGCCCGATCACTCCGCATTGCTGAAATATCGCGCATTTGCTGGGCTGATCTCTTTTATAATCAGTCATTTCCCCCCCACCCCCAACACATTCTGCTTTTTTTTCCTTTGCAGGACTTTTGCCCAGAACTGCAGGAACATTGAAATTCTGAATCTCAACGGCTGCACCAAAATCACAGACAAGTACGCACACACGCCAAATGCTCACATGCAAAATTGGGGCACGGTACAGATTGACGACAAAGTAATGCAAGCAGAGTTGTCTTACCTCTCTTATATTCTGCTCGCTATTATTCCGTTCCACCTGTAAATTCGAGGGCTTCTAAACGCTCGTCGTCGTCGCTGCCAGGTCAGAATCCTTGGAACTCCCTGGCAAACGGCATTGTGGGCCCCACCCTCGCTGCAGGGGCTTGCAGCGGTTCAAGGAGAAGGCCCAGCCCCACCGACTTCTCGGCGCAACTCGGGATGGGCAATGAAATGATGGATTAGCAACAATGCCTACATCCAAAAGAATAATAATTTTTTTAATGACCTGCGTGACCCCCATTACCATTGGCGGAGGATACGTGGCCGTGCTTCGCCACACTGCTCATTCCATGCTAGATGTAGCGTAGCGGTTAGCGCGCTGCGCTACGAACCTGGCGGCCCGAGTTCGATTCCCGCTCTCATGATTTACACCGGTGACGATTATCTGAACCGGTCCTGGGTTTCCCCTTGTTCGACTTGGTCTCAAATGTGTACATGGAGCGATGTTTAAATATTGCTACTGGGGAGGCAAAGGCGGCCGGGTGTGGTGCTGGCCACCCACCCTCTCGTGTGCCGTGCCGGCCTCCGTAAGTACTCGCTAACAGTACTTGCTCCAACAGTCTGTTAAAGCTATACGGGGATCTTTCTAATGTACTTCGCTGACATGGGGAGCGCACCACTCGCATTCGGGTGACCCAGAGTATGCGAGCACGGGTTGGACTGTCACATCGCTAGACCATGAGAATTCGGGACAGCCTTCATCCAGCAGCTGATTGATCATGGTTAATGCTGATGTCAAATACAATGCAACCCTATTGTGTAATTTTCAACGCTGTGGAAATACTGCACTCACAGTTCCGCGTCCCCGCAAACCGATTCGATGAATTGTAAAAATAATGCCTTCGAGTACTTACAAATGCAATGGGCTCATGATGCAGCGGATAGCATTGCGTCGTCCCTCCACCCTCTCTGCACCTGCCTGGGTTTTGTCCTGCAAGTCCCAAAGCAACAACAGTTTCGCTGCTTTTAAATGGCCTTCGACAACACAGTATGACGGCTGCCTTTATCCTCAGTTTGGCGTGGTGGCGAAGCAAGGGGCGCTGGTGGATCACGTAGGTTTGTGAAACTCTCAAACCCACTGGGCTGCAAGTTGTCCAGGAGATGGTAGTTCAGTTGGTTGTGAACCCATCAGTGCAGATCTTCGAGTGTTTAACCCCTTGTGCGAGGGAGTATTCTCTGTGTACTCTGGTTTCCTCACAGATGCAAAAGACTTATTTTGATAATAATATAGCTTTCATTATCTGACTTTTTATGAGCTCATCTCCATTTTGGAAGTTGATCACATTATGGTGCCATCGCCGCTTTTAAGGGTGATAACATGAGCTCAGTCATTTCTATTCCTACATTTCTCAATAAATTCTGGTCGCTACCTTTTTTACTAATCCTCAATGTCATCCTGCCAAGCTTGATGCTGCTTCCCGCTCATTTTTATTCTGCTTCCCCCCACTCCAGAATATTTTTTTAAGTTGACCTTTTTATTTTTATACGGTGTACCAACAGTTTGTCATTTTGTTAATTTCCTTTCAGTGGTAATGTTTAACAACTTTTCTTCATTTGTAATTTTACCACCTCAATATATGTTCATCTTCTTATTCGGCATTTCTTAATCGTTTCTCTGTCGTATCTCAATTTGAACTCTTCTATTCAATTGTCTTTTTTCTTAATTAAAAGTCCACAAATTCACGTAAATAAATTTTATTTGTGTACATGTGTAGTCCTTTTGTCAATCAACTGCTGCATGAGGATCTCCCAACACATTGCGGTTTGTGGGGTGGGGGTTATGTTTCCATACTTCACCACGCTGGTCAGTGTCGATTGGTGATGGCGGGGGAACGTTTTCAAAGTGGGTTCAGGCTCAGAACATGTATAAAGATTCGGGGCAATTTCAGGATTCCTGGTCTGGTGCCAGGACGCGTAACCCCAGCTCTGACCGCTCTTCCCTGCTGTGCCTGTCCTGCGATGGTGCCATGTGTCGGACACTAACAGCACGTGCTCCAGCCTGGGCAAGTTCTGCTCCAAACTGAAGCAGCTTGACCTCACGTCCTGCACCTCCATCACCAACCACTCGCTCAAAGCGCTCAGGCAAGTCACGATGCCTGTCACAGCTCTTATGGTAATCGACAAAAAAAAGAGCAAAGCTCCTTGTGTCCAAGTGTCATAGGCTAAACTCTAACTTTTAAAATTGCTTGCAATAATTAATTGGAAAAGACATTCAGAGCAAATTAACTAAATTTGCAGATACTTCTCCCTAACAAGATTATATTAAATTATGTCTGGCTTCATGTCCGTGCCGTTTTGCCTGCATAGGCATTGGCAGTGACAAAATAACTGGCTTGTGGCCATACGAGATGGGCTGCTGGGGGTGGTGATGGTGCGGAGCGCTCAAGGGATGAATCCAATTAAAGTCTGAGCTCTCCAAAAGTGCTACTTGTCGCAAGGCAAGGAGGGAACGAATAAGACTGGAGGGATATGGTGGCAGATGTGGCTGTGCTTGGAGGGGTATTGTATGAAGATTATAGCAGCATCTACGTGTCCGCACAAAAGGTTAATTGCAAATGAGCTACCAGGAGGCATATTTTGTACAATAGAGCTGATAGTTCTCGGAATATTTCGTACGAAAAATAAAATGTAAGCAGAAAAGATGTGCACAAACAACGTGTGCCCCATCAGGAGAGCTTTTTTTATGCCAGTGCTGCTTGTGCTGATCTTTTTTTATTTCTGCCCGACCACGCCTGCTGACTGATGTTGTTTTCTTATTTCTTTTCTTCCCTCCTGGTGTAGCGATGGCTGCAAAGGACTAGAGCATCTCAACGTGTCGTGGTGCGACAACGTGTCGGAGGATGGTATCACGGCGCTTGTGAGGGAGTGCCCCGGCATGAAGGTCCTGCTACTCAAGGGCTGCCACATGGTGAGGCCCACCGAGGATTTTCCTGCCCTTCGTTAGGTCATTCAGTTTTTAACCAATGTTTATGTTTTTGTTAATTCGGATGGTTTTTAGCTTCTGAAAAAAAAAACTATTCAAGCAGAAAGAAACCCATTTGGATGTAATTGGAATTGAAGGATTTTTTAATTTTGCAAGTTTGTTATTAACATTCTGGATATTTTCATGGCGGTTTCACCAAAAATACTGCATTTCATTGGATGATGACATATTATTTGAGGACGATCAAAGCCTAAACACATTCGATCATACTACCATAAAATGTTAAATATATATGGTTAGATTGCAAACAATCACCCGTAATCTCTGCTATGAAGAAGGGTCATTGCCCAAAATGTCACTACCTATGATATATATTTTTTCCGTATAAGGCAGTGCTATTGACGAATGCATTACGTTTTTTGTTTATTGTGTTTGTCTTCCTCTTTCCATCACAGTAGCTCCATTTTTTTTATTTTGAGGTAAATCAGGCTAAGTTCTGACAGGCTCACTATAGTAATGTTAGTATGATTGAATAATGTGAAACTACACTGTGCGTGGTGTGCGCATGTGTTTGTTTTTATTTCTGTTGGTTGTCTTGCGATTGGGTGCCAGCATGCATACGCTCGGCCACAGCTCCAACACTGCCATGTTAAAATCAGATGCAGCATCGCGTGAAATTCACCCAGTGAAATCTTAAAACAAATTAATAAAATAAACCCCTTCTGCGGAAAAAAATCAGCGAGTTAACACTGTCATTAAAAAAATTGGAACAAACGTTAGCACGTTGCCATTGTGTTGTGCACTGTAATTAAACCGTAGGCACGATGCCGTTGCCTTTGCCCCAAGTGTATTTGTTGGTTTGTGCTCCTCTTGCGTAAGTGGCGATAATTACAAATGACTTGGTGCATTGCGAGTGGCACGATGGAATTGATCAGCCTAAAATAAACAACGGCGCGAGATCAAGGGGAGAATAAAAGCACCGCATTCATTCGGACAACTTGTACACGCTCGCTAACTGGTGTGGTAATATGGGAAGTGATCATGGCATTGTTCTGTTCCCATGAGCACAGTGTGCTGTTATTATTTCCGATTGCTTTTTGCAATAGTTGTGAGATGAGTTATGGCTTATTATTCATAAAGGGACATCTGCGATGATCTATTATTCACTGCTGGATGCAGGCCTCCCTAAGCTGTCACCATCTCTTATGGTCTTGCGATATAACAATCGTTCTTGCACCTGTACGTAAACTGATTTTAACTTTCCATCTCTGCAGTTGACGTCCTCTCAGGCATTTTCTCTCGTTTGGCTGCCACTCCATTGTTCATTTTTACCACCGGCCATCATCCCTTCTAGACATATTTCTGCCCAAGTCAGCTTGTTCTTATTCACAGTCAATATGATGTCTTTAACATTCGTATTTTCTGAAGTCCACATGTTCCTCTTCCTGTCTCGCTGTATTCCTAGCATGCTAAACTCCTCTCTTCTTTCAGCATTTATTCCATTTTCTCCACCAATCTCCATGTATGCGATCTATGTTGTCATTGCAGGTAGGTTACTCTGACTAAACACATTATTCCTTAAGCGCACTTACATTTGCTCTTCATCATTACGTTCTATCCTCCAAAAGCAGTACAACCTACTCTCATCCACCTTTATTTCATTATTTTTATTCTGGTCTGCTTCAAACAAATTTCACCAATTGTTTAGTTAACCTGTCGTACGTGACTTTTGTTAATGCTGGTATTTATCTTCAGCCCATCTTTGCAGCCGTTTTTATTCCATTCTTCTAATATTTCCTGAAGTATAATTCCCATTAAACATTACAACTGCAATTGCCAATTATCAGATGGTTAATATTTCTAGAGTTCTATACGCCTTAGTTTTTTCCGATCCTATTTTTGGAAAACATCTTCGAATGTCACTCTAAATACAGATCCATGAAGATTTTTTTTTAAATCAAATCCAGAACATATTTAAACTCAGGTTTCTTCTGATTAAACGGAATAAAAAAATGCGACCACATTCACTAATTAATTCCTCTGCAAAGCATGCATATTTGTAGAGCTGTTTGTTTAGTTGTAACCCGTAAATGTTTCCTATGAAACCCCTCTGTTCCCCGTTTGTGTGAAGGTGAATGATGGCGCTCTTAAGCAGGTTGGCAAGTACAGTCCTGGGCTCATCACCCTTAACCTGCAGAATTGCTCCGTAAGTTGAATTAAAATAATGCAAACCTTCTTACGAAAGCTGTTGCAAATAGTCAATGTCGGTTCAGTATTTTAGGTGCTCCGCTTCGGGGTCCACATGCGTGGGTGATGGTTAAGAATGCGTAGTAGTCTTCCCCCATGCGTATCCGGTTTGTACCTCGCTGTGTTTGGCCATGATGATGTCTCGCGTTTTGCTTCCACATGCTGCGGGAGCCTCTTTGGGAACTGAAACTCCCCCAGCATGCCAACCGAAACGTCGGACATCGTGCCAAACAACGCGGAAAACCCGGAAAACACACTTCAGAGAAGCTATATACAGCACAACTACCAACACTTTGCCAGTAGTGTAAAATCATGAGTGGGAAAGGGATTTATCAACGAAGGAATGACCACTAAACCAAGGCCCTTTAGTTGCGATGCTCACTGCCTCTGCATCTCTACTCCAAGTCATATCAGTGGCATAATCAAATCGTTTCAGCCAATTATTTTGTACGTATTTGAGTTAACTTGTTTTTCAGCTGGATTCATTCGTCAATAGCTTTTTGAATTTGTATTACTGTTGATGAACGCACCGAAATGCTCCACATGAAGAGCACTTTAGAAAAGCAAACTGTGTTTCAATGTAATTTGCATCCCTTTTTCAGTCCACTGCTGAATGAAGTTCTCCCCATGCCGTATCTGTCATGCAGCTTGTGTGACTATACTTCACCACCCCAGTCAGTGCTGGTTGATGAAAGGTCTTGCCAAGGATCAGTTCAGATATTACTTGCCACTGATGTTAGCCGTGGTCGGGAATGGTACTAAAATCACCAGGTTCACAAAAGCGCATCGCGCTAACCATTGCACCACCAATACCCCCGTGTGCTCATTAACGGTGTAAAAATCACAGCTCGTGATCCAATGCGAGGCTCATTTAACCGATTAATGCATCACACAATCTTGTTTTAATTAAAAATGCATTGCTGTAGGAAAGCCAATTAAAGTCATTAAGTTTAGACACAAGGAGCTGAATGGGACAAAACATAAGCATCCTTTCCTTACAAGGATTTGCTCAGCCTGCGCCGCCCTGACTCTGCGAGCATACCACTCCATTGGAAATTCCATGCATCAGGGTTGTCAAATGCCATGCGCAAGACTGACGACCTGTCCGAGATATAGAGTAACCCAGTCTGGGAAGGAAAAAAAAACTAATCGCCCAAGAAGCTTCGCCGCTAATGCATTTTCTTTCCTCCCAAGTCTACAAGCAGATGGATGGAGCCGCTGTGGTTGAATGTGCGAACTAAAGTCACAGCGGGCTCATTAGCCGCCCATGGAGTGGCTCGTTGCAGAACAACACTTGGCTCTCGTGCCGCCGTGTAATAAGCTAAAGTGATGAGGCAGTGTTCCTGTCAGGTTCTATTTTGTAGATTACATATTTTTACCCTTCATATTTATTCGTCTAATAAAAAAAACCGACAGCACTCTAACAAGTGCCTGCTTAATTATTGCAGTTTTGTAGGTCGTTTAAAAAAGGGTAGTATCCATTTTGACTGTTTATCCTGGCACTCAGTGGCTTTTTAAACTCTTTGTTGTTGTTGAACATTTTGGTGACCCAGATCACTTGTAAATGAGACTTATCCTGGTCTCTTGCAGTTCTCACCTGGTTAAAATAAATTTCAACTTAAAAATTCTAACATTAGCAGTGGTCCTAAAACAACTTTTTAAAATCATTCTCCATCTATGTGCTTGTCGTGATGCAGCTGGTGTATGCTGTGATGCACCAGTGCAGTAAATATCTTTCTTCGGTGGCAAAAGGTTAACTTCCTCATCTGGTATACAGGAGAGGTAGTGGTTAGATTCTGACCCTGACACCTGTATATTTGGAGTTTGCATATTCTCCCTGTGGTCATGTATATTTTTCTTCGGGTCTACCGGTTTTTCCCTCCACATTTAGAAACATGCTTTTAGAGTATTTGGCTGCTTTTACTTTCTACATGATAACCTACTTCGTTAAGCTATCATCTGTGGCCAGGTCGCTTCTGAAAAATATCTATATAGCTCGGTGGTATAATAAATATTTTTAGTTTTATAGTTTTTGGCACTTCCATAAAGGCTTGGCCTAATTGCTCGGTGTTTATAGCAAGGTTAGCCAGAGGTAACGCACTTTTGCTTTCTCTAAGGTTTTAACTCTACAGAGGCTTGGACACCCATAACGTTTCATTTAGATAAAAATGTACGTCGTGGGAGTTTTATAAATATCAATTTTTTAAATCACCACCCTGGTCAATTACTTCACCCGAAGCACTCGCTAGTGTAGGCAGTGCCATTGAGGGAGGGCGGTACTATCGGAGCAAGAGCTGCCATGGCAGTGCCCATGTCATTGCTGAGCACCCATGGTCTGCTTGTGCATCGCTCACACACTGTTTTTCCACCACCATTTGGATTCAGACCCAGCCATGCTGAGCTGTTCCCAGAACGTTCCCAGCAACATTTCCAGAACCATGTGGGGACTCTGGAATCAGCCCCTCCTGCTCCATTCCCCCTGCCCCCTCTATCTCTTGTCAAGGAACATAAACCATCACGCAAACTACGGTCATCCTCGCAGAAGTGGCTGTTGGCTCGCCATCGAACAAAGACTGGTCACTACATCGCGCACTTTCAGATGCGCTTCTGCGGCCGTCTGGAATGCTGTTTTTTTCCACTGGAGCTATGCACTTTTACATCTAGATTGAAAACTAATTTCTTTAGAACTGCTTTTTGTGTTTAGTTTGGCCTTTCACTGCAACTCTGATTGGTATGGCTGGCTACGTTGTGTGAAAGAAGTTCAACATACATCTCCCTTACCTTTACAGTCGAGTTAAATTATTCAAATTTTTAATAGTTTGTAAATTATATTAAAGTTAGCAACTTTATTGTTAACAAGATTTAAGTTGAAATACATTTTTCATTTTGAGACTGCCTTTACGATGACCTAAGTGAAGACACCATTGACTTGAAGTCTTTCTTTCATGTGACCCCAAATTAAGCCACTTGGCCTAGTTAGTGTTTTCTTGGTCTGGTAAGGCTGCCTTGGGAATTCAGGCCAGGCCCATGAACTGGACCCAGCTCGCTTTCATTGGCTGTGTGAGCGCGGCAATAGTGAATGGCAGTGGGAGTCTACCATTGAAGTTCATGTCGGCCCCTTTTATCCTAACTACAATTTGCTATTGTGTGCTGGTTTGGATGTCTGTGTATATACACAGACCCAACTTACAAACTATACAATGGCTTTTGCCTCAGAACCTTTTAAAAGGGGTCGACTGTTTATGTGAAAGGGGTACCACTTCTCAGTGTACCACACCCACAGTGTAAAGTGTTAATAATTCACGGTACAAATAAAACATTTAAGCATTTTTCTCTCTTAAAACATTCTGAAATTGTTGCTTTCATAGTCACAGCAGCAGGGGTACGAGAGAATGTCCTTTGCTGAACCTGACTTGTTTGTCAACAGAACGGCCAGCTGTATTTATAAACGCAAATGCTCCCAGGTTAATGAACACCCAATGAACTGACTTGACATGGCAGAGCTGGTGCCAGTCGGTTTGCTCCGGAGCCTCGCGCCGCACGCACGCACGAACCCTCTTCCCCCCCTATTCTCCAAGGCTCGACGATGTGTATGTTAATTCTCACTTTCACCAATGCTCCAGTGAGCGGGTGAAAGCCATAATGACCGTGGCATGAACAGAACATGTTTGGTAATTGGTTTGCAGGCTAATGAGTTTTAATTGGCACTGATTTACATTTGGCCCTCGGTTAGCAGTAATGTTGCAGGCCTCTGTGTTTGTTCTTTAATACGATTGTGAGTCACTCTGAGCCACTATGTGTGGTGGCTTTTTGTCTGTTTTCATAGCCCAATGTTGACACACAAATGTGGTGGTGAAGGTGCAGCCCTGCAATTACCTTCTCACACCACTGCTGGTTGAAGAGCTTCCACCTAGGGGAGCTCCAGAGACGTGGGCTATATTTGCAACCATTTGTCGATCTGTATGAAGGCCTCCCCACACCGTGTCGACCCCGTACTCCACCACACTGGTCAGTGTGGGTTGGTTAAGTGGAAGGTCATGGTTAGGTTCATATCTCGCTCGTCACTCGTGTTAGCTATGGCTCAGTGCGCTGCTAACCACTACGCCACCACACCCCACCATTGGTATTATACTTGGGGTAAACGATTCTTGTATATGCATTTATATGTATTGTGAGTTTAAGCTATTAATCGATAATACTATGCATATTATCCAGGGATAAGATGAGAATATATGTTTTCAGGCCTACGCAGTGCTAGACAGTCTTAATTTACATGCAAAACACCCAATAGGAGATGTGCATTACAGAGGAATAACGTTGATTCTTGCTCAAAATACACGTTTAAAATCACGTGTGTAACAAGTTATGTTTTTCATATTTTTTGGGTCTTTCGGTAAAGTCATATAGAATAAAAAAAACTACGACGTTTCGATCGCAACACAAGCAATCGTCATCAGTGGAAGATCAGGGTTAGGTTCATATCTCGCTCGTCACTCGTGTTAGCTATGGCCCAGGAGGATGACGATTGCTTGTGTTGTGATCGAAACGTCGTAGTTTTTTGTAAAAAAAAATTGGTCTACATGACTTTACCGAAAGACCCAAAAAACATTAATTCCTGCAGTCACGAAAGCTTTGAGTCAAGATTTAAGTTATGTTTTCCCTTTGGTCCACATAATATATTACGGGTTCGTGTCAACTCTCCAACCACTAGATGTCGCTACATTTACCACAATGTCATAAAAAAAGAATCGATTCTTTAATCAAATTGTGACCCAGAATTTTGACAATTCATTTCAAAGTCGCCCCGAAATAATCACGAACAGACTACGATGTCTGCAGTGATAGTGGATCTTGCCTTGCGTTGGTGCCACCACGTGGCTCACAGTTGACACTGCATTAACCTGCACAACAATGCGTGGGTGGTGGAATAATCGGGCAGTCAGAGCCAACCCAGTTGTGAGCAAATCATTGCAAAATTACACCGCTGGGTCATGCACTGACACTCACGTGCTTGTGAGCGAGTGGCGGGCCGTCATGTTAAGTTGTGTATTGCATCATGGTGCATCGGGGCACATGTTGGTACATGGTGGTGCATGGTGGTATGTCGTAGTGTGTCTTTAGTGGTACATGCTGGTGCAGTATGATACATGGTGGTGTGTAGTGGTAGGTTGTGTGTGGTGGTGCATGCTGGCGCGTGGTGGTATGTCGTGGTAGCATATGACGGTGTGATGTGGTATGCAGTCATGCGTGGTGGTGTGTCACGGAACTTGACGGCGGTGTGTGTGCAGCGTCTCACGGACGAGGGCGTGATCACTATGTGCCGGGGCTGCCACAAGCTGCAGTCTCTCTCCTTGTCGGGTTGCACGGCCCTCACGGACGCCGTGCTCAACGCGCTGGGACACAACTGCCCACAGCTGCGGTTCGTTCCCCCACCCCCGCCACCTCCCCCAATACCGAAGTCAGTTTATTTTTCACGTCCTCACTTTGTTTACGCGTATGACGCCTTTCGCAGAAATCTGTAAATGGCACCGACTGCAGAACACCGTCTCGAAGCACTTGAGCGCTCTGGAAGGGAGCGGCGGAATCGGTGGTCCTATCAATGAACAATTAACGTAAAAAGCCACGTGAAGAGCACGTGTGTTACCAATCAAATCAAAGTCGACCCAACATCCCTTTTGCTTGTGGTACAGGCACAGAATCTCGGCTGCTTGTCCATTGCTTGTCAAACGGTCTGGTTTTATCCACACGTTGCCTGGCTGAGTGATTTGGCTCTGTGTTTCAGGATCTTGGAGGTGTCCAGCTGTTCCCAGTTGTCAGACGCTGGTTTCCAGGTCCTGGCTCGGGTAAGACAGTGCCATTGTTCTAAACCAGCATGGCTGACTGTTCATGAGTCTCTGTATGTCAAAACCAGTCCACTGTTTGCTTGCTTCAACAAATCCTGCTGGTAATAGTGCTCGCAAAAGGTTCTTTATAGATGGCATAACGTGCGATCGTGACCAATGGATCAGTCCTCCCATCAAGTCTTGAATGTCGCATGGAATTTCCAAACTACATGTACAATGCACACAGCCTAGTTTGTCTTGCTGCTGTACAAAGTATAGTCCTCGTGTTTGACTATTGATTGGGTGATCTAAAACAAGTCTGCCAGCATGTATATATCATCACAATATGATGATGATTTATAGGTGCCACCATGGCGTGATATTAACTACCTTGCCCGATGTACAGGAAGTAATGGGTTTCATCCCGACCCTGACACCTGTAAATTTTCGAGGTTGTCTGTTCCCCCTCGTGGGCGCGTGGATTTTTCTCTCCGTCAAATTTTCACTCCATTTAGGAACATTCTTTTAGAGTATTTGGCTGATATAAATTTCCACCTGATTATCATCTGTGACCAGGTCGCTTCTGAAAAAGAGAAGTGTAGCTCAGTGGGCCTTACCTGGAAAAATAAAAATAGTTTAGTTTTCACTTTAGTTTACATGATGTGCAAGGGAAGATCGGAGAACCTGTGTAATTGTTATTACATTTTTGTTTATAGCCTGCGCCCACTCTTTTGCCTGATGAGTATATCATTTACAGGAGAGTGTTTGAATGTGTTTAGATGCTTCTGCTTAACAAGGGTAGAGGAACAATAGGCACGTAGACTGAAACATACCTCTGTAAAGATACAAGAACAGAGGTTGATTTATTGCTCATAACGTCTCTCCACAATAGCACATTATACATTTCTATCACAGGTTACTCCGTCACACGATGGATTGATTGTTCCAACTTGGATGATGGTAAACCACGTGACTTGTTTCATCTCGCTTCAGAACTGCCACGAGCTGGAGAAGATGGACTTGGAAGAGTGTATCCTGGTATGTTTTATAAGAGAACTCGCATGCCTCTTTAAACAGCAATAACTAAATTGATAAGCACATTAGCATACAGTTTAAACGTGTGTTTACTTTGATACATGTTTCACCTTGAACATTGGAGTAATGCACTGAGCCACTGATGTCCTTCCAGAGTCGGTGCTAAATGCACCTTCTGGTTGATTTTTGTTTCAGGAAGTACCAAATGCATTCTTCAGCTTGGTTGGTGAACGTTAATCGCTGTTGTAATTTTGGTTTCTGAAACACCAACAATCACTTTAATTGGGTTAAAAACCACATACCAACATCGCCTTGTACTAGCCGACTATATATGTCTGAGAAACAGCACCTTCGCCCTTAGCCTTTCGCTATTAAAATGGCTAAATTACCAAATGTATTCAATTTGTGCACAGGTAGAATCGCACCAAAAACATTCTAACCTCATTGTTTTCAATCTCAGGTCTGTACCTTGATTATTTTTTTGTTGTTCAGATAACAGATGCCACCCTGATGCAGCTCTCCATAAATTGTCCTCGCCTTACCGTGCTGGTGAGCAAAACATTTCCAATTGCATACGTCTTGACCATATATTCTGGCTTTGTTATTGAGACAAATATATATCTGCACCCTCTGCACGTGAAGGTTCTTTTATATTATTTCACTCCCATTCGTCTCCTTCGCACCACACTCCGCAGAGTAGGTGTGTAACGAATCGCCACCTTTGTGGGTCGGTGAATTGGTGAATGTAGCACCTCCAGTGGCTGCATGAGGTCGTGTGAAGCCTTTACGTATAACGCACTCTAGTGGAATATAACCGATTCACGCACAATTCATGCGCATTGTTTTCGCCCAAATCACCTGGAATGTTCCTTACTTTGGTAGATCTTGGAAGCTTAGCAGGCTGGAGACTGATTGCATGGTTGACCACCTTGTATAAGACATGCGTAGGCTGATTCAAGGCTGCGTAGTCAGCAGAGGGTGGTTCAGCCAATGCATGGCTGTACTGTACGTCTATTCTCTCTGTGTTCTGCAACGCACATTGACTAGCATGGTGAAATATGATCAAATAACCTGAAGAGATTCTCATCCAGCAGTCGATTGACAAAAGGGCTGTATGGCGACATATATATTGTGAGCATAATAATTGATTTAAATCTACAAATAATTACCCTGTAACACAGAGGGCTTCATCTCAGCCAGATCTGTCCAGGTCAGCGATCCGAAAATATGTTTCCACACTCAACACACCGCATCCATATTCTTCGCTATGGATGTGACTACTCGTCATGTTCCGGCCACTCCAATCTACCAGTGACCGAGGAAAATATTCGGTGACAAATCGATCCCCGATTGGTTACACGCCTACCGCGCAGAGCCTGTCGCACTGCGAGCTGATCACGGATGACGGCATCCGGCACCTCACGAACGGCGCGTGCTCGCACGAGCGGCTCACCGTGCTGGAGCTGGACAACTGCCCGCTGGTGACGGACGCCTCCCTCGAGCACCTCAAGGGGTGCCAGAGTTTGCAGCGCGTGGAGCTCTACGACTGCCAGCAGATCACACGCGCCGGAATCAAACGCCTGCGGGTGCGTTGCCACCTTCACCGTGACCACCGTCATTTCATGCTCATACCGCGCCACCCATGCAGTACGTCCCAGAGTGCCCAGCGCCAAGGGACTCGGTGGAAGGAGGCCTACATTCAGCAGTGGATGAACAAAGGATTATAAATTATCTTAGCTCTATTCATATTCTTTGGTTCTTTCGGTAAAGTCACATAGATTTAAACATAATAATACGAGTAAAGGGAATAAGAATGATAAAAATAATATTTATCAAAAACAAAAAAAACATTCATGTAGACTGTAGCCTGGTTCTTAATCGGAGTGAGTGTACTGGCAGTCTATAATGTAGACTGTAGCCTGGTTTTTAAGCTTGGTGAGCATATTGGCATTCTGTAATGTAGACACGCAATGGTTACGTCGTGTTTTTTTATTTTTTATGTTTTTATTACTGAAAGAACCAAGAATACGTCTACATTATAGACTGGCAGTGATTTTTTATTTATTTATAAGTGTGAAGTCTGCACAGATGCCATCTTTATCATAACCACTGTTCACAATTCCTATATCTAATGTCAACCCTGAAGCAAATCACAGCCTATGTGCATATCCCTAGCTCTGAGCCTGCTTACGTGCACTGTTGAAGTAATTACTGAACTGACATGCCGTCAGAGTGCGAGTGTCCAGTCTGTCACAGTCATTCGCAGTTGACGTGGAGACGCGTTCGTGCAGCTGTCGCGTCACATTTCACTCTTTTTTTACTCACCGTGGACCCCCACGCTGTCTCCCTTTTTGCAGGCTCATCTGCCCAACATCAAGGTGCACGCGTACTTTGCACCCAGCACCCCCCCGCAGGTGGTGCCCGGCCCTCGCTCCCGCCTGTGCCGCTGCTGCGTCATCCTCTGATCGCCGCCGTTCTGCGGTCGGCGTTGTTGACGGCGCTCATACTATCGACACCTTGCCCCCCCCCACCACCACCACCGCGCGCTCTCCACGACCGGCTTAACTTATTTTGGGACAAAATTAAGAACTGAAAAAGGACAGTGGTCGTTATCTGGAACTATGCATCATTCTGCACAACTACTCTTGCCACCAACGCTTCATTGCCGGATGCTTTGCGAAGATAGGAGGGGGACCCCGACTTGGGAAAGTGCGCTCTCGTTTGTCATCGAACGTGGTTTGTCACAGAGGAGCCCTGTGTGCACGCAAGGAGCGGTCTTTGACATTGGCCGTGCTGTGATGGTCTAAGTATTTGAGAACGATGTGTCATTGGTGTAGCACACTGTCGACTGACTGTCATCATGGCTGGCTGAAGTGACCACCATTACAGAAGCAGGAGGAGAGGGAATGTGAAGGAAGCCTTTCTTTGCCACCCTGAAATAATTGATGCTACTGCGAGTAGCACAACAGATTCCCTTACCTTTAAGCAACTTCACCCGCACAAAAAGCACCTCACACACACTCACAGCTGTCTGCCGACATCTTCGAAAATCACGGTCATTAACAGCTGCTGTGAAATGTGTAACTGTAATTATGCCGATTGAGAAATACAGTTTTATTTTTGAAGGCTGTGGCTCATGACTGCGAGCTACACAATTGGTCCAAATGAATCACGCGGTGCCGCACGCGTGTGTTTTAACCCTAAACATACTCGCTCAGATTATCAATAATGCATGTGCTAATGCGCATGTCCCAGTAGGCACAGTGACATTAAGGTGTAGAGTTTAGTCTGGATGGATAATGTGGTTTTAGCTGTAAACATTGTAAAAGCAGCAGTGGTTTGTTGGTTTGTGTGTGTAAAATGTGTGTGTTTTTTTACTTCGAACTTGGTTATCAGATGCTGCTAAGGCTTCAAGAAACCATCATTATACTTGGACTAGAAACAAATATATACGGGACAATTATTTTATTTAATGTAGAAAATATTTTCTCTTGCATTTTTTTCTAAACATAAAATGTGTTTAGTTAGCCTTAAACGAGAAGTAAATAAACTTGAAATTTAGTGTTGAAATAATGGGAGGAAAGGGCGAGTTATATTCGGCACAACTTATGTTGGCCCAGTAGCTATTGGGTGGTATTGATTATTCAATGTTCTGTCTAGAGCAGTTATCGTAATGTTCTTTTCAGAGCAGTCACTAATGCAATAGTGGTCTGCAATACTGGCGTGTAATTCTGGAAAGCATTTGGTAAGCCAATTTACTGATGCACGGTGTGGTGGAAGGGCTTCCAATGCCCTTGACTTTCAGCTTGGTTGAAACCAATGCTTTGTGCAGTTGAAATTCAGCTGATGTTGGTGTGCAGAGTGCCACTTGCTGAAATAATGTGGCACGACTGATATAATGTGACACTCGCAATCCCCTGCCTGTTGAAATTCAGCACAATACGACCGTGTTACTGTCTTGGTACCTCATTCTGAATCAATCGCACCGTGTTCTGTGTACAAATATACATTATTTGAACATCAATGATAACATGTAAGCCAGGATAGAACTTAATTCAAAGCAAACAAAAAGAACCATCGAGCATCATGTATTCATCCTGTTTTATGTTGGTACACTTTGCATTTTTATAGTTTTTATATAACACTTAAGATGCCGTGTGGACCATTTGGCCTCAGATTGAGAGCCCATCTTGTGAGCAAAAAAAAACTCTTCCAACAAGCATTCACGATGGAATCCATAAAATGTTACAAACAAATGTAAAAAAAATATATACAATCAAAAGGTAGCAAAGGAAATTGTGAGACATTTGTGTTGAGAGCAGCACGGACTCGGGGGGACGGACACTCGCACGTCGAGGCGCGCAGTGATCGTAGTCCTGCATGTGATGGCCAGACACATTTTAATGTAAACCAACAACGGGCATGCACAATACTTGTCCATTTTACGAGTCAACGTGGGTAGATTAACTGCTTGGCTCATGAAACCTGCAGCTGACGCCCCAAAACATAAACCGACTGTGGTGTGTAACAGCTGTATATATGTCCGAGCTGTCTCCATCTCCCATTTTCACCTTGGCCAGGCAATGCTCTAAACAGGCAACTGGATTGATGCAAGATGGGGGGTGGGGGGAAGCATTTGTGCCACGGGTTAAGACGCAAGCATTAATACACATGCTGTGGGCGACCACTTTGTTGCCATTGACTGCCGAATGTCACGTCTAAATAGTTCATAAACGCTCCCCAAAACGAAGTAATTTATAATATGAGAAGGTGTGTTGTTACGTCTGTTGCTTTATGTTAGGGGGGGCGGAAAGGAGGGAAGCATTGCAAGCCATAAAAAAACGCCGTTTATAAAATGTGAACAATGTTGCAGAGCAGTAACATTTACCACCGTCAACAACTCGGAAGGGTTTACTATCCGAGCGGACCTTTCTTTAAAGCGATTTTTCCCGCCCACCCCACTACCTGAAGCCACTTGATGAGAGCCTTTTACAGCTGCTACAGGCACGGCTGACACCATCCCTTTCACGGACATCATCCCAGCTGGACGCAAACCTATAATCGCCCTTAAAGCGGAGCGACCGAGATTATGTCAAAGGTGAAGTAGCATCTCCAACAGTGATGACATGGACCTTTGTGCAAGGACTGATTTGAGACCCCCCCCCCCCGTGCAACTTTTCTATTTTGGGACCCTGCCCATGTACTCCGGTGCAGTAGCACCACCTGCCGCTGTTCTCCAAAACTACACGTGGTGGTTGGCTGGCTTTGGAAGTCTCCAGTGTCCTTTGTGGGCCCTATGCCTTTCGTATGTGGTAATCCAGTAATCGTCAAGTGTGCTGGTGGTGGATTGATGATGATGTGAGCAGGGAAATGTTAAATGCACTGGCTCTCCGTGTGGCCTGGGCTCAAGCCCCCCCCCCCCCCCCCCCCCATGACGCATCTGCCGTCACGTGTACTTCAATTCTGTATACATGTACTCATTTAATTAGTTTTGATTACACTGGTAGCTGTATTTATGTTAATAGCTTTGCATTTTTTATTTTCTCTTTTTTTTGGAAGTGCAAACATGTGAGTACATAATGCGTTGTACATGAATGAATGGAAAGTAAAGAAAAAGCTTTCGGAAATGCTGTAGGTTATTTTTATTGGACTAACCGCAACAATTAGCTTGGCTCCATGCATTGTGTAACCAGGAAGGAGGGGCTTGGCTTGAGAGGGGGAGGAGCTTCGTGGTGGAGTGGGCAGGGCTTCGTGGTTGAGTAGGCAGGGCTTCGTGGTGGAGTGGGCAGGGCTTTGTGGGGGTGGAGCTTTGTGGTGGAGTGGGCAGGGCTTTGTGGAGGAATGGGCAGGGCTTTGTGGTGGAGTGTGCAGGGCTTTGTGGGGGTGGAGCTTTGTGGTGGAGTGGGCAGGGCTTCGTGGTGGAGTGGGCAGGGCTTCGTGGAGGAATGGGCAGGGCTTTGTGGTGGAGTGGGCAGGGCTTTGTGGGGGTGGAGCTTCGTGGTGGAGTGGGCAGGGCTTTGTGGGGGTGGCGCTTCATGGAGGAGTGGGCAGGGCTTCATGGAGTGGGCAGGGCTTTGTGGGGGTGGAGCTTTGTGGTGGAGTGGGCAGGGCTTTGTGGGGGTGGCGCTTCGTGGTGGAGTGGGCAGGGCTTTGTGGGGGTGGAGCTTTGTGGTGGAGTAGGCAGGGCTTTGTGGGGGTGGAGCTTTGTGGTGGAGTGGGCAGGGCTTTGTGGGGGTGGAGCTTTGTGGTGGAGTGGGCAGGGCTTTGTGGGGGTGGAGCTTTGTGGTGGAGTAGGCAGGGCTTTGTCGAGGAGGGGAGGGGCTTCACGAAGAGGGGGGGGGGGTATCCACCGTCAGAGCAGCCAATCAACAGTCAAGAGGGGCGGCCTCTTGCGTGGTCCAATCACAAACATCTAATACTGACCGGTAACCGATCATGACGGGTCGTGCAAGGACTTTTATTTGTATGCGGAGTAATTGAGAAGATGAGATTGTCTATTTCTCCTTTGTTATCTTTTTTTAAGTCAAAATTTCTCTTTTGTTAATTATATCGGTTCCACAACTCCTCTTGATTTAAGCAACGCCTGGCTCGTCAAAGCAATCGAACCAATCACTGATCGCTATATTAGCCGCGCCTATTGATTGGCCAACCACGAGCCGCCTCGGCTCCATTAGCCAATCACAGGGAAGGGCGCGGGTGCCCCCCACCCCTCCCCCACTCTGGGCCCGAACAATCCCGGCGTGCACCGCGGCGGGGAAGCACGTGGAGTACAGTGTTCTTGTACAGTAGAGCCATGGCCACGCATGAGAAGGAGGCTTCCGTGGCTCAGGACGCGAAGCTGGCGCCGAAGGTCTCGAGGAGAGTGAAGACGATGAAGCCCACTCCCCCCACCACGGTTCGATCTCCCCTCTACGGTCGCTCGCGAACCGCGCCTTTCAAGTTCGGGCCCAGGAGCCCGACTGGGCTTGATCCTAGGGGACGGCCTTTATTATAATCGTATATTCGCAATGTATTTCCTTTGAGTAATGTTGCAAATGTATTGCTTGTCAAGGGTTGAACGTGCTCTCGCTGCCTTGCTTGTGGATGGTTAAACGTGCTGGGTTTTTTTGGTTACGTGTTTACTGCCATTTGTCAATCCACTGCTGGATGAGGGCCTCCCCACGCCGTCGGTATGATCAAACTTAATGCTGGTCTTGTGCGGGTTGGTGATGACGAGAATAATTGATACTGTACAGCAGCGGAATTATCTGCACTGCACTCTGCTGACGACGTAGCCCTGAAAGCAGCCAAAAAAAACGTGTTTATATTAACTTGCTCGTTAAACATCTCGCTACCCCGCACGTACATAAACATGCACGGGCATAGTCTGTTTATTCACTGCCGTCGCAAGCGGTAAGATACTGAAATATGTTTCAAGTCTCACCCATCTAGGCATAGCTGGCAGAAATTAATCTCTCGCTGTGTCAAATGCTGAACTGTGCGTTTTGAAATGTGTGGTGCGCAGGGCGCTATAGCCAGGCGCGGCGTGGTCTACCTGGGCCACATGCCGCACGGGTTCGCCGAGATTCAAGTAAAGAAGTTCTTCAATCAGTTCGGCAAAGTGACCCGGATTCGCCTCTCCAGAAGCAAGCGGGTAATTGTCATTCATGCATTTACATCAATCCGATACTAGTGCGACTGCTCCACCACGACGCCATGTCGGTCACGGGGGTTGATTGGCCATACTGAAGGAGGTACTCGGAACCAGTTCAGAATTAACTCGCTACTCATTTTAGCCGTGGCTTGGAATTTATTCCAGCTATCTTCTTGGTTCTTTCAGTAAAGTCACGTAGAATGGAAATAATAAAATAATAAAAATAAAACATAATAAAATAATATTCTACGTGACTTTACCGAAAGAACCAAGAAGATGAATCCCTGCAGTCACGAAAGCTTTAAATCGAAATTTGATTCCAGCTAGCCAATGCCCCACTCATCCACCTGATTGGTATACATTTATGTGTGAACATTTACTTTTGGGCCCCCATGGAATACAAAGCTTATGATTCGATATTTCTGGCTTTTCAGAATAGGCCAGTCGGCTTTTGCCAAGGAATTTGCCGCATTTAAGCATGTATACAGCACAGATAAGGCAAGAGAAAAGTGGAGAGAGACACGGCTATATAACTGGTTTGCTATGAGAGATGGATGGTTTCATCCCAAGCACGTGCGAGTTGCTCGTCTAGATGGTCACTTCATACGGATTCTAGAAAATACGTGAATTTCTAATACCATAATGCCGAGTTTTTCTGTACTGAAAAATAATTTCATTCCAGGGTCTGACAAGGCTTTAAGGGAACATGTATATATTTAATATTGATTATACATAACGCAATTAACGCAGTACAAATTGGGCTCAATGTACAGGTTGGTACTGTCCTATCCTCCTTAACACTGTCCCAGTGTAGCTCGCGTCAATGATACTGTTTGCTCTCCAGCCAGGTTCTGAGTTGAGTCTTGTGAATAGAGAATTTAATATAACGGAATTAAGCTTTTGTTGATTGCACCACTTACAGTATATATAACCTGTATGTGTGTGTGTCAAGAGCGCATCATAATTGCGTGGATGTCACAATGCTTTGTTGTTTACATGTAGAAATGTGTTTTTTCTCCTTTTAGACTGGGCAGCCCAAGGGCTATGGCTACGTGGAGTTTGAATATGAAGAAGTAGCCAAAATTGTTGCAAACACTATGAACAACTACCTTTTCTACGAGCGCCTGCTGAAGTGTAAGTTTGATGCTCCAAATGACTGTTCATACTGTTGTATAACGCTTTCCATTATTGTTTGAAAGTGTTAATGCATGTGCTGTATTTCGTCTGATTGTAACAAGAAAGGCCCTGTAACTCTCATTAAGATGATCTAATATGAGTGAATGTATAGTATAAGTTTGTGTTTCTATGAGGGACGTGACCTTTTGAAAACTGACCAAATTGATTGAAGGGTTGGTCAGAACTTTGATAGCCAAACCAGAGCAAAAAATATACTATTTGCCTCCCCTGAGGCTACGCATCAACGTCCAGCCTAGCCTGCCATTACCAAAAACAAACGTATGTTGGAAAGCGTTACTTAATACATTTGCATGATAGTTCCTGATTTGTTTTATGAAACTAGCAGTAACACGTGTATAAAAATAAAAGTTAGGTGGTGTGACCTGACCTGGATGGTGGACAAACAATGGAGTAATTTGTTGTGATTACGCCTGGGACACCTGTTGACAGAAGGCCTAAATGCCATATTATAGAATTTATACTGCCATTGATCGGACATTGTTCGATGATACTTAACCAAGTAGGTTAACCAAGTAGGTTAAGTGGAGTTTGGTGAATGGGGGGACCTGAAACCGATTCTACTATCACTTGCAACTGGTGTTATCCATGGTCGGGAATTGAGCTCAGATCACCGAGTGAATCCGACAGCGAAAATCGCTGACGGGAGTGAAATGTGATTCTTACATCTGCATAAGGCACGCATTTTTAATATGTTTTTATCGGTCGCAAACAGTGTAAGAACCGTATTCCTCCTTCAGAGATGCATGCTCGTTATTCCCAATATATATTTTGCTACTGCGGTGTGAAAGAAGTTTAACGTATGTTGCGCGACATTGTTTAAGGAAACACCAACCCGCGTCCTGTTTCTGTATGTTGAACAGGCGAGTACATCCCTCCAGACAAAGTGCACGAAAAACTGTTTGTGGGAGCCAGCCGAAAGTTTCACATGCCAACCTTCCCAGCCGTGAAGCGCAACAACCGTCACCGTACACCGGAGCAGGCTGTCCGCATGACAAAGCGCCTTCTAAGCAAGGAGATGAAAAAACGCAAGAAGCTCGCCGGCTGTGGCATCGACTATGACTTCCCTGGATTTGTACGTATTTTACAATCATTTTAATGAAATTAAATAGAGTATTTATGGTCAGATTACTTGGGTCGCGGTTTAACCGTGCTTGCATAAAAGTAAGAACTATATCTTGAAGCTCGCTGGGTTAATCTTCGCTCGTCGAGGGTCAGCGACTCGGTGCCTGCGGGACTGGAAAGTGAACAAATTTCTTTAAAAAACAGACGGTACATTCTATGTATGTCATTCAAATGTCATCAAATATTTCTATTGTCTCATTTATGTGTTTAATTATCGGTGTTCTATCCGGGTCACCCCTTTTACCATTTTCCTGGATCATTGGGAGTTGACTATTTTTAGGTTAATATTTTTGTCATCTTAATATGACGTCGTTCATGTAATGGTATAGTTAAACTACACCCCCCCCCCCCCCCAATGTTGTAGTCGTAAAGCTGGCCGATATAAACTGCATTAGTGCTGTGTAGTTCAACTAAAATGTCAATTTTATGCCACGTCAAGGCTTTTTTTATTCATGTAAAATATCGGGAATAAAAAGTTACATGAAATAATATTGCTAATAACATTTACGACCAAGTTTTTAACTTGCACTTGTGGATCAAAACTACCAATCGATGTTCAGCAGTTATTCTGTGTGCCCTGTATTTTATGTTTTAAGCATTAACCCTTTGCTCGTTTTCAGGCAGTGGATGCAAAAAAGATTCTCGCAAGTGCGGTGAGTAGATTTCGTTATTTAATATTTCAGTTTTTTAGATTAATGCAGACATTTCTTTTTCACTAAGATTCAATGTGTAAACGCATTCGATATTGTCTTTCTGTGATAAAGGAGATTACAATTAATACAATTTTAGGGTAAAGTTGTCTTCCTATTAAGGACATACGAAAAGAAAACTGGATAAGTTGATCAAAGGGGTTGTCAAAAACGTGGTGGGAAAACCCAGCACAAAAGGAATTAGTGGCTAAGCTAAAGACATCATATGGCATGCGTGGTGTGATGTCTTGGCACTCTGTGGCACTCAGAATGTAACATTGCTAACAAATGCATCTCATTGTAAGCTTTTCCTGCCATATGAAATAAGATTATTAAAGTGGCTCCCACAGCCCCTGGTTCTGCTCTGGGTCCCCATCCGAGAAACTTGGAGCCAGACTTGTTTGCATGTGTGTGGTTTTTCATATTTTTCTAAACATGCTTTTGTTCTTCAAGGCGGGCAAGAAAGCAAAAAAAAGTAAAGGAGAGACAAGTACGAAAAGCATTGGGGAAATACCCGAAGTACCTGGGAATGAAACTGAAAACATCGAAGAATCCAAGGAGACCGAGGAAACTGAAAAAGTAATCTTTATATTCATATATTATTTAGTGTCCATTTACATTGTAACTTTTAAATTAATATATCACATTGTTTGATGGTGTGTTTGGCAGTTTTGTACAAGTATAATAAAAAAAACCCTCATAACATGAATAATACCACCTTAAAAGGAAAAATCTAAAATATGGTAAACCTGAATTTGATAGCAATTGAGTGAAGAAGGGTGATTGTCCGATACGTCCATATTATTGATGAATATTGTTGAGGTTTTATTTAGTTATTATATGACGTCTATTTTTAAAAATATTACATTTAATGAAATATTGTCTGTGTAGGCTCTGGAAACATCGAAGACGGTGGATCCTGCCGAGATCGATATGGATTGGCTCGCCGGCCACGACGATGACGAGATCACCTTCCGCTCTCCTCCCAAAAAAGTGGCCGTATCGACTCCTTGCACCTCTGAGGAAGCCGCTCCAGCCCAAGAGGAACCCACAACGCCGTCACCGAGTCCACTCAAACCTAAAGCGATGCAAAGAAAGAAGACTCCGAATCGCAAGGGGAAGGGCAAGAAAGTAAATTAAAACTTTTGCTGCTCAAGTGTGATTTGGGAAGAGTTTTATTTGCAAAAACAAAATCTATCTTTGATGTAAGATAATTTCTTCTGCTTTCTCTCAGCCGCTCTTTGTGTACAAAAATCCCACGTGTGTGGGTGTGTAGTTCGTAGGTTTCAAGCCCCTTACAATTATAATTTGTACTTCTGTGACACGTATATGTAACGGGATCTCATCACACTATACAGAAACTGGGCATATTTATTTTGAAGAGATTCGCACTGGCAGTGCATTTTGCATGTGATACCACAGCCTGGGTGGAGGAGGGTGGGTTGGTGGAGGCGTTACCAGGGATGTGGGTGATGTCATCAACGTGAAATTGTTTGCCTGTGCACCAGCCAGCAAAACTTTGATTGTGTAGTATTAAAAAAAATTGTTCATAGGCCGAGTAAACAAAGAAAGGTGTTGAGCTTGGACTGAAATAGTAACTTAGATTCTGTGGCCTGGCATGAACCATACGTTTTTCATGTTTTTCTGACTCGGAATTACTCTATCGGTTACTTTTGGTATAACTTACTGTGGTCTACATTCAATGTATCAATTAGATCTAAGTTTGGCAAGTGTAAAAGTGATTGAGTTATAGATTAAGCATATCAATACAAGCTGGTATAATGTATCATACCCAGTGTAAATGAATTTGCGGAAATATACTTTTACTTTTTACTAAAGTATGCAGCAAGGCTAAAAATAAAAGATTCTTTACATTTCAGGCTTGAAGCACGACGTTTTATTGGCGCATCTCAAGTGCATTTTAGACATTTCCTCCTTCAGCTGATAGGTGGAGCCATGAGCTCTCCATAGTTGTAACTCCGCACTCCCTCTCGTGTGTAGTCGTGTGTCACCGACATGTGCCAGGCAATAATTACACTGAGTAATACCGAGTCTTGTCATGGATGAGTCACATGATGATACAGTAATTATAGAATGCATTTCCTTATTTTATATATAACTTTGCTCATTTTCCAACCCACGTGTCCCATATTAAATCTCTTTCAACAATGTCACGTCAATGCAGCTTATTTTCTATCGGTATTTTGAATTCATGATGAATATTTCATAGATAACATACAATGATTAAAAGTTTTTTTAGGCACGTCGGCATGTTACTGCTGCCTAGATTTTTTTGCAGTTGTGCTCTATACCTCTGGACGTGTTGGGTTACCATGTGTTTGGCACAAGTCAGACAACCTGAAAACAAGCTGAGAGCCACATTGGTCTGTTGATATTCATTAAGTTCAGAACAAAAACTTAGTGCAAAGAAGCTTAGAGACGCACATGCTGACAAGAATGGATAGATGCAAGACTGTACAAGTGTCAAGACTTATTGAGTTAACAAAAGTGGGCTTTGGCAGAACACGTTACTTGAAAGGTTGGGGGCCGGTGGTCAAGACTAATGGTGGACTGGCAGCTGAAGGAGGAAACATGTCCAACAGGATGGCCGTCGTGGAGAAGGAGCTCCGTGGAATTGCCTCGCGTGCGGGGATGCCTTCAGCCACCAGTGAATTTGCAAAGGGGTGAAAGTTATTTCATGATTAGGATATGGTTTCGTATAAGTGCAACATTGCATTTTTTATTTTGTGCGTGTCATTATTTAATTGCTCCTGCCACGTGCAGTACACACGGGGAACGCGGCCTCCAGTGATGGCTCCACTGATCTGTAAGTCTGTAAGCAAAACTCTGCATGGATGTATTCTAACGAAACGATCCTAATTGGATACACTGAGCATCAAATTGGTCTGACTGAAGAGGCATCTGCGTGCAATGCAGCACTGCAAAAAGCGCCGAAAAGATGATGCATTGCAAAGGGGAGGAGAGGCCAGCAGTGTGGGGCTGGAATGGACGAGCAACAAACACGGGACCAATTGTCCCTTTCACTGACCGTAACGCGCAAACCAGTCGGTAATCGGAGCCCTCATAACTGACCTTGGCCAACGAGCCAGCTATCCACCAATGCTTCCTTTCCCACGTAAATCACCATGAACCAATTGACCAACCTGCCAGTAGTACTCGCCCTCCCACTGACCTTAACTCTAACCAACCAGCTACTACGTTAATATCTTCATGGTTCTTTCGGTAAAGTCACGTAGAATAAAAATAATTAAAATACAACATTAATGAGTGGAGTTTGTCTGGTGCCAGGATGTAGAGTGGAGTTTGTCTGGTGCCAGGATGTAGAGTGGAGTTTGTCTGGTGCCAGGTGCCAGACAAACTCCACTCTACATCCTGGCACCAGACAAACTCCACTCTACATCCTGGCACCAGGCAAACTCCACTCTACATCCTGGCACCAGACAAACTCCACTCTACATCCTGTCACCAGACAAACTCCACTCTACATCCTGGCACCAGACAAACTCCACTCTACATCCTGGCACCAGACAAACTCCACTCTACATCAGGGCACCAGACAAACTCCACTATACATCCTGGCACCAGACAAACTCCACTATACATCCTGGCACCAGACAAACTCCACTCTACATCCTGGCACCAGACAAACTCCACTCTACATCCTGGCACCAGACAAACTCCACTCTACATCCTGGCACCAGACAAACTCCACTCTACATCCTGGCACCAGACAAACTCCACACAACATCCTGGCACCAGGTGAGAATTATTTTATTATGTTTTATTTTTATTATTTTATTATTTTTATTCTACGTGACTTTACCGAAAGAACCAAGAAGATGAATCCCTGCAGTCACGAAAGCTTTAAATCGTACGTTAATATCCTTCCCATTAATCCTACACCTAAACCCCACTTCGCCAAAGGTCCTTTCACTTTTTATTCGCTTGTCAGTTGTGATGTTTGCGGAGCCTTGGCCATCTCCGCGTAGGGATGTTACACCGCTGGTTACACAGGTGACTACTGGCCACACCAAAAACATGTGGTTGATGTGCTGCAGTGTTCATTCAATATTTTCCATCCCATTAGAGAGGGCAACCTTTGATGTTACGGAATGGTCCACAGAACTGGATATCAGCTGCTACCTCGAAGATCCCTTCAAGTGACCTCTGACACAGTAGGGGGCAGCACTTCACTAACCGCTCTGGCACAGAGGAATGTTCATTCAAACCGATGATGATGTTTTAAATTATCCGAGCTGGAATTAATGCAATGTGATAGGGTTTTTTTTTTACACGCGATTATTGACTGAACACTTGAAATCCCTGTTTAGTTACAGGTGGATCATGCCTGCATTGAACCCAGGCTCTAAGCAGCGCTGTGCCACCCAGCCATTTGATGCGCTGCAGTCTTAAAATAGCCTGCAGTCACGCATCGGAATATGTGCAAGTGGGTCATTGTATCAAGTCGAATATCTCTTTAGGAAAAAAGTCTGGCAATTGAAAAACTATAACAAGTTATAGCACTCGCTATAATATCAATAAATATGAATGTGTTGTTTTTTTTACACGATGTACAGTTTTTACATTTTAAACCTTGCAATGCAACTTGATTAAATGGTCAAATACTTGAACATGAATTTCCCCAAAAATAGCATCGTTTTTTCTCTTGTACATAAAACATACGAAATGTAGCCTCTGTAATTGTCTTTATCCAGGAAAGAGCTCACCGAGTCTGAATACTCTGTCCAAATGGTTCTGCATTGGGATGTTTGATCCTCTTCCAATATTGAGAAATTGGCATGTGGGAGGAAACCGGAGTACACAGAGCAAAACCGTACATACCAGTAGATGACATTCAAACGACCACACAGATTCAAGAATCCATTGCTGCACTGTCATCTGGCCAGCTCACAGTTCAAAACTACAACACCTCGTATTTCCAGGCAGTCTCATATCCAAGTACTGAACAGGTTGAACGCAGCTTCGCTTCCCAGATCTGATGAGACCGGGAAAGTTAATGGTGATTTTGTTGTAAGCTGCAAACCCAACCCATTGTTTACCATGTCAACTATTAGTAGGCGTTCATTTGCTATTTGATTCGTGTACATTTAAATATGTTCTAAATTGGGTTTTACCCTTTAATCTGGCATCAAAACTGGCACCTTTATACAAGGGATCATGTTTGCAATAACCACAACACAAGCAGTCAAAATGCAAACAAAGAGAGACACTCTCATAATGATATGCACTGTCCTTGAAGTTGATTGGTCCACACCCGAGACGGCTTTTCTTCGAGCCTAGTCTCCGCTGGTGTTGGACCAGATGACGCTAAAAGGCGTACAACTAAAAAAAGCCCACTATCAGAGTATTGAGAGCTCGGGGTAAGCATTTACACTATGAGACCTTTGCCAGTAGCAAGATAGAGTACTAGGTTTTTACCCTTTTATCTGGCACCAAAATTGACACCTTTATACAGGGGATCATGTTTGCAATAACCACAACACAAGCAGTCAAAATGCAAACAAAAAGAGACACTCTGATAATGATATGCACTGTCCTTGAAATTTGCAAACATGATCCCTTGTATAAAGGTGTCAGTTTTGGTGCCAGATAAAAGGGTACAAACCTATTACTACATCTTGCTGCTGGCAAAGGAGGTCTCATAATGTTCTTAATTGTCAATACAGTTGCTAATCAAGAGTTAACTTTTTTGTGAGAACTATTTCTAGTTATTAGGCCCTGGAGTATCCAAATGCATTACTCATCCGCAGAGAAATACCCTCCGTGCAGCAGCAGCAGCAGCTGGAGCTGAATTCTTGATGCGGTGCATAATGCGAATGCAGTCACCGCTCAACAATTTGAGGACAGTCTGTCAGGTCTTGTTGCTTTCTGTCTGCTCCACTTTGCCAAATCCAATTAGCTGCTTAAGCCAGACGAAGTTATGGTGGTCAGCGGCGCAGGTAAGCGTCTGCCTGGCGCAGATGGCTCGTCACCGCTTATGGAATTGCCTTGGGTAAAGCCACCCACCCCCACCTCTGTTTGATCACCTCCCATCATGGTGCGCCTCCGCTTGACTGTTCTGCTTCCACAGTCCTGCACACGAGCCCCCAGAAGCAATCGAGCTGTCGCAGCTCAACCATTTGGACACACAAACGATGGATGAACATTAATCATAAACACTGCCTTGTAATATACACATATATAGTCGGTTGACGTTTGGACTAGGGCTCTTAGAAACGAGAGGGCAAGGTGATATATTGATTTATTATAGGTGGCGATTGAACGTTTTACTTTGGTGTCCTAAGTTAACCAAGACATTTTAAGAGCAATGTTCACTATAAATATACTTTAAAAAATGCTTAGAAAATCAAATGCTGTACATATAAACAACTGACATTTTCTCAGCACACTGCCACCCCCCCCACATACATTCTATGGCTGGTATCTGTCATAGAGCCTAACGCTCCATGCTGTGTACACACAGAGCTCTCTTGTCAATCAAACTGCTGGGTGTGGGCCTCCCCACGCTGTGTGGGTCGTGGGAGTTATTTTGACAATTTTTCACGACGATGGTCATATCAGGTTGACGAAGGTGGGGAGCATACGTCAATAAACGATATCTTGGTCGTGACTGTGGGGCATTTCTAATGACCGCCTAGACTAAATGTAATTGCCTAATAGGATAATGTATACACATTGCTAAGCTAAAAAACGTCACTAAACACAAGCATCGGTCACTTCACGAAATGCCACATGCATGAAAGCACTGTTGGGCTGACAGATTAAGCAGAGATAATTGTGCTCTGAGAATCTGAAACCCCATAGCTCTGGTGGCCTGCAGGAGGCTGAGACCCCGCCACCCTGTTGATGATTATTGTAATGATCCACTTTTACATATCTATTATGTATATTCGGATTGCAATGTCGGTCACCGGCATTGTGCACGTGGTGTTGATGATGACGACGATCGTAACAAAATGAAGACATTCTCATTTACTCTCGCATCTGGTGATTCAAATAATCAGCGTGGGGAGTCCATCATCCAGCAGTGGATTGACAAAAATGGCTGTACATGTACATAATGACATACGATGACGATTACGACGATAAAATAAATTAAACATTTTCATTTAATCTCGCATTTGCATCGTCTGCACCACTAACCCCCACGAACAACTCCCTGCAAATGCATTTCCCTAATCTCTTTTAATGCGCGCTGGCCGCATGCTCAGCTTTTCCCAACATCATCGTCATCATCAACCCTTGCCGCTGCTTCCCACGATTCTCCGTGCCGTGACTCCGGCGCCCGTGTTGACCGGCATCTTAGCACCGAATATCCAACCATGAGTTTGCTCCTCATTGGCCGTACGAAATCATCATCATCACCACCACTACAGCCACCGCCACCACCGCTCACTGCAGTGGTCACGCCGCGTGTGCGATCCCGTGTTGCCTGCCCCCCACCCCCATTCTCGCAGAAAGCCGTGGCAGCTGTCGGCACGCTCGGCGCAAAGCCACCACGGGCTCATGGACCCCCATCGCTCACGCTTTGGCCGAGGTCACCCGCACGTCTGTTGGTCATCAACGGTGACCTCACGCGTCCATCGGCTTTTGTTTTGGTCTCAGCCTGAACGTGCAAGGGGCCACGCGACTAATATGCCACAGCCGTAGCGAGCGGTGTGTGTGTGTATGTATTTAATATATTGATGTTTAATATATACTTAATGTGGGTTGGCGCGTGCGAAATATTTTACAGGTATCCGACCCGGTTTCTGAAATTTCGCTTTGGTCGTATTGCTAACGTCTCCACGGTCACACGCGCCCTCCTCAAAGCGACTGCCATAAAATATGTCGGGTAAATAATAATAATAATAACAATCAGCATCAATCCACCGCTGGATGAAGGTTTCCCCACGCCGCGTCTGTGGTGCGGCTTGCTTGAGACTTGAAACTCGGCCACCCTTGGGGCCGATTTTGGTGTTGCCATTGATGATGGCTCACCGTGACACCACCGCTCCCGTGCAGGGCACCACGGACGAGGTTGTTTGGTGATGCTTCCCACCACCCCAGAACGGTGGTTGTCGAGAGAAGCTGGGGGAGCTGGGGGGCCAGACAGGAGGCCCCCCCCCCCCTAACCAAAGCCGGCTCAGGTATCAACTTTGACCATCGATGTTAGGCGCAGGCGAGAATTCAAATTCGGGTTCGCAATGCTGCGGTCAGTGGCGCGTCTCCACCGTTCTTCGTGGCATTTTTGGAAATTGAATTAATTAAATAGTGATGTGCAGATTCTATTAATAGATGTATTTCCCTTTGATGGTAAATAATAAATCTGTAAAAGTTATGTGGGGAGGGCGAGGATCCATATGGAATATACTGACGGATTAGCAAATTTTCAGCTTTCATAAATATAATTTGAGAATTTCAAACTGTTGCATATTTGCTCAAATAAGTATGTCTGTACATAAGCCTGCTGTTTGCATAATGCACCGCACGTCAATAAAACACCAGGCATGTATGCTTGAGTGTGTATGAATACATGTGGAATATATTAAATAATATACTGCGTGTGGGTTTTTTACTCCGCTGTGTATTTAGTGCACAGATAAACACACAGGCAGTATACAAATGAATATACAGCACAGTGCATTTGTATTTGCATGCTTTCTGTGCAGTTAAATGTCAATTCTGTGCATGCTGGATACCACGCAAGCAAACACACAGACAGTATATAATTTTATATATACTGCATATGTGCGTACTTACCTTCTGCTAAGGTATACACAAATACAGTATACATATAACATTATATACTGCATGTGTTTGATGTGTGCATGCTGGATACTGCTCAAGCAAACACACAGACAGTATATAATTGCACATATACTGCATGTAGTATACACACAATACATGCGTGCATATTCTGAGTACAAATATACATGCGTGGGTACATATCAATAAACGCAGCAAATATGAAATTACACACTGCTTGCGTGTTTACTTTAGCGGTACATGTATGCAGTAAATGTTGAGTGTTCATTTCCACAAGACACTGCTATTTTACAATACAGTGCTTCCAATTGAAAACAAAAACAAACACACACCACACCATTCTTTCAGCACGCACAAGCAACATTCATTCATTCCATCCTCTCGTTTGTGGTACAGCTGTATGTATCATTAGGGCTGCAAACTGACATTGTTTGTCCGTCTTGGGGTAGGTATATGGCTCGTTTTCAAATTCACCCCCTCTACAAAAATGCTAATGTTTCTGCAATGGCATTGCAGTTGTTAATCTGCAACACACGCACGAAGGGCATCGATTCTTCTCCCCTCTCGTTTCCTTCCCCGCTTTGGGCTTTGGCAAGACGGAGAACGCGCTGGGAAAGAAGTAAAATATAAAAATATAAAATCCTCGTGTTATCGTCGAAATAGGCAGAGCCTTGCGCGTGCGATTGTGATGTGCGTGCTACCAAATGTGACCTCATTGAGCCGCCCTGTGCCTCGCACGGGGAAGAGAGAGGAAGAGGGAGGGGAGATGAGAGAGGGTAAGAGAGATGAGGAGGAGGAGGGGAGAGTCAGCTGGAGAGAGAGAGAGAGGAGAGATGAGAGAGGGTAAGAGAGAGGAGGAGGGGAGAGTGAGCTGGGAGAGAGAGAGGAGAGATGTGAGAGGGTAAGAGATGAGGAGGAGGAGGAGGGGAGAGTCAGCTGGAGAGAGAGAGAGAGGAGAGATGAGAGAGGGTAAGAGAGATGAGGAGGAGAGAGTCAGCTGGAGAGAGAGAGGAGAGGAGAGATGAGAGAGGGTAAGAGAGAGGAGGAGGAGGAGGGGAGAGTGCTCTTATTCTAGAAGGTTTGTGCCGTGCTGTGTTTGTGTGCGGAGCGCGCCGTGCTCGCTTCGCAGTGCCGGAGGAGGAGGAAGCGGAGGCGATGATGGAGCAGTGGGATGAATCCATCGCATCCTCCACAAGCACCCACCCCCCACGTCCTCTCTCTCCTCCCAATGAGAGAGCCTCTCCCGCATAAAGAGGCAATTGTGACCGGCGGCTTCTGTCCCAACGCTCTCGCTTGCTCTGCTCTGCTCTCGTGTTGGGGGGGGGGGATTTTCTTGTAAAAAAAAAATAAGAATCTGGGCATTTATTTATTTATTTAGTCCGCTAACCTCTCCCCCCCCATCCCACCGCCTCGACCATCTCTCGACGCAAGAAGAAGCGTCCAGCATTCATCACACAATGGCTATCGGGCAAGGTGAGTGAGCGCGAGAGAGACATTTTGTGTGGATGTTGCTTTGGGTTTTGGTGGGGGGGGGGGGGGGGGGTTGACGGGGTTGATGGTTGTGGTGGTTGTGGTGGTGATGGTGGTGTTGTCGTCTGTCCGTGCATGCGGAGTGATGCTGCGGCGGTGCTGAATTGTCAACGAGACGTCGTTCGGTGCTGCCCTCGGCGGCGTCCTAATTTGCCCGATGGCAGCGGGCAGGCAGCCCCCCCGGCTCCGTGTTTCCCACCCACAACACTGCCCACCCACCCACAACACTGCCCACCCACCCCTCTCCGCCTTCTCTCCCACCTCCACGCATGCTAAAATGTACAATGTTCACGGACCAATTCCTCCGTTGCTGCAGCCTCAACGTAGCGAACCGGTGCCCGTGCGCGATATCGGTGGCGGTCACGTTCACGCAGCCAGTGGGGAAGAAAGCCATCGTCTCTTTGCTGCTGATCTAGGGAAGGTAATGTCAAGGTTGAAAGATATTTGAGCGCACATGGACGATGGTTCAGCTACGACTGACGCAGGCATACAAGAATACAATTGTGTGTTTCATAAATCAAAGCTTGCCTTTGCCTGCTCCCCACAGCGTTTGTATTCCCAGTGCAGCGGCAGCAGCAGCAGCAGCGAAATGTTTTTGCAACGAGAAGAGATTGCAGTACTGTACAGTGTATTTGAACCGTATCATTCTAAGCGTTTGCAGTGGCACAGTTGGTAATGTGTGTCAACGGAGGTTAAACCTGGCTTGCTTGCAAATCATTCTCATTAAATTTATTTTCTGTCGGTTCACGTGTAGCGATCGAAGCGGAATTGCCATAACGAGCGTGACGTTTCCTCCCCATGCCTGCCATCGCAATTACAGAGTCCGTAATTGCGATGAGGATTTTAAATTCCTTTTGAAGATTTGATATTTTTTTCTGAGAATGTCCCCTTCCTGACATCTTTGCATCGCAGCCTCCCAGAGGTTGGAGCTCCCCAACCGCCTGCAGACTCTTTGATTGATAGCATTGAAGTGTGGCACGGAACGAGACTATCTTGTGCTGTGCTGTGGGTCAGAGATGAGTTTCGGATTTTTCAGGACAATTAGGGATCTTAAAGTGATCGTTTAACAAGCAATTCGTGCTCACAAAAAGTCGACCAATGCCACGTAACACCACTTTGGCGGGAAACGCTGACCAGATGCCATGGAAGTAACCTCGCATCCTGTTATGTCATCTTTCCGGCTCAGTGAGAAACAAAACACTTTTTGGATCATTCAAAAAATGCCATATATCTTTGCCCGAGCGTTCGGACTAATCCACAAATGTAGAACACATCCCTGGTGTGGGCTCATGTGGCCTCCTTTCATCAAGAGGGAGTCACTTGGCTCACGAGGTCTCTACCATCAATGTGCTCATGTCAGGTGTCATGCATTCCCATTACAATGCCAAGCTGAGCCAAGTCTCTTCTCATAACACGCGTGTTCAGGAGCAAGGCAATGCCAGTAAGAAGGTGATAGGTTATGAACATTCAAATCTGTCCATTCAGGGAGCTTGTGGTGTTTTCATATATATAGTTGGCTGACATTTCAATCAAGTTCCTTCAGAGCCAACAGAGAGCAATAACAGAAGCATACAACGAGTCGGATATTACAATTTACACCATGGGGCTTTGAGAAGAGCGGGCAATTTTAAATGTTTACATTTTAGAGATGGATGCAGTGATTGTTTTTAGAGTTGAGGTTCCACACCGCTGGAAACGCACAACCATTAATTGCATTTATCTCTTTGCACATGGCAATGTATTGATGTGCCGAGTGTGGAACGTACGGTGTCTATCTTCCGTCAGTCAAATATGTGGGGATATCGAATTCACCTGCAGATGATGCTTGATATCCAAAGAGACACATTGACGCTTCATTTCGTCTCATGGGAAGTGGTCTAAGCGTCTGCTGATGAACTTATGTTTGACCAAATGTAGTGAGGATTTTCCCCCCCTTTTTTTCAGTACTGTTAATATCTTTGGCGTTGAGCCTGTTTTTGAGTTGTTCCAGCAGCACTTGCCAAGTCGTACAGAAGAAACGCGTGGAATACTAATCGAATCGCCGAATGTGTGCCAGGTTACTGTACATTCGGCGGGAGTGCATGTGGCATTTAACAGTTTGACAGGTCGTTAAAAAAAGTGATTGCCACTTACCTGTGTTAACAGGTAAGGGCAGGAATGCCTTTGGATGATGAAATCCAATGCTGGGGAAGAACATTGGAAATTGTCATTGAAGCAGCAGTCATGTGGAAAGGTAACGAATACGCCTGGGGAGTGGAGCGATCAGCACGCTGCCCTGTAAACTCGGCAACCTGAGTTCAATTCTTCACCACAGTTGACATCCGTAGCAAGTTGTATATGAACCAGTCCCATGCATCCGCTTCACGAATCCACAATGTCAGTGTGGTGTGTGGAGACATCCAGCAGTGAAATAACGAGGGCTCTACGGGGGTGGAATTTTGGGTGGGCATTGTGCTTTGAACCCAGCGACCTGAGTCTGTTTCTCGGACTCGGCTACCGCCGACGGTGACTGATATATGGATGAACCGGCCAGAGGCCACCGCTTCACAAACGTGCAATGACCAATTTGAAGAAGTCGGTCAAACAACCCACGTCAAAGACCTGGTGCGTGGGTAGGCCTTCATCCAGCAGTCTATTGCCTAAGAGAATAACTTATAATTAATTCGTATTTTAAAGAAACAACTTTAACATAATTTCAGTTCGTGGAAGCCAGTGGGCTTAATATTCAAGTGAATCGACTGTAAAAACGTTTCTCATTGTAAGCCGCTTTTCCGCTACTTACAGGAGGTGACCTTTTTTAGCCAAATGCCTGACATCTGGCTGCTGGAGTAAACACGCGGAAACCCATGAGTGCGTGTGGGTGTGTGTGTGCGCGTTCATGTATGTGCGCTTGTTTCAATGTGTGTGCATGTGCGTCTCTGCATCTTGGTGACCTTGATTTGCAATTTGCGGAACCGTGTCCGGGCGCCGTCCAGTCTGAGGCGGTGGTCTTATGACCAGCCTCACGCCACAGTGTATAAAGGATTGCCTTTCAAAATCCCACTTGCATTTAGGCTCTTTGTCAAAGGCCATCGAAATCCGTACTGCAGACACTGTATTAACACAAGTTTAATAATGGAGATTAAACAAAGCAACAACGTGAAATGATGGCAAATGCCAATGTGAATTACGTATACGTATGTTGAACTTTAAATTTAGATTTAAAGCTTTCGTGACTGCAGGGATTCATATTCTTGGTTCTTTCGGTAAAGTCACGTAGAAGGGAAATAAAAATAAAACAATAACATTCTCACGACGTTTCGATTGCAGCACAAGCAATCATCATCAGGTGTGAAAACCACAGCAAGAACATTTGATTGCTTGTGTTGCAATCGAAACGTCGTGATAATTGTATTGTTTTATTGTTTTGTTTTATTTTTATTATTTCCCTTCTACGTGACTTTACCGAAAGAACCAACAATATGTTGAACTTATTTCACACCGCGTTAATGGGAGGTGCGGGGGAAGGACAACAAACTCAACTCAAAAATGTTATACTACTTTAACCTCGAAGTAAAAACCAGCCACTTCTTCTTAATGCAATCATTGTGACATGTCCACAGATAAGTTACACAGTTCATGGCCCAAGACAAGGTTTAAATGATCACTCGCCACTGACGTTCGCTGCTGCCCGGTAATCGAACCGAGGTCGGCGGATTCATGGCGCATATCGCGTGAATAGCTGGCAACGTACGGTGGTCATCTTCGTGATGTAGTCAGATAACTCCGATGAACAATTCGGCATGGGAAAGCCTTCATTCAGCAGTTGACTGACAAAGTGCTGTACGGTACACGTCATGGCATCATGCAGATGTCGTTACGTGCCTCAGTTTGACGCACGCAAACGTGAATGCCAGTCCCTGTTATAATGCGTCGGGTGAAATTCCTGCGATGCCAGTCTCAGCGTGTTCTTGTAAAAGGTAAAGCCCTTACAATGTGTTGATCATGCCACTGCTAGCAGAAGAGCCTCCTCCACTAGAGAGAGAGAGAGACAGGCAGCTCTAAAGATGTCCTCGTCTAGAGGGCATGTTTGACCAACTCTTCCATGCTGGCCAAACGTCTTGAAAGAGGTGGGTATACCCACACTTTAACTCACCACACGCAACCCGTCGATCAACTAACTGCGGTGTTCCCATTTACACTGATGGGTGGATAGAGATGGAGGGGGGGGGGGAACTTTAATAAACTTGTCCCATTGTTGATGACCTCTGGATTGCAAGTCCATTGTCCCCACCATTACCACCTTGGTGTACTGTACTTGTATTTGCGTGTACGTATAGCCACGTGTACATGGTAGCTCTATGCGCATGTAGCTGTGTATCCACGCAGTTGTGTGCTCATCTAACCGTGTTGTACCATGTGTCTTGCGTGTACATACAACCCACGTGTACGTACAGCTGTTACGTGGACATGTTAACTGCGCCCTTGGGGGGGTATATCCTGTGGTCACTCTGCCTGCCCACGCTTTGCTGTTGCTGAGCGTACGTGGAGTGAGAAAGCCACGGGGTTTCTACACACGACCTCCAGCTTATTCCTGGACACGGCTGGGCCTGGCTGGTTTTAGCACGATCTGAACCAATCTCTAGCCAGGAGCGGCAAACATCGCATGGCCATTGCTTTGATATATGGCATGATCGGGTAGTAAAACCACACAGTTCTGTGGGCAGCGAGAGGACAGCGGAGGTGAAAGTCTGCTGAGTGAACATATCTCGGAGGTACAGTAATCATCACGGACTGTTTTGTAATAACATTGTTAGAACACTAAAATGTTCAGTGCAATGGCTCATGCTAGAACGAGGCTGCAGCGTGAAGCTAGTTAAATATAATTAAAGCTAACGGTGCATGATATATACGGACAAAATTCAGTTTCTGGACTCCATTAAAGGGACAGATGCCCGGGTGTATAGCAAGCTTGTCGGTTTTTTGGCAACATGGACCAGACTGCAGAATTATTCATCGGTGATGCGGGAAGGCTTGAACAGTCATGTTTGAGACGTGACTTCAAAGTGAAGGATAGATCTTGAGGACAGGCAGCTTCTCCAGAGAGTTCACACCTCTCGGTCATTTGAAATGGACACTGCAACGCATGCGTCTATACATCAAGTTAGGGACGATCTGTGGCTCCTTTAAAAATTAACTAGTGCCATGTTCACAACGGTGTTATAAAGGAAAATTATAAGATACCTATTGCTATACTCAGGAATTGTTACGTCGATCTCTGTCTCTGTCTGAGGACACTTCACATGTTTTGAAGATAATCACAATAGCCCTAAACCAATTGCTATGAAACTTACCACACAGCCTAACAATTCTATTGCCCAGAGCTTTTGAGAAATATGTGCAAGAAAATACTCTCAACAAAAGAATTATAAAACTACGTTATGTTGTGTACCAGTGTGATAAGCGCATATGTTAGGATGCCAGTGTGTGGGTGTTAGAATGTTATAAAATATGTAAATTTCTATATACATTTGCATGTTTATGTTTGTGTGTTTTTATGCGCACATTCCTTCTTACGTCGAATTCCCTAGAAAAATGCAGGCACCCTAAATGGATTGGCTTGCCAGTCTGTTTTTAATTGCATATGCCCATTTTATTCCGTTTACTTACGTTATATAAATGTGTAAAGTCCCATTTTAAGTAACATTCTAGTGGTGGCTAGTTGGATCAGAGGCTCGAGAGTGGTGCTGGCATCTCTGAGATCCAGGCAGCCCCCTGTGATTAAACCAGGTTCCCACGTGTAGCGATGTGATGGTCTCTGGCCAATCACCAATGACTACACTAAAAAACTGCGATATAAAATGTTGTTCTTTGCTTAATTTTACAAAATAGCAGCTCAGATAATAAAACATTAGTTTTACTGTCACGTGGTAAACATCACTCAGTGGCAGAGCAGGTGAAAAAGTACTGTACTGCCCTTTGCTGTGTTGACCAGAGGTCGTTTGAGGGGATATCAGATGCATTCCTGTAGTATATCCACTTCTGTGGCCCATTCTCTAACTGGAATACTTGCGCTGCTTTCCCTGAAATCCAAATGGATACTCCATCTCATGACATGAAGCCGATAGCACATTCGAATGAAATTTGAAAAATATCAAAACTAGATCAATACATTGACTATTTTTTTACAATGTTTAGTTTATATCTATGTATGAATAATAGTAGATTACTGTAACATTATAGATCAAGGTTAACACATTGCAAGACCATGAAAACAAAAATCTACATGCATATATTAATTGTTGCCAGTACTTGTATTCATGGCTCTTGTAAATAATACAGAATTTCCTTACATATTTTATTTCACAGCACAGGCCTGAACTACATTCCATAGGAAATGTATTATAATTTAACCTGAATTTTTATTTGAAAGGTCTTTTGGGAAATTACACCTTTAATTCGGCCCAGAGTTTTGACCCTTGAGATACGTGGAAATTGTCACCTGCTGAGAAATCAGTTTTAAATTTGATCTTTAAGTAGGTGTCTTCTTTCTCAGCTGAATCTGGTGTAATGAGGCTGCTCTAGCTCAATAACGGATCCTGCAAACTTTGCCTCTTCCTCCTTTAGTGCACAATCCATCATTTACCTATGTCTGGTTTTGTACCTTGATGATGCAAAAAAAAATTTGCAACCAAGGCACCGTGGGAAAGCAATCACCGAATTCCACTGTACCGTTTTGAGAGGTGCGCCCAGCTAAATGTTCCACAGCGCGACGTTTGTTTCCACTGCACTGTGAAGAGCAATTGATTGCATATACTGTAAAGTAGGTTTTCATTGTACAATGTAATATTGAACATATAAAAAAATGTATATGCACCAAATATGAATAATTTAATTACACACTTACATTCATGAAAAATCTAAAACATTGGTCTATGACACACAACAACCAGAGTTTTTGGGGAGGTGGGTAGTGAAGGTGGTGGGGTGTGGGGGGGTGGTTGCAGGAATGGTTCAAATATCACTGGCCACAGATGTTAGCTTTGGCTGGCCATCAAACTCACGTTGCCAAGTATTGGGGCTACTTATTTACAGTATTATGAAAACAAATAAACACTTTCCAACCCCCCGCCCATTGGTTGTGCCTCTGTCTTCTGATGGTGGGTGCATTTGTCAGAGTCTGGGGTGGAGGAGGAAGATGACTCCGTGGATGGGATCCAGCCTGGCCCAGCCCAGGCCCAGGCTTTGTCCCAACAAGGCCAAGTCCAGGCTCAGGCTCAAGGCCAGGCCCAAGGCCAGGCACAGGCTCAAGTCCAAGCCCCGGGGCCTCTGCCACCGCCCAAACCACACTCCCGTGTGCCCACGGCCAAGCGAGGCCCTGGCCTGCCGGTGCTCCTCGCCCAGAGGCCGATGCCGCCGCCCATCCCAGCCAAACCAGCCTCCCTAGGTAAGGTGACGCACATGCGGATTCTGACCCGTTTTCCTTCAGTCGTCAAAGTGCGCGTTGACTACAATTAGGTTTAGGTAAAGCGGTAAGTCAGGAAAAGAACATCACAGAGTTGGTAGATCTTCTAGAGTTATCAAAGCTCTAATTCTAAAATTTAGCAAGTATTAAATGAAGTAACCCTCTGCAGGAATCGGAATTCCTATCTATCACGAGATAATGTACAAAGTATTAAATATGGTAGATGGGTACAGGATCCTCAATGAATACGTGGAATGCGCTCCTAAATCAGCATAATGTCCTCGTCCCAGAAAGTCAGGAAGCTTGCAATTAGTCGCTTTGATAACATTTTGTCAGTGAGCTAATCTGAAAAAGTCACTTATTCTAGTGACACAATCACTTCATTCATAACACTAGAGGCGTAACACGGTGTGAAAAAAAACACGTGTCTATTTCCAGCAGCCGCATGTGGACCTGCAAGGGAAGGGGCTGGCAGTGTGGATCATGAGGACTTCATTCGTGGATTTGAAGATGTGCCCGTGGTGCAGGTGAGCCCCTATGCCAATATTCTTTGAGGAATGGCCATGAATAGCAGCCAATAACTCAGTCAGCCCCGCCCAATTTAGAGAGCCTTACCCACTCAATAAACAAGCCCCTGCCCCACACACTGAGCACTATCCCTGTTTCCAGATGTCGATTCTGCCCACCTAAAGTTTCCGCCAACGTCGTCCACTCCATAGGTAACCCTGGCCTTTGCCCACGTCATGAGTTGAGCATAAAGCAAAACGGTTTTTAAACATTAAGAGTATCATTCATGTGTTGGGGTAGAGTAGTGGTGCAGTGGTTTACGCACTGGATTGTGGCATGGAATGACCCCCGAGTGATGGCGACGACATGGCTGGCTTCATCCAGCAGTGGATAGAATATGGGTGATGATGACTAGCATTAGTTATTTCGTTTTAAAGAGTACATTTTTCTTTTGAATGTATCCATTGCTATGGTGATGTTAAGCATCATCAAACGGTGACATGTCAGTATGGAAAAGCAGTGTACTCCTTGAGTGATAATCACAATGTATTTGTCTAGAGGCTTGGGCAGGATCTATTATAGCTCTGCAGTTTTTCAGTTATCATTGTATGTTGGCGTTAGTTCAGTGAGTGATAGCACTAATAGTAATAATAGGTCCAAATTATAGCGGGCGCAGAATTGTGCAGTGAGCCGCTAACCCAGTTTAGATGCGCGGATACAAATCAGAGGCAACACGATTGAAGTGTTCAGCTTTAAAGACTAATATTAATGAAAAAAATATGGATAATAAACGGTAATAATTATTTTACAGATCTACTCAAGTCGTGATCTGGAAGACAGCCTCAACATAATCCGCGGCACCCTTTCAGACGACAAGCACGACTGGGAGAAACGCATCGCGGCAGTAAGCACGCACTGTGCGGCCATTCACGCACACGCACATTTCCCTGCTCTGCTCTTCCAGTAGTCATGTCACATGGACAGATGTAAAAAAACATAAATGCAGTACAATCAGTTATTGATTATGCAGGGTAATGGAGGCAGGGGTGGCCTGGATGGAAAAAAAAACACAGATAATGCAAAACGTGTAAATTAGGTTATAAAAATACAGTTGTCGTTTACCTATGAAGAATGGGGGGTGAAAACCTACTATGTGTCGTCTGTTTTTTATGGATTCTTTAAGTAATACATTTGCTTTCCAACATGTTGTTGGTCAGGTGGGCACTGAGCCACAGACCCGCGAAGAGCAGAATGGCTAGTAATTAAGCCAGCGCACACGTGAACATAATCACAGTTGATCTGCAACCCAGATAATCTGCTCACTGATAAACAAGGGTTGGCTGTAGTGCATATGGCGAAGCCTGGGTAGGCCTGCACGCAACAGTGGATTATAAAATGGCTGTATATTATAACGTTTTTAGAATGTATTAATTTGAATATTTATCGACATATAATTACAATAGAAAATATGTTTTATATCCATAATAGAGATTTGTTTGGGTTAGATCGCAAAAATATAAATGCGTCGTTAAACCCGCCACCATTCGACACAGCCAATTAGTAAGGTTTGTCACGTAAACAAAATATGCCAATTAGTTACTAGATCAGCACACCGGTGCGTTGAACTAGTAAACCCACAACATTTACATTTAGATTCCGAAGTTTCGCCGGTAATTACAACCAGACTCATCAGGCGACAGCCAGAATTGTGGATACATCCTCCTGTTTTGATTTTTCTTGGACAGCCAGGTACCTGTAGGAGGACATACAGGATACAGGAGAAGGTTATTGGACTGCCTGTGGAGTCTGGAGTTTCTTATCGCAGTTTCTCTACTTTCTCCACCTGGCTTCAAGCTGCCTCCTCATCAGTGGGCCTTGCTGAACAAGTTCCGGACAGGGCAATGTCTCTGTGCAGCCAACCTCCACCCACAATTGGGGTCTTCGTGACAATCCAGACTGCAGCTGTGGCACTGTACAATATCGCATGCGGTTGATGACTGTCCACTGACCAAGTTCTTTGGAGGTTTATAAGAACTACACATGGTCACCGAGGACGCTATTGCTTGGCTTGGCGATTATGCACACGCTAAATGAATGAATGGAGTTTGGTTGTTATCTTCTCACCTGCGAGGATTTTTTCCAGGCACTCCAATATCCACGCATGTGAGAACATTAGCCCACACATGCCATGCAGGTCCCTCCTGAAAAAGAGTCTTGAGACTGAGTGAGATTTTTGCTCGATCGTTTGCAGTATTCATCGTTTGTCGTGTCTGCTCACGATGCGGGATGCAAGACTATTGCGTCTTGTGGTTGATTTGTGATCTTCGCGTTTCCTTGCTGTGGCTTCTTCACAGCTGAAGAAACTGCGATCCCTCGTGATTGCAGGGGCACCTGAATACGATTGCTTCTTTCAGCACCTGCGTCTGCTGGACAGCGCCTTTAAGCTCTCTGCCAAAGACTTGAGGTCTCAGGTGGTGCGGGAGGCCTGCATCACACTCGGGTAATAATTTACCACCCTCTCACCTGGTCCATGGCCTGCTCATTCACCCCGAGAAAACCACACGCTGATCTCACACCCGTTAACTTACCTAATACCCATCCGCAGCACTGTGCTTGAAAGAGCACTGCACTGACTTCATAGCGCATTCATGACATGTCATTTGCAGTTAATGGGTCACCCGGCTAGAGAGGCAGTTAGCTCCCCGGTGGATCTAATATAATTTTTTTTACACATGAACTAAAAGCAAATTGCACGTGGCACAGTGCCAGAACACAGAGGATGTGGAAATTGACGGTGGCCTTGGAGTTTGTGCGCTATTGTTAAACTTCACCTGCCCCATCCCCCCCCCCCCACTCCCCACCGCACCATCCCACTCCGCTTGTCCAGGCACCTGGCCACGGTGCTGAGGAACAAGTTTGACCATGCAGCCGAGGCCATAATTCCGACCTTGTTCAACCTGGTCCCCAACTGCGCCAGGATTATTGCCACCTCTGGAGTGGCTGCTATTCGTCTCATCATTCGGGTGAGGCTGCGTGTCCGTTGCGTGTATGTATGCGTGTGTACGTGCGTTATAACGTGAGGAGCAGTAGCCTAGTGGTGAGCGTACTGTGCTACAAACCCGGAGGCCCGAGTTCGTTCCTGATCACAGCCAACATCTGTGACGAATAAATGAGCTGGTTTTGGGCCTCCCCTAGGTGAACTCAGCCTTAAATGAGTACCGGTGCTGTCTACAAATATTAAGATTGGGAGACAAAAGCGGCTTGGCGGGGTTCTGGCCATACCACTCCATCGTGCCTCGAGAGGTGCTTGCTAAAAGCACTCACCTTAAAATCCTGCTTTCGGCTGCACGGCAGATCTTGACTTGCATTATATTGTGTTCATCTTCTTGGTTCTTTCGGTAAAGTCACGTAGAAGGGAAATAATAAAATAAAAAAATAATATTATATTTTATTATGTTTTATTTTTATTATTTTATTATATCCCTTCTACGTGACTTTACCGAAAGAACCAAGAAGATGAATCCCTGCAGTCACAAAAGCTTTAAATCGAATTTATATTGTGTTGTTGGGTTTGTTTTGAGCGTTCTATCAATGGCACGTTGCTAATTGTTTATTGTAATTGTTCATGCAAGTTGGGGAAATTCGTGTTTTGAAAGGAGCCATACAGATAAACAAGATGACGGCTTTGATTTGTCTGTACTGCAGGCTCATGTCACAAGTAAAATACATGCTTACAATTAATACAATTTATATTTATATAGCTTTGCAATGCAACCACATCTTAAGATGCTGTAGAAAAACACTGGGGCATGTGCATCACGGGGAAAGGAGGCATATATAAAGACAGAGAGACAGTCAGTCACAGATAAGAGGAGGAATGCCTTGAGCCTGGACTTTAAGAGTAGGCAGTTGACAGGGATTGCACAGGGAATAACACTTACTGAATTAAAACTCCAACCTATGAATGCCAGCGAAGATCTTAGTGGGCGCAGGAGGGCAGTAATGCACCGTGTAAGGATCTGCGCTTTTGAGAATTGGTGATAAAAGGTTTTATGAGAGTCTGTCAGTAGTGCTGCAGCAAACCTGATTGATGACGGAGCTGATTAAGCTGATGCAGGAGCCAGCTGCAGATAACGCCAACTGTTTCTCCCCACAGCACACGCACGTGCCTCGGCTTATCCCGCTCATTACTGGAAACTGCACCTCCAAGTCAGTTGCAGTGCGCAGGTAATCACGCGAGCAGTCACTGAATTTATTTCTAGATTTTGAATCTCTGTCAATTAAATTATTAGATCAACAGGGAATCGAAGCGCCTGTGCTAAACCTATTATTGTGTTAATGGTAATAACGTGGTAATTATAGATTCGAAGTGTCATTGAAGTCATTGATTTAATTTAGTAATGATTGCATTGTCTGTGGTGAGTAACTGGCAAAGTGTGTAAACATCAGTATTGAGGAGACAAAGGCAGCCAGGTCTCGTGCAGTCCACACAACCTCCCTGCGCGCCATGCTGGTCTTAAATATATACTTACGAACAGTAACATCACGTAGAAGGGAAGTAATAAAATAATAATAATAAAACAATAAAATAATTCTCACGACGTTTCGGCCACAACACAAGCAGCCGTCCTCAGGTGAAGACCAGGTCTGTCGGGGAGACAGCGTCTGAAGACCAGGTCTGTCGGGGAGACAGCGTCTGACATTCAGACGCTATCTCCCCGACAGGCCTGGTCTTCACCTGAGGACGGCTGCTTGCGTTGTGGCCGAAACGTCGTGAGAATTATTTTATTATGTTTTATTTTTATTATTTTATTACTTCCCTTCTACGTGACTTTACCGAAAGAACCAAGAAGATGAATCCCTGCAGTCACGAAAGCTTTAAATCGAAAAATTACGAACAGTACTTGCCTGGATAGACTAGAAGACGAATTCTCGTGTTTGTGTTGCATGCAGGCGATGTTATGAGTTTCTTAACCTCCTGCTGCATGAGTGGCAGTCGCACATCCTGGAGAGGTGAGGAAGTAGCGGAGATGCAGCTCATCATTGAGCACCCAACTAATTTCCACACCACTGAGAGTGGAGTGTCACATCAGCTGTGCCTTGCTAGTATGCAGTCCACGAGCTATGCAGACGAGCAGCTAAAAAATTAACTGTATTTGTGGCCTTTTTATTTCAGACCAGCTCACATTTTTTGTTTAAAAATTGGCCAACCAACAGGCAGCAACGAAACACATTCGGTTTTTTTCATGCAGTTATTTTTGTGTTGCTCGTTTGCGTAAGGCTGACAGCTTTTTGTACATGCAATGCACATCATTGTATATCACGGATAAGAGGAGTTCTACTGTACGACGATAATGATATTTAATCTACACAACCACTTGCTACTGACTCAAGTGCCGAGCCAACTGTTAATGTGCCACTGGTTGTTTAAGGGTTTCACTCACTGTGAGTCTTCCTTCAGGCATGTTGCCGTTCTGGTGGAAACGATTAAGAAAGGCATCCCTGATGCAGATGCTGAAGCCAGAGTGGAAGCTAGGAGGTGAACACTTTCTCTTTTGTGTGTGTATGTCCTCATCTTTTCTGTTGTGTGCGAGTACGGTCTGCCCAATGTGCCCTTGTGTTTTGGGAGTTTTGCGTGAGCTTGCTTCTTTGTGTGTTTGAGCCGGTGTATTCCTTTTGAGGCTACTCGAAATCCACCTAGCCTGGCACAAGTGCTGTGGTGACATAAAGGTCACTTCGTGGCGAATGGCGGCTGTTGTTGTTGGTGCATGCATGGACAGAAATGTATTTCTTTGTACGTGCTGTACAGTTTGTTTTGTCGTTCCACTGCTGGATGAAGACCTCACCACGTCTTGCGGATTGTGGGGGTTATTTATCTATACTATTCTTTGGCCAGTGTGGGTTGGTGAAGGTGGATAGCGTAGATGTGGAAGCATAGCAATGCAGTAAACAAATATATATATATTTCTGCACTGCCCTCTACTGCCCACCACGTAGCTCTGTAGCCATAAGACATCCTGTTTGTTCATGGTGGTCAGCCACATAAGCACTGCCTAGGCTCAAGCCTGCATAGCTTTTGTTATCTGATGAGGTCAGGCACATTTCAGGCAATTTTGTCATGGAAGTATTTCTCTCCTTGTCAGCAAATACATGCAAGGGATGTAGGCCAGAAGAGTAAAATTGCTGGCCTGTTGATTATTTGATGGCTTGTTTACTTTGTGCGAAGATGAAATGTGTGTTTAGGCCCCTTTTATTTCGTGGAGGGATGGCTTTTAACTGTTAATGTTATGGGCAGGTTGGCAGCTGAAAAAGTTATTTAGAATCTTTCAGACAGTGACCATAAAAATTGTATACATGCTGGCATAGTGGAATTTTATCCATATATTCTTAACCCTTTCTTTTTCGAACAAAGTGCCTTGGAAAATTAACATTTTAAAGCCACTATACTGCAATGCATGTGTTCAGTGTGGCTATATAGGCATTGGGGTTGGTGAATTTTCCTAGGATGGAAACACCGGCAATCTGCTGTCCCAGTGCAGTGCTCGGGCATGTATTGTATCTTGTGTACACAATCATCATCTGCCGTTGTCTATCCAATTCACGATGAAGGCCTCCCCATGTCGTTTCCATTCCTCATGGCCAAGTGCTGCTACCAAATATCTCGCTCCTGCATATGAATCAATCTCATCACTCCATCTCCACAGTGGTGGTCATCCTCTTAGACAATGTCTCTCCTTTGGCTTCCATTACATCACCAGTCTCGTCCATCGAACATCATCCCATTTAGCAATTTGTTCTGTCCAAGCTGATTTAATTTCCTTTAATTATAAATATGATGTCTCTGATTTGCGTTGGTTCCACAGTCCAATCGTTTCTCTTTCCAAGCGTGCATCTCTCCAACCTTTGTGCATTTTTCAGTTGTTGTGAATTTTTTATTGCTCTGTGTCTGTGTTCCCAATTGGTGTGTTATATGCACAATGTGTAGTAAATACATGCCTCGCTGCGTGGGAAAGAATTTAGAATTAAAAAATTACTAAGGATTTGTTTTTGTTATTGATGTGCATATACCCTAAGGCATCTGATCCATCTTCATGATAATTTTTAGTGCAGCTGGATGCACTTTAAATTGTCTTCTTTTGACATTACGTGTAATGCTCAATTCAAACTCCACAATGGGTTGGTTTTGTGAGTACACTTTGGTCTCAAGTACTGTATTGTCTTCAGCACATGTTAGCAGCCCATTTCTTTAAAACCACGTAGATGGCTTTTCTAAATGCAATTCTCTTTCAACCGTAATCGCCTCACCTCATGCGAGACTTCCAGCTCGCCCGAGTGCCTCAGGACCAGTAGACGAGACTGTAGAGAGCTTGCGAGCGACCGCATGTACTTTGCCCACATGAACCTTCATGTGCATGAACCTTTACTCCCGTGACCCTTCGAGAGCATGAACCTTCACCTGCGTGAACCATCACAGCTTGAACCTTTGCCCGCAAGAACCGTCGCCCACATGAATAAATAAAAACAGTAGCATGAACCAATTAAAACATGTGATTACATTTATTTTTTAGTCAACGATCACTATGAGTTTATGAAAATCATCAAGCATGACGATTAATAGGACTGCTGCCTACCAAAGATAAAAGCTTGACAGACTATGACGCGACAAAATTAATTAGTCTGAATAAAGATGTAGGCTAAGATAATTTCTTCCGGTGGATGTGCACTAAGGAAGGTAATTGGCTATATATACTGAATTCACTAATTGGATAACATAATATATCAGGGAGGGGGATGGGGAGAAATTGGCGTGCCCACACACCAACTTTAAATCCATAAAAGTGGACAACATTGTTATCTGCTTTAGCTAACTAGCCTAGGAGAATGAATAAATGGAATCCACAGACCAAGCCTTGACTAAAACTCCGCAGGCTGTTGTCGACTAGACCTAAGACTATAATTAAAATGAAAAATTCAGACTAAATTAACACTGACCGCACGAGGCCCTGTGCACGCGTGTTCCTCTCCCCGCCTGGCTGCAGGGCCTACTGGGGACTGTACAGCCACTTTCCAGCGGAGGCCGAGGCTCTGCACGCGACGCTGGCGTTCAGCTACCAGAAGGCTCTCCTGAGCGAGCACGGCGGTGGGGCGAGCTCTCTCAACCGCTCCGACCACTCCACCTCATCGTCGCAGGAGAGCCTCAAGTACGGCGTCCTTGCTGGACAGGACGCCTCTGTTTATGTTCTACATGGAGGTGCCTATCTTGTCACCGATTATCTCATTTATTTCCCGTTACAGCCGAGCGCCACCTGCCAAGAGCTCCGTGACTCCTAAAATCAAAGGTACCACCGCTTTCGCAATAACATTCTCAGATTTGAGGTCCAGCATGTAGCTTAAGCATTAAACACAGAAGATATGTGAGTGGCTCATAGGCTAGAAGACTGGTATCATATTTTTTAAATAATATTTCACCTACAAAATATCCGTTGAGATGGATCGTCTCATTTCCAACGCTTTCCAGAGTGTTGACTTATTTACAAGCATTTAAAAGCTACCACCATGACCCTGAGTTTAAATCGAAATTTCAGCCATCTGCGGTTAAACCAGATTCTTAAGTGGTACTGCGGTGATCGTCTCAGCCTGGCCACCAATGACTGCACGAAAAAAACACAATGTTAAACTAGTCACAGACACCTCCTTGGATTGGAACACATGATCTCTCCGCAGCACCAGCTCAGCACTCTGTCCTCGATGACCACTCGGCAAGCTCTGCCATTTATACAACAATTTTTATCATGTGACAAAGTCTCCTGGTCATAGTCCTTTAATTGCAAAGGAGATCCAAACTTAAGTTTTTTTCTAGATTTGAAGCTTTCGTGACTGCAAGTATTCATATTTTTAGGTTTTTTCGGTAAAGTCACGTAGGTAAAAAATCTAAATTAATAAAAATAAAATGAAAACCACGACGTTTCGATGTAATCATTGAATACAGCAAGCGTGTTGTGACGGTTCCACTTGAAGACGGAAGCTTGTGTTGCCTCCGAAACGTCGTGATTTTTATTTAATTTTAATTTAACTTTTATTAATTTAGATTTTTTTACCTACGTGACTTTACCGAAAAAACCTAAGAATATTAAGTTGTTTCTCACGTCTTATATCGAGTCCTGCCTGTGTCTAGTACAGTACTGAATCCTGTCCACATTGCTTGTATCCCTCACCCAGGAGTCGTGTCCCGGGCCTACTGCAGATCGACGCCGCTGCCTCCTCCTCTCCCCGTGACGCTGCAGCGCTCGCGCAGCGACGTGGACGTCAACGCGGCCGCTGGGGCCAAAAGTCGCGCGAGCGGCGGGAACACGAAGAGGCTGACCGTGGCTGCGAGCCTCGCCCCGGGCTCCACCGCTTCGCTCGGTGGGACACGCACCACGGCCGCCCCGTGTCACCATTAAAATACTGCTGGGGGCAGGAGCTGTTGTCGAGTGCCTGTATTAAGGGCAAGCACGACGCATGCTATGCATCTGAGTGCAATGCGGTTGAGTGCGATACTCCGTGAGGCCAACTCCTCAAAGCGTAAAGTCATCAAACGAACCTGAAATAAGTCACGAGATAGACCTTAAATTGGCCAAAAGACTCACTTGACAATTGACCAAATATTAACCATGGTAAATGATGTTTTAGCACGCTCTGTCACTTCTGCCACTGCAAAGGCCTCTTCGTACGTTTTTTTCCGCGTGTTTATTCGGCAACGCTGAGGTGTGTGTGTTCATGTGTCATCCACCTCCGGCCGTCAGTGAGGAAAAGGTTTCCTGCCCCTGGCCTTCCTGGACACTGAGGGCATGCAAAACTTACGTTCGGCTTATGCTCTGAACAAATGTAGTGTTGACAATAATCATTGACGTTAAAGACTGAAGACTAGCAGACCTTTGTGGTAAACTGATTCCGTCTCGTTGTGTCTGTTCCTTTACCGGGCAGCGGACAGCACGGAGGATGATCCTGGAGGTAAGCCGAGCTGCTGTAATACTCGCCGTCTCTTACTTATATTAACCTACCAGCCATGATCAATCCACTGTTGGTTGAATACTTCTCCAAGCTGTTGCCATTCCCTCACTGTTCTGCGATCTGCCTAGCATCTGTCCATTAGCTGATTTCACTGCTCCATCTCCGTGGTGGTGTTCGTCCCCTCAGATGATGTTTACTCAAAAAGCATATATCTTTTTGAATATTTTTTTTTCATTTTTTCTTTCACGGTTGTTTCAGATTGTTAGCCACGAAAAGTATATTTTGCATTTGTTGGCACTGCACATGGGTAACTCCAATACAAGAACATGCAGTACAACGTCGCACATCTGACTCTCGGAGAACTGAGGTGTGAGGTGTAGGTGGGCATGTGAAAAGATCAGATGTGTGAACATCTGTAGAAAATTACATGTTACACCACCATGCACAATTTGGTTACCTCGTCAAAAATAAAGCGCAGACTGCTTTAAACGTAGTAAAATGCTCAACTGCGCTGTAGAAGGGACAGCACCTTCGCGAGACTAAGAACACATCACTTCACGTGAAAAGGGCACATTTGTGAAAATGCCATGAAAGTGGCGATTGCACCGTGAGCAAATACCGCACTAGTTGGTGGCGGTTAATTGGTCAGGGTGGACATGTGACGGTCGGCTTTGCGACGTTGTACTGCGTTGTTATTATGGGAGAGGAGTCTGGCTTCAGAGCTGCCTGCCCCGCCGCGTCTGTGTTTCTAGGTCACGCGCGCTCGCGTCACACGGCACCGGAGAGCTTCTTTGGACTCTCGAGTGGTGGAGGAGGAGGCACGGTAGCCGCTTTAAGCGAAGTCAAAGACCGCAGCCGCGCCAAGGGATCGCAGTCCCAGCGTGAGTCCTAATATCCCAGCTAGAGGCGGCAGTAGGCATAGGCAAACAAATGAAATGCTGAGGGCCCCAAGCGACTCAGGGGGTGGCGGGGCGGGGGGGGGGGGCGGCAGATTCGTGGAAAAATTAGTGAAGCAAACATGAACTCGAATTCAAATCCTCATGAACTTGACAATAAGAATTAACATACGAATGTTTTTGCCAGTTATTTTGTATCTGACTCTTCTGTCACGTAACTCCATCGATGTCTCCTGTCCTCATCTCTCGTTTCACGAGAATACTTATCTGTTTCACCGTTATCGCTCTTCTCTCATCTCAGTATAACGCTATCGTTGGCCTACATTTCTATTGTCGGACTACTCTTATCTCGTGCCTACGTGTTTTCTGTCATTTGACTAGGAGTTTCTAAGTTGAAAGGGCGGAACCCCCAAAATATTTTATGGTTAGGGTCGCAAATCGGCCACCAGCACCTCTGCTCCCAGCCTTGATGTCAAATCCGAGTGTCAGTCTGAGTGTTAGATTTTCCGCGCAGCAGCGTGGATCGCAATTCACATTCAATACACCTGTGCACCTGCGCACACACATCTGTTTTTAAATATTTTACAACAATCTATCTGTAAGGATATTCATATGTGCAAAAAGTGATTTCTAAGCAGCAAAATGCATGATTTGACCAGAGCATCGGATCTCCCATCATGCCTTGTATATCGTATAACATCACCATATTGTGTGTTTCAGGCAGACAGCCTTATTTTAGATCACCACTCAAAAGTCAAATGTGCAGCCATAATTTTTTGCCGTCAATAAATCACCCTTTTGGTGTATTTACACTTATCCAGCCTGCACACACTTTTCTGCGCGATGGATTTTTCACAGAAAGTGTTACAATTGGTTTACAATCTTTCTGTGTTTGCAAACAATTCCACAGTTTCTTCGAAAGATATCGTTAACCCACGTGTACATGTTATTATTGCTATTTATCTTCTTGGTTCTTTCGGTAAAGTCACGTAGAAGGGAAATAACAACATAATAAAAATAAAACATAATAAAATAATTCTCACGACGTTTCGGCCACAACGCAAGCAGCCGTCCTCAGGTGAAGACCAGCGTCATTCAGACGCTGTCTCCCCGACAGACCTGGTCTTCACCTGAGGACGGCTGCTTGCGTTGTGGCCGAAACGTCGTGAGAATTATTTTATTATGTTTTATTTTTATTATTTTATTATTTCCCTTCTACGTGACTTTACCGAAAGAACCAAGAAGATGAATCCCTGCAGTCACGAAAGCTTTCAATCGAAATTTATTGCTATTTACTCGTGTGTGTGCACGCGTGTGTGCATTGCGTGTGCTTGGTCGATGCAACAGCTGGAAGCAGGTCGGGTTCCCCGGGGAAGACGCTGAGCGTGGCGCCATCCCCCTACGGCTGCCTGAGTCTGTCGCCGTCGAGCGGCGCTCCCCTCGCCGTGTCTCCCACGCAGTACAAGGCCAGCCGCGTGCCACGCAGCCAGGGCTGCAGCCGGGAGACGAGTCCCACTCGCCTCTCGCTCGGTGAGCACGTGGGCTTGCACGCACCAACGCACGCACGAACGCGCGCTCGCACGGATTTGCACATGCAGCACGTGCGCAGGGACATGCACTCACACGGATGCATGCATTCATGCGTGCACCGAGAAGCGCTCGGATGAACGCGGGAACGCACATGCGTGGGTGCTATGTATTTAACAATTCCATGCTAGTGATTCAATGAATTGTCATGATTCGTGAAAATGAATTATCCTGATAATTACATCAATGATCTGCTTTTTTTTATTTGGGGAGTATATTGTTGTTTTGGCTCTAGGAGCCACAGGAGTTTCCATGGATGATTCTCACGTGCACAATTTGAAGCATGTATCGTGACCATAAGCATCGGTCGAGTTTAATCGACGAAAAGATGAATCATCATGCGCCTCATGGATGTATACTCGTAGGATGGGACCACAAACTCTGTCTTGCCATCGCTGTGAAATTTGAGTTTGTAACCTTTTAATATTCTTAGGTATATGTTTTTTTTAAGTTGTGCATGGATTGCAATTTCATCATGAGAAATGACATGTGGCATAAAACACAAACAAATATTCCTGCCTATTCATACATTTATTTAAATTGTATAGTCAAACTCGATTGTGCTGCTTGTGATGCAGTGTAAATCCCTGCTCTTTCTGTCATCATATTGTTTTTAAATAATCCTTTAATTTTCTGACCCGGTCTCTTCAGTGCGACTCATAAATCCATGCGAAGGTGAAGCCTCATCACACGAGAAATGCCTTCCACTCCCACACTCAACTTGCTTCGACCCATCCCATCACACACAGTAAATCAGCCACAGCCAGGCCTTGTACGAATTGAAAGTGTAAATGGGCATCGTATTAAATCTTTTGTATAAATCACAGTGTAGATGTGGCCTTCTTATGCAGACCATCATGACCATTACTCAAAGGCGTTATTTTATCATTGCATTAAAAAGCAAAGCAATTCATTTATAGCTTTAGAGCACTCACTAATTATTCACACTGTATATTAGATGCATGCAACAGGATCGTTAATTCAACTTAAAATGTGTATTTACACATCTTCGGTAAATACAGACACTCAATCCGCTGTTGACCACAACACTGCCTCCCAGCAGCCAGCTATCTTAATTTCAGCTGGCTTTCTGTGCATCAGTGACCCATAAAATATCTTTGCAACCTGCACACTACATCCAGTATACATATTGCTATGGGTGTGGCTCCCACTACAGTCAACTAGAAATATTCAGTGACAAATGATGCCGTGCCCAGCACTATCCTCTTGTCTCACCTCGCCTTCTCCATTCTCCTCCCCATTGGCGCACATGCTCATGCTAGCGCGGTGCGGCGGTGGCGGTGGCGGTGGTGGTGGCGGCGGTAGCGGCAGTCGAATCCCGCGGCCGAGCGTGAGCCAGGGCTGCAGCCGGGACAGCAGCCGGGACACGAGCCCAGCCCGCGGCCTGCCCTCGCTCGGTAAGCCAACCTCATCCCGTGTCGCCTGCCGTGCACCCCCAGCAGTGCCAGACGCTCACGGTGACAGCTGCCATGTGAGGCATCGGGTTCCTGTTCTCTCGATGTCTATGCGCCGAGTGGTGTCACTGTTGTATTTCCTGCACTCACATAACCACTGCAGACAAGTTCTATTGGAACTGTCACTTGTTTTCAAAATCCTCGCACTGTGCGCGGCGCCGATTGTGCGGGTACTGATTTTCGCCATTGGTCAGAACATCTGTAGAGAACTGCAGGGTCACCAACTCCAAGTACAGGCGCATAAGGAAACCCGTCAGTAACACTATCAATGTATGTATGTTGAACTTCTTTCGCACCATACTTAGCCAACCGTACCAATCGGAGGGGTGGATAGTGAGCGGTTTTAGGATTAGTGGCAGCCGAGGATTGAGGACATTGTGAAGGTGAATGATCCCTGTAACCACAGGAACACCTGTCACGATGGCTGTGGCTACTAGCAACGTGTTGAACTCCAGTCTAACCGCGAGCTGGAACATATTTAGCGAGATGTTAATTTCTGCCAGTGACCAAGGTAGCCTCTACCTATAATTGACTGTCCCTCCCCAAATATTGTTATTACAATAGAATGAGTCAGATCCTCATTGTATTTTAATAACAATATTTGACTTGACTTCCGCGGGTGAGAACATATTTTGTAATTGGTATATTGTGGTGGTTTTCAAATGAATGCTATAAAATTAGATGCTCTTATCAATCCAATGTTCACGCAAAGCCATCAGCTGTGGCAGATACTGGGAGTGCGTGCGTGCAGTGGCAGCATTCAGCTGCTTCTCACTTGCTGACCGCTGCCCCCTAGTGGCCGTTTTACAGATAAACATTTCAGAAGGTAAAATCCAATCCAACCGGCCAAAGCTGATGTGCACATTCAGCCAGAAAGGCAGTCGAGGTAAAGCCTGCCTGGCACGAGATATGATGGGGAAATTTGTAAATGCAATTCAATACAGTTTGGATTTATATAGCATCTAAGTAACGCTGCATCTCAATGCGCTGTACAAAGGTTGGGAGGGACATCTCGGAGGTTGACTGGAAATGGACGGACAGTTAACAACCCCCCGTAACCCCGGGGGAATTGGAGGGAAGGGGCGTTGGCCCGGATAAAACAAAAACAAGGTTTTGTATTGTCACTGCTTAAAATGGGGCGTGAAGAAGTAGAACGTGTTGTCAGTATCTAGTGCTCAAAGTTAATCAGATGACTTGCCGACATGTTTGTGGCCATGTTGTCACCGAGTCACTGGCCATCAGTGAGTGAGGAGCAGCTAGTAACTAAACCAGCATGAGCAAAGATATATATTGTTTTTGCCAGTACGACAAATTGAAGACTTAAGGTGCAATTGAAGACGCTCTCATGGATAGGAGACAGTCATAGGCAGGGAACAGAAACAAATTTAGAAACTTGCCAGGGGTTGGGGCAGTCCTAAGATGGCAAATGTTATAAGTAGAGACCTACATTAAATTATTAAAAAATACCCCATTAAATATTATGCTGGTAGGAACCTCCTGGTTATACCAGCCCACAGGGGCTTATTGCGTCCGTCCGTCGTGCATCCAAAAATGGGAGGGGTGGGGCTGGGTGAAGAGGGGAGGGTGGGGAGGGGCTGGGTGGGGAGGGTGGGGAGGGGCTGGTGGGGAGGGTGGGGCTGGGTGGGGGGTGGGAGGGGTGGGGCTGGGTGGGGAGGGGCTGGTCACCCCGTGGTGCCCTTATAAAACTCAACGTTTAACCTACTCACGCCGGTTTGTGCCCGCCCTCACAGTCGGGCATATTTGCGGAATACACCACGCCACCGTTGACCCTGGCTATTGACCGAGCAACCCAACGTTCCTACCAGCTCCCTCCGCAGGAATGTGTATTTGGCAAATATCGATAAAACGCCGATTTTTAGGGTCTCAGGAGCTTGGGGCGTTATCGCCCCCATCGCTGCCCCCTTCCTTGAATCCACCACTGGCAGGGGAGATGAGGAATGTCTTAGACTTCAAAAGAGGCAGGGACTTGGCACGGGAGGGAATTCCAGATCGGGGGGGGGGGGGGGGGGCAGCAGCACCAGAATAACCTCCATTGTTAATCCAAGGGGGACATGGGTTAAAGGGTCGAATACAAGAATAACAAAATGTTTACCAAATTGCATGACATTTTTAATTTAAATTAAATAACGTAAACAGGTCTCACAGATTAAAATTTTTTAATAACAATTTACCGCAGGAAACAGGAAAAATATCACCAATTAAGGAAAAATCAAGCGCACAAAACAGGGAAGAAAGCAACCTTCCGTTGAGCAGACACTGACTGGGAGTTGTTCTAGAAGGCACTGGGATGCTGAAGCGTTGTAGAGTGAGACGAGCGGTCAGCAGGGGAAAGTCGACGGGTGGATCTTTCAGGCGGTGAGTTGATTTTGAAATTGGTCTGGAATTTTATTGGGAACCAGTGGAGGCATAGGAGCATTGGGGTGATGTGGTCTCACCTAGGGGTACAGGTGATATTTTCCGGTCGGAACATTTAGGATCATCTGGAAATTTGGACATGAGGGATTTAATTGGGTACACGACAAAGGACAGAGGTGCAGTATTCTATTTGTAATGTGATGAAGGCGTGCATTTGTTGCCGCTGAGGTAAGAATACGCCGGATGCGGGAGATGTTGCAGAGATGGAGGTATTAGGGCCTCGTGGGAAGGGAATAAAAGCTGAGGATCAACGATACATTCTTTTTGCCAGCGCCATGACAGCGTGCACACTCACACTGGAGTCTTGAGTGTCAACCTTTTGTTGTCAATGACGACTACATCTCTTTGTGCAACATTTATCTGGAGGAAGTTAGAACCATTGGGAGAGTGTGAGACTGCGTCCAGGCAGGATGTGAGAGTGTGGCTTGGCGCTGGGGAGTAATGCGCGCGCTCGCTCTGTCTGCAGCCCCACGCCACCACTCCAAGTCGACGAGCGCGCTCGCCGCCGCTGAGACTTATCTCTGCGCAGGTGACGTGCGGCGCAGCCCTCCTGCCCGCACGAAGCCCCGCGGCCGCCTGCCCTGTGCCATTCCCTCCCCCCCCCCACCGCATGCATTTATTCATTCATTAGTTTGTTGAATTATTCCCTTAATCGGTTCCTTTAAATTTAAACGCTGGGCCGAATATGAATCGGTGCTCCCTGAGATGTGTTGCAGAGCAAGCCACGATGCGTTTTTATTGTGGTTGCTACCGTCACCCTGCCCTGCATGGCGTGCCGGGGTCAATATCCGAGCACACTGGGCCTCGTCAAGCATGGGACCTTCCCCATTATTTGATGATTTCTTCATCGGCCACACGCGGCGACACAGCTGTCGCAGCAGGAGCCAGATGCTTTTGTGCTGAGATCGGGCACGGAACGCTTGCCGCTGTCCTCCGCTTGTTCCCCAAGCAATGCCTGCGCACGACAGGAGTGAAAACATCGTGAAAAGTGCAAAACATTCACCGTATTGCGATACGGAACATCAGGTGGCAGCAACAAAGCAGTCCGGTCCACGCCGTTTGAACTTCACTCCAGGTGTGGTATGTGTCGGCGATGGCTTCGCACTAGAAATTGTTTACTCTGCAACGACAGCAATGATTGTTTTGGCCATGTCTGTCGTGGAAAATCTGCAAAGCCCAGACCGGATAACTTTGTCTTTGCCACCTGCGACTTTCCTGGAGAGATGCCAGTGCTTCGCTATTTTCGCCGACTGTGCTGATAAAACATTGGCTTTGTTTCCCGGCCCGCGTGTGTCTCTGAGTGCAGAGCGGTTTGGCTTCGTGCCGCCCGCCAGGCTCCTGGGACTGGACGTGGAGGCCGCTGTCGCCAGTTCTCTCGTAAGATGCCTGCATCCTGTCTCCACTCCTGACGTTGCTCTCTCCGATATTACAGTTTTGTTGTTGTGATGATAATTATTATTCCAACACTGTATTCTGTTTTGATTACATGTGATTACATTTTCATTTAAAGCTTTCGTGACTGCAGGGATTCATATTCTTGGTTCTTTCGGGAAAGTCACGTAGAAGGGAAATAATAAAATAATAAAAATATAAAACAATAAAATTCTCACGATGCTCCGACTGCAACACAAGCAATCATCATCAGGTGTGAAATCCACGTCGTGAGAATTGTATCGTTTTATATTTTAATTATTTTATTATTTCCCTTCTACGTGACTTTACCGAAAGAGCCAAGAATACATATTTCTGTTCATTGGCCTCAGACAAAATAAGACTGGCAGGGAATACCAAGTGTTGTAGCCTTGGACGGCGATGTAAACCAGGAGATGGAAGCACAACATCAGATGCTTGAATCTCCATGTGGAGCTTTGAGTGTTTCTCCTTTGTGTGCGTTGGTTTTCCCCAAGTACTTTGGTTTCGTTCCACATGCCAGACACTCATAAACAGAAGCGGATAAACATTACAATCCAGGACCCTTCAGAAAATAATGATTTCGTATTTTTCTCTCCCCCTGGATTCTTCCCCCTCGAACATCTCGTATGTATTTTAAAAATGTGTTTCCCATCCCCCGAGTTTGTGTTTAAAAGCAAATAGTAAAGTGGGTGTGCTCCTCCTCAATAATCTGCAGCTGACTGAACACCTGCAAAGCAAAACAAACATCCAGTTTAAGCCCCGTTTAAATATTCAACAAGCGTTATCTCTTAAGTTGTTTTTATGGTGGCTAGCAATTACAGGTTAAGAACAATTCTCCACCCGGTGAAAAGATTAATTAGTGGGCATTTGTTGTTCACGCAGGGTGTGAACCCTGCAGCAGCCGCTAGAGGTGCTACATTCAATACTACTGTACGGTAAAAACTATTGAGTCAAATCGCAGCCCATGAAATCGTGCCTTAAAACCGCGAGAGGGGCGAGTTGTTACTTGCTGACTGGATACCATGCAAGTGACCTCCAAGTAATTCATCGTGACCTCATGCATCCAAGGCAGGGGATTTAAAATATATATAGAAATGTATTTAATCTGTGGCACAATCATAAATGTATATGTTAATTTTCTTGGTTCCTTCGGTAAAGTTACGTAGAAGGGAAGTAATAAAAGAATAAAAATACAACAATAACATTCTCACGACGTTTCGATTACAACACAAGCAATCATCATCAGGTGTGAAAACCACAGCAAGAACATTTTTGAAGAAAGTGGCGGTTTCTGATGATGATTGCTTGTTTTGCAATCGAAACGTCGTGATAGTTTTATTGTTTTATTTTTATTATTTTATTATTATTTCTCATCTACGTGACTTTACCAAAAGAACCAAGAATATGAATCCCTGCAGTCACGAAATCTTTAAATTGGATATGATAATGTGAACCCATGAATGCGACCACATCACCCCAATGCTCCAATCCCTCCCCTGGCTCTCAATCCAATCCCGAATCAATTTCATGAACGCACTCTCCATATTTAAGCTTCTCCATGGACTTGCCCCTTCCTACCTCTCTTCTCTCATCCGAAGACTGGTTCTGGTATCTTGGAACCTTTGTGATGGCGCTGACCATCATTACTGTTCATTATTTATACCTTGCCTCCCATGCAGTACCTCTTGAGGAGCCAGAACAGTAAGGTATTTTTTGCAGACCAAATACAACGTTCGAAAACAATACAGTAGACACAATCTGCACAACAAACGGGAATAAACAACATTTTTAAGAACTCAACTTCGCAGGAGACCACTGTTACCGAGTGACTTCTGTCACCGCCGCATCGTCCACAGGGCATGAGTTCGGACGATGAGGGGGACGGCGATCTGTCAAGCGCCGGCTCGGAGCCGTCGGGCTGCAGCTCGCGCGACATGCCGCCCTGCCAGCGCGCGCGCCCGCCGGAGAGCGTGGCGGCGCTGCTCAGCCACTGCGCCAGCGCCGACTGGGTGGAGCGCAAGGACGGGCTGCGAGGCCTGCGTGCGCTGCTCGCCTCGCGAAGACCCCTCAGGTGACCCTCCTCACCCCCCACTCTCTCCGCCCAACAGCCCCGTGCTCGCCTTTTGTCTCACAAAGTACGGTGTGTTAACTACCTCGCCTGGTATATAGGAGGTCGTGGTTTCGATCCCGGCCCTGACACCTGCATATTTGGAGTTTGCGGTGTCCTCCGGTTTTTCCCTCCACATTTAGAAAACATTTAGAGAATTTGACTGCTGTAAATTTCCACACGATAAGCCGCTTCGTTATTATTTGCGGTCAGGTCGCTCCTCAAAAAGAGCTATATAGCTCAGTGGGCCATACCTGGTACAATGAAAAGTTTAGTTAGTATAGCCAACGAAGAGGGTTCTCTTCCGTTCCGAGAGGTTTTGTTTGGGGAAAGGTCCCACTGACAAGGTTGTAGTCGCTTTGTTATTCAACTTTAGTTACTGCACCTGGCTAACTTAATTGACGAGCGATATCACTACTGGTCCTTTACCAACCCACACTAGCCAACGTGGTGAAGTGTTGGTCAAGCTATGACCAATACAAAAAAGGGGTGAGGCCTTCTTCCAGCAGTGGCTTGACAAAGGGTTGTCTATCATTTGTCTATTTTGGTCCAGCTAGAAAGGTATCTTGTAATGAAGCCTCTGTCTGTTTGAAAATCCAGGGGTTTATTTTGGCGTGGGGATTTTTTGATGCATGGAGATTTTTTATTTTTACCAATTTTTAATTTTTTTTTTATTACAATGATTACAGGATGTGCAAAACTGACAATTTATTTTCTATACATGAACTCATTGCTTGTGCAAAGTTTCATTGGTTCGTTGATTACAATTAATTCTCACAAATTGTGTATGGCAGAATTGAGTACAGTATTTAGTGTATATTTTGTAATGTGTTTACGTAATCCCTGGAGCAGCCATTGGGGGCGCTCCATTTAACACATTGTTGAACAATATAGCCTAAATAGAAATCAAATTGTGTCCCCTGAATGGTGACAATCCATCGTGACACACATTGCATTAAATAGATAGATAGATCGTTTATTGTCATTGTCACCAGTACAACGAAATTTAAAATGCTCACCAGTCAGGGCATCATTCATAAATTTAAATTAAATAAAACAAGAAAATAAAAATTAAATTAAATGAAAGATAATCAATTTATACTATATATAAAAACAGCCCAAGTATACCCACATACCCACATAAGGTTACATTTTGTCATTGCACATCTCTATTTCACAATCAATTGTAAACACTATTACTTAATAATTAATTAGCATTATTGAGTGTGGTGATCGCTGTAGGATAAAAGCTCTGTTTGAATCTGTTTGTCCTTGTTTTGACTGATCTGAATCGTCTGCCTGATGGCATCATCATGTATTCCATGTTTTCCATGTGTGCAGCCAAGCAGAGCTTCGACGGCTGTGCGACACTTTCACCAGAATGTTTGCAGACCCACACGGCAAGGTGAGACCTCCCCAGGCTGCTGTCCTGTCTCCATGGTTTAGTGGCAGTCTTAGAAAGGAGAAGAAAGGTCGTGAAACATAAAGTAAATTATGGCTCAAATAATAAATCCCATCAAATAATAAAAATGAGGCTGCTGACCGGTCCATGCAAAATGTTGAGTTGTCTGCTTCACCAACCCCGCTGATGAAACAAGGTCAAATAACCCCTGTGACCCGGTGTTGTGTAGGGAGGCCCTTATTCATCAGTGGATTGACAAAGCGGCTATACACACACAGAGTACAGAAGACGTGGATTTCCTCCCACTGCAAAAAAAGATAATTTTGCCAGACATCCCACGCACATCTTCCAGAATAATTATACAGAAGCTGGGCAGCACTTCCCTTAATAAATAAACGTCCCTTATTACATTTCTATAGTATGTCCAAAGGCTATACATGCGTATAAACCGGCAGCACATGGTCATGAATTTGATTAACTCCTACCTCATATTAACTTGCCATTGTGTGCATGTGTGTGTCTATTTGCGGGGAGCGGTAGTGCATACTGTGATACATTTTCTCTGACCTGGATTGAATTCATGACCAGTGCTGCTCCGATTTCGACTCAGCCTTAAATGCATACCTCATATACTGTTGGCAATGTGTAAACATAATCACTGGGAATACGAAGATGTGATGCTAGCCACACTCTGTGTATTGGGGCCATCCTTTATAATTGCTTGCCGATTGAGCTTTCCCCCAAAAGTCTGTAAAAAATCTGCATAATTCGCGTACGTGTGTAAATAAAGTGGGTGTGTACCTGTGGGGAGCGGTAGTATAGTGGAAAGCGCACCAAGCTACGCACCTGGTGAACAGCATTCGATTCCCGCTCATAGCCAACATCATTGTCGAATATCTGAACCGGTCCTGGGCTTCTCTTAGGTCGACTCAGCCTTAAACGAGTATCTGGGGAGACAAAGGTGGTCGGATATGGTACTGGCCACACCATCCCGCCGTGTGCTGTGTCGGCCTTCCTATTTGCTCACCGACTGGACTTGCACAAACACCCTGTGTAGGGCACACAGGGGGGGGGGGGATATTTGTCTTTACATGCGTATCTGTTTGCGTGTTTGCAGGTGTTCTGCGTGTTCCTGGACACGCTGGTGGACTTCGTGTCGCAGTGCCACAGCGAGCTGCACCACTGGCTTTACGTACTGCTCACACAGCTGCTGTCACGTGCGTGTGCCAGCCTCCTGGGCTCCGTGCAGGCCAAAGTGCAACGAGGTCTTGACATTACCAGGTGCAGCATGAATTCACCGATGGCAAAATTGTCCCGTTTTTCACCTGGATGATTGTGTAAAATTATTTTTTTTGTAACACATTCTTCAATAATACTGCGGCACAAAAAAATATATAGCTCAATAAAACAGGCGACGTGTCAGGCAATTCCCCGTCCAAGATGTCTATTTTGTGTTTTGTTATTTGTGCTGATGCGCTTTTGCCAATGCAGTATGACATAAAAAAAACATGTTTCATGAAATAAATTGTCCTCTTTTATTGATGCTGAGATAAAGCTCCCGTCTCGTTAACCCCCGTATTGTATTGCTGGCGAGTAATGAAATAACAATGCTCAGTTGCTTTCCAGAGGTCGCCAGTTCGATCTGCCAGCACGGGCGGTTGAAACAATGGAGCAGGTCTTTATAGATCCCCGCTGCACAGCTGTCCCACCCGGCAGTATAAATGGGGGACACGACTGTTAGTCGATTGGCATGTCTTGTCTGGAGGGGTAAAGTGTGGATTCCCCCACCTCTCCAAAGACGTCTGGTCAGCGTGGATCAGTTGGCCCTATACCCTCCAGGCGAGCTCTTCAGAGCTCCCTTTTGTGGAGGGCCCTTTCGCCAACTGTGGCATGAGCAAGAAACTGCAGGGGCAGCATCATCACCACCTTTTCACCCGTTTACTGTTTTTACGTTGCAGAGATTGCTTTCCGTTCGACCAGCAATTCAACATCATCATGAAGTGCATCGTGGATCAGAGCCAAACAGCCAAGGTGAGTAAACATGTGGAATGTGAAATTCTGTGTGTGAATGTACCAACAATGTTCTCATCTATTTTAAATTAAAATTCACTACAATGCGATGTTCTTATGAAGGTAAAATATTGGATAACCTTTGGGATAGTTAAAAAAAAACATAGTAAGAGATAAGAGCTCAAATAAGCCAGCACTGTTCAATTCCTGGATAGGAATTCAGGATTTGGCTACTGTGGTTAAACTGGATTTTCAAGTATAGCGAATTGATGGCTTATGTCTGGTCAGCAACGAAGACAAGTATATATTGTGATGCTACATATGTTTTTTCTTTGAATTCAGTGTATTTCAACTCTGAAAATGATAAATGTCACTTTGATCACATTCTTTACTTTGTAAATGTATCTATCATCTGACTCCAGAACTATTTATTTCATGTCGTCTACTGGGGCCGTTTTTTGACACAAGCCAAAATTACTGCTTGCTGCAAATTCATGATGTGGCACTGGTGGTACAATTATAATTAAATTGGCATTGAAATGTAAAAACTAAAAATTAACAAAACTAACGTCCTTGTGGGTGTGTAATCACTAACACACTATGTGTTGCATGGGCCCTGGTGCCAGAAATTAAATGAGGTCCCTACAGTCCAATATCCCCCGTGTTTGTAGCCAGCGCCTGGCCTCTTCGACCTGTGGCCCACAGTGCAGCTGCACCACCTATATGCTCTATAGCTACACCACTGCGTCTCGTAGTTGTCTTATTGACCCCAGTGCAACCCGGTCTCCCTGGAGATGCTAAATGTGGAATCATTACTCCAGGGCTGTCTGGCATTTCCTGTTTTGTGCGCTGCAGATGAAGTTGGCGACGATGCGGTACCTGGAGGGGCTTGCGCGGCGCATGGACCCGGAGCACTTTGCCAACTCGAGTGAGACGCGGCACGCCGTGTCCCGCGTCATCACCTGGTCAACGGAGGCCAAGAGCTCGAGCGAGACACGGAAGGTCAGTGCTGGATTCAGGCCCCCCCCCCTGTTCCAGGAGTGTAGCGTGGTTGGCATCGGCCTTGATGCAAATAATAAATGCACCCCTCACTGTCTAATATCCACCCCCACTCTTTGTAGGCCAGTGGGCCCCGGTGCAGTTGCACTGCCTGCATGCTTAATAGCTATGCCACTACGCCATTCTATCCTGACCCCACATGACCTTGTCACCAATTATTTCAAAAAGTCTTCACAAAGATGATACTATGGACCTGTCAAGAAAGGATTTTTTTGTACAACAGTTGCTTCATCTATGTGGATCACACCGTGGTTCCCTTATTTCCTTCCTCTCCAAATAAGCGAAAGCCTTCTAAAGGAGGCATGAGATTTAGTGAGGCTAAACGATCTGTTTTTAATTAATTGGAGCAACCCAAGTGCTGAACGATATCTGAACAGCCCATTTGTCAATCACCTTATAAGTAACTGCCACGGCCTTCCCACTCTGTGGAGGTCGTGGCAGTTACTTAACCATACGTCACTTTACTGATCAGTCTGGATGGTGGAGGAGGGAAGCATAGACATTTTGGGCAGCACTGCCCTCTGCTGCCCACAATGTAGCACCGCAGCCCTATGACAACCTCAACGTGGTTCACACAAAACGCTCAACACATTCATCGATCACAGTGGCCTTAAAAAGGAAAATATAAAATAGGCGATTATTTTCACAATGGCCCTTCTTCATAGCACATAAATGTTTATCTTTGTACATGGTGGTCACCCATCCAAGCACAATCCAAGCTCAACCATGTTTGGCACATTCCAGGTGATTTGGTCATGTCTGTTATGGGGACCGCCTGCTCTTACATAAGCTGTGATGTATCACCAGAGGGCGTACAATTGCAACTTAATCGGCCGGGCCAAAGCCGTGCACTTGGGCGTTAATGGTTAACCTGTTTTGCCAACAATGGAGTTTCTATAGAATTCACAAGAGGCTTCATGCTGGCAAAACAAATAGAGCTTGCTGATAATCTTTATGAGTTTTGAACTAATTTTCTCTTATCCTTGGCTTAAAAACAGCGTTAATTTCTAAGACTTGTAATTTTTGATTATCACTAGGACAGAGTGACCTCAGTTGTTTAAACTAATTTAAGCAGGCTTTGATGATTACAGGCGAGAGCATGCAGTGGAGTGTTGATTCGCCAGCTTACCAGGTTCAAAAGGGTCCTTGAAATTAACACGCAATTGCAGCCAGCTACAAAGGCAACAAGGCCAAGATGCTTGTGACCGCGATCATGGTTGTTTAATGCGAATCCGTGCTGAGTTTGTGTTGATGCTGTCATTAAGATGAGCAGTCAAGGGTGGCGAGAAAGCTCAGAGAAAATCATCGTCGAGACTGCATTGCGTTTACAACCGCAATTTCGCAGTCTGCGTGAGCTCCACGCATACTGCTCCACAGAGGGTCTGGCTAATTTGCCCTCTCACTCTGTGAAAAAGTGCAAAACCACTACACTTGAGAACTCAGTTTGATTAATGGTGGCTGCCCAGATTGCATAACAACATCTCTAAGGGGGCCCACCTCAGTGCCCTCTGACCTCTGAGACACCCAGCCATCGCTTATACTGGCATTATACTGGTAGGAACCTCCTGGTTACACCAGCCCACGGGATTATTGTGTCCGTCCGTCCGTCGTGCAGGGAGGGGCTGGGTGGGGAGGGGAGGGTGGGGAGGGGCTGGGTGGGGATGGTGGGGCTGGGTGGGGAGGGGCTGGGTGGGGATGGTGGGGAGGGACTGGGTGGGGAGGGTGGGGCTGGGTGGGGGGCTGGGTGGGGAGGGGCTGGTTACCCCGTGGTGCCCTTATAAAACTCAACGTTTAACCTACTCACGCCGGCTTGTGCCCGTCCTCACAGTCGGGCATATTTGCGGAATACACCACGCCGTCGTTGACCCTGGCCATTGACCGAGCAACCCAACGTTCCTACCAGCTCCCTCCGCAGGAATGTGTTTAGAGACCGCACATACACATCTTGCCTATCTGTTATTTATCCTGACAAAATATACATTTTGTAGACAGAGTGGCATTCGGTGTACATAAAAACACTAAATTGATTATTTAGTTATTTAATTACCCATGCACACACGAGTTCATAAAAACAGTTGCTTTTATTGCTGGACGACATTTAATCATCTCTTGTATTTTTGACCATAACCATCGTTACTAACAAATAACCAGATCCTCACCTTCATTATGATCACTCGTAATAGCAGTACAAAGTCGCACAGTTTGAACATTCCAACAAATTCTTTTTAAAACCTTTAATACATTTTTTATTGCATGTTCCACACTTCAAGCACTTACTACCAAGCCTATTTTACCAGTGCCAGGGTGGCTTTAACACATTTTGTGTCGGAACACACGTAAAAACGCGAGGCTATCGCAACTTAATTTAAGACTGTTTAGCGAGAGTGCCCATAGTGGGCTGTAAAGATTACGGCGCCGTTTATGGGCTGCCGAGATTGTTGGCGCGTAAACCCGAGTCCCCTTCACCGTGACCTCTCCCTACAGGGCTGTCGTGAGTTCTTCGTGCTCACGCAAGCTATTGCCACCATAGCAGTCATTTGCCAAAGCATTAGACGTTATTGCAGTTAAACATTAAACTTAACACTGTGCCGCGTTTTATGAGAAGAGTACGGAGTCAGTCTTTACGTTGGGTAGCCTATTATTTCACACGTGATTTAAATATGGAGCCGGTATATTCTGATTTAGTAAGAATTTTTTATAATATGATTTGTTTGTCCAGAAAAGCATCACTGAGTGTCAAGACTGTTTTTACGCAGATCCTAGATTGAGATGTTGAGCCAATTATTTGTTTCTGTGTCGTTATGTGGAGGTGGCCAGGTGGTTCAGATGTCAGAGGGCTGAGCTGGCGCCACGCTGGCGAGGTGTTAACGACCTCGCCTGGTATAGAGGAAGTCGTGGGTTTGATTCTGACCCTGACACCTGCTGTATATTTGGAGTTTGCATGTTTTTTCTAGATTTGAAGCTTTCGTGACTGCAAGGATTCATACTCTTAGGTTCTTTTGGTAAAGTCACGTAGGTAAAAAAAAAATAATAATAAATGAAAATAACCAAATTAAATCACGACGTTTCGGAAGCAACACAAGCCTCCGTCATCAGTAATTTTACTGGAGCAGTTACACCTGATGACGAAGGCTTGTGTTGCTTCCGAAACGTCGTGATTTCATCTAGTTATTTTCATTTATTATTATTTTATTATTTTTTTACCTACGTGACTTTACCTGAAAAAACTTAAGAGTTTGCATGTTCTCCCCGTGGTCGCGTGGATTTTTCTCTGGGTCCTCCGGTTTTTCTTTCCACATTTAGAAACATGTGTTTAGAGTATTTGGCTGTTATTCATTTCCACGTGGCAAAACCACTTATTTGAGCTACATTTGTGGCCAGGTCGCTTCTGAAAAAGAGCCATATAGCTCATAAAAAACTGAGATCCTGAATTAGAATCTATGCAGCTGCAAGCATGTTGTGCGATAAAGCCAGGTTCTCAAATGTATTGAATTAATGTTCTCAACCCAGTCGCCAATGACTTAACAATACAACCATGGCATATCATTCGGTTCTGCACTTAATTTGCGTACTTTTTTCTGTGTTAGATCAGGTGAGGTCACTTGAAAGAATCGCAGATGTGGCCCTGTGATATCCACTTTTGTGGGAAATATCAAATATGAATGGTTTTTACACTATGGGGACCTCATTTGCCAGTAAAAATATGATAATTGGTTCTTTACCCTTCTATCTAACTCTGATAATGTGCACATTATCAGAGTTATGTCTTTTGTTTGTATTCATGACTGCAGGTATTGCGGTCTATGCAAACATGACTCCTTGCAAAAAGGTGTCAGTTTTGTTGCCAGATAGAAGGGTAAAGAACCAATTATCATGAATGGTTTTACTGCTCTGTAAAATATCAGAATGAATACTTAATCTCATGACATGACACCCAAAGCACAATGGGGATCGAGTTTTTGGAAAAAAAGACAATGTTTTAGTTCAGCTTCCATAATATTAAAACAATTTTTTTGGGATGGGAGGAAAACTGAAATACCCATTGAAAACCCATTTATGCAAGGGGATAACACTTAAAGGTTAAACAGCTAAAATTAACTTTCAGGGCACCTGACCCAGCCTTGAGTTGATGTGTGAAACCCACTTTTCTCATAGCTGCTTTAACAAAAAATGTCTCATGACCTTTGCATCTGGGCCTAAACTGAACTTCCCCTGCTTTAAGTAAATTGGAAAAATTGTGTGGCCTGCTCAGTGAACTGTGAATCTCATTACTGGAGGCTTTTAATTTCTGATTTTTGAAATTTTATTATTTAGGACTCCTTTGAAGCCCGTACGTGGGACACAGCCTCATAAAGCCCGTAATGGACACAGTCGGTGGTTATTTATTAGCCGTTAAGTAGCTAATGTAAGCCCAGCATGCAGCTGTGAGTTTTCGTGTAGCTCACTGAAGGCACGAAACGTTGAGTCTTGTCGACTTGTAATTGACTCAAAAGAAGCAGGAGACTCATTTTGCATATGTCTGCTGTCTGCTTTTAAAAATAATAATGATTTACACTTTTAAGTGCCTTTCACCCAGAGATCACAAGGTGTTGTGAACAGCTTACTTGGACATTTTGTGAATGTGGTAAGAACCTAGGGCCCAATTCCCATCTTAACAAAGCAGCTGAAACATAATTTGTTTGTGATTTTCTGCATTGTTGGTGATGGGGACATTGGCAGGTTTATGGGAAAATCTGGTAAGCGTAAACACACTCGTCAATATTATAATCTGATGCAATTTACATGGTTTTAATATTTTAACGTTGCCATATTTTCCTCTGAAGAAGGGCATTACCTGAAACATTACATTATCATACTTATGTAGAGTTATTAGCTAGTTTTATTTTTCGATTTAAAGCTTACGTGACTGCAGGAATTAATCTTCTTGGTTATTTCGGTAAAGTCACGTAGAAGGGAAATAATAAAATAATAAAAATAAAACAATAAAATACAATTCTCACGACGTTTCAGCCACAACGCAAGCAGCCGTCCTCAGGTGAAGAACAGGTCTGTCGGAAAGACAGCGTCTGAATGAACACCACCAAGCTTGGCAGCGTATATTTAAGCTGGGTTGGAGGAGGAAGGGCGCCTTGACAAAGGAATTTGCATATCAATATAGTTTTTATATATATCACTGTGATATAACACTTAAGTTTTTCATTTATATAGTATGAGCTTAGATTTGTTTGTTTATTTTGTGGAATGTAATATATGAACATAGATTCATTAATTAGGTGGAAGATGAATAAAAAAAACTCATGCTACGAGCCATTAGGCACTTAATAATGCAGTACTTGAAAGTAAGTAGTGGAGTTTTGCACTGATTATTTAAAAGTGGGAGAAGTTCATGAAGGTTTATGGGTGTGAGATGGAGAGATATGACAGTAAGAACACGTGCAGCTCACTTGATCACGTGTTTTTTTTTCACTCATATTTAAAGATCTATCAGAATCACTTTCCGATGTGTTGTTGGGTTGTACAGCATGTTGTTCATTTCCTTTAGAAGCTCCTACTACCTTTGAGATCCTTTTTGAAAAGCGCTATATGATTGTAATAATTTTTATGCTGAGCAATGCCGCGGTACAAAAACACACAGAGAGCTGTAAATCGTATCTACGGAAACATACACATTCGCTGTTAGAAGTGTTATGGTGCTCGGGTCATTTGGTAAAATTCATGCTTTGATAAATGTATGCATGGTTTTGAGCTATGAGAAGTGTTATGATGCTTGGGTCATTTGGTAAAATTCATGCTTTGATATATGTTTGCATGGTTTTCAGCTATTAGAAGCGTTATGATGCTTGGGTCATTTAGAAAAAAATCATACTTTGATAAATGTATGCATGGGTTTGAGCTATGAGAAGTGCTATGATGCTTGGGTCATTTGAAAAAAATTCATGCTTTGATATATGTTTGCATGGTTTTCAGCTATTAGAAGCGTTATGATGCTTGGGTCATTTAGAAAAAAAGCATGCTTTGATAAATGTATGCATGGTTTTCAGCTATGAGAAGCGTTATGATGCTTGAGTCATTTGTTAAAAATCATGCTTTGATATATGCTTATGTGGTTTAACACTGCGGGCAGAAATAAAATGGCTATAACACAGCACACTGGGTGATTTCCCCCATTGATAGTGACTGAGACATTGGGCGCGTTCTCACACACAGACACTAACTTCAGACGAACAGGAGCATTCGCCAACACGTGAATCTGCCACACGTTCGATAGTGCTCGATGGGATTTATTTGGTAAAACATCTCTCCTTGGAAAAATGTCCACCTCTACGTGGCGCACTCGTGAAGTAAGCTATTAATCAGAGGCAAGGGCAGTGGGAGGGAGGGGAGTGCTACCCTGTTATGAATGCAGTGTTAGCAGTAAATACTGCTGAATCAACGCGTAGGAGCTTGCCAAGTGCCAAGCAAATATAAATGCTGTTCCTCTCGAGTTACTTTTGTTATCACACAAGCAAATTGGACAACGAGCACTGTGGGACATACACTCCAGCTGACAGGCCAGCTGGGTTACCTGCGTAAGGAAGTCTCGATCAAGCTCGACAATTTTATATTGACAGCCCCTTTCCAATCTGCTGCTGGATGAAGGCCTCCCCACACCATGTCGGTCATGGAGTTTTTTTTGGATCATACCTCACCAAGCTGGCTCGTGCAGGTTGGTGACAAATTGGGGTGGACATCAGCAGCAGTTCAGATTTCACTTGCGAATGACGTCAGCCGTGGCCGGGAATCCTACTCAAGTTCCTGGGTTCCAGTGTGGTACAATTGTATGACTAAATAAAGCGTTATATGTCTCAAGCATCATCATCATCCTCACATAACCATTGCTTTTATTTGCTCCTACAGCTCAAAATATGAAGCACATGATGCATTTTGGAGGTCATAATTATAATCCGCAATAATAATAATAACTTGCAGCTCTTTGTCAATCATCTTTGAGAGTGTTTGGCTATCATTTGTGGCCAGGTCGCTTCTGAAAAAGTGCTATACAGTACAGCTCAGTGGGCCTTATCTGGTAAAATAAATAAATAAAATAGTTTAACTACTACATGAAGACCTCCCGATGGCAGTGTTGGTCTCATGGGGGTTGTTTGACTATACTTCACCAAGGTCAGCTCAGATATGATCGCTGGTTCTCCCTTGGCCGGGAATCGTGCTCAGGTGACTGGGTCCATAGTACAGTCTGCTATAACCACTGTGCCCCAACTCAAACCCAATATTTGTTAATCTTAACTGGTATTATTTGAAACCGTTTAAAGATTTTTTTTCTGTATTAATTAAATTCAAAATAAATACTGTGCTGGTTAATTGCATTGATACTCCTCTACACGTGCTTAGCTTGATATAAGTCAATTTGCGTTTGCAAACAAAAATTCAAAGTAATGATAGTTTAGTACGGTTGGTATTTGTGTCAATCTTAATGTGCAAGGCTATCACATGGGGGCTATGTTTCACAGATAAGGTCTGCAGTGGGTTCACAGTAGGGGGGCAATGTCACTTTGTGGAATCACAATTGAGTAATTTACAAGTTACTAGCATAAGTACCCGGCGTTGCCCGGGTGAAAAATATATTTCTTAATAACCTTACATATATACACAGATGGGCTGCTACCCCTGCCCCCCCCCCCAGGCACGATCTCCTCGGCCACTGTGCAGTAATATGTACGGCCTATAGTGTGGTGGGGTGTCGAGGCCTAGTACCGTGCAGAGCCTCCGGCCTCGCCTAGATTGCCCACCCGGCTGAGGCTGTGTACCAGGGCCGTTACCCCCCCCCCCGCGCTACAGTAATACTGTCTAATCGCTATAATTTAATAATCTACCGACCCTATAATAGTAATTGCACACATTGTGGTGGGGGGGGGAGTGAAGAGGACGTCAAACTTTGATGAATTTACCTCAGAGTCGCGTGGTGGGTGTCGAGGCCTAGTACCGTGCAGAGCCTCCGGCCTCGCCTAAATTGCCCACCCGGCTGAGGCTGGGTACGGGTGCCGTTCCCCCCCCCCCCCCCTCGCGCAACAATAATACTGTTTAATCGCTATAATTTTATTATCTACCGACCCTATAATAGTAATTGCACACATTGGGGTGGGGGGGGAGTGAAGAGGACGTGAAACTTTGATGAATTTACCTCAGTCGCGTGTTAATGCGTGCGCATATTTTTAACGGGAATTAAAAATGGCGTCCACCCCGCAGCGAATGCGTCGCTACCCGTTGCCAGGGGCAACCGCCGTCCAATGAAACTGCGTATGGTCCGGCGACACACAGACACACACACAGACAGACAGATTTGCGATTTTATATATATAGATGTTTCAAATTCTGTCGGTACACAATCGCCTACTATTTTTAAAACAATGTCACGGAATCTTTAACGTTGACTGTGAAGCAGACGTCGTGTACATTACGGTTAATACTCCTGCGGTATTAACCAGGGCAGCCTGCCGGATTTCAATATTGAACCTTCACGCAATAGCGTCTAAGGGTAATAATACAGTACGCATTCAAGGTGATTTTTACGAGGCAAAGTTTGAAGCTCGATTAGTGAGAAAAAAAAATACTTAAAAAGTTGATGTCACTGTTGTGTAACTACCGCACTAGGTCATACATCACTCTAGTTTACCTGTAAGTCACCATAATATATATTTCTCTCGTTACTAACACTCTTGTTGGGCAGCCAGAACGGCATGGCCTAAGTACAGATATGCAAGGGCTATTTTTGTGTCATTTAAAACAATACTTTGAGTAGGATTAAACACCGAGCTTCATCTTAACACCTGTTTTATTACCAGAATGGGTATAAACCCTATTCTTATATTGTGATATACTGGCAAAGGAGGTCCCACGATCATGCCTTCTCTGTGACCTAAAACCAATTCTAATATTTTCTTCAAATCATGGGAAACTCGCCAGACAGGTGCTAGTGTGACCATAGGCGGCGCGATCCTTCCTTCACGATCCGCTTGTAACGTGACATTACCATGCTGCATGTATAATGCACACAGCCTTGTTTGAGACCACCAACTGAAAATATTCTAAATTGTGGGCACATTATTTTCGACAGCAGTTGGACAATGAGACAACGGAAACCGGTTAATCATTGTCATCGGTACAGCATCGCCTGCATTGCCTCCTACTACTGCCTAGCGCCTCTACAACCTCTCCACTTGACCATCTCTGCTGAGTGGTTGTGGGTACTGTATACCTCTCAGTGTATTATCGTGGAAGTGGCTTTATGTAATTTTATATGTATAGAAACTCATCACATGAAATCACTCTTATGATAAGATTCATCCCTAAAGGTGGAACCTTAACATAGGCCTAACATCATGTTTTATTAAATTAGATAGCTAGATGGCTTTCATATAAGCCAGGTAAGAACTGGTTGACACCGAATGGCTCTTTTGCAATGGAAAATGCTTAGTAAAACAAGTGAGTTTCAACAATCATCATCATCGGCCATGATCAATCCACTGCTATCATCTCACAGCCCCGCGATTCAGCAATACATCCAGAATCTGCACGCGAGCTGATTTTCAAAAAGCAGTTCTAAAGAAATGAGTTTTCAATCTAGATTTAAAAGTGCATAGCTCCAGTGGCTTCCTAATATTGGAAGTAGAGCGTTCCGGCCGGCCATAGGAGCGCATCTGAAAGCACGCGATGCAGTGGAGATGAGATAACGCAAACGATGATACCGCGTGTCGGGGCGTGTGTGCAGGTGGCACAGGCGGTGCTCATCGCTCTCCTTGAGCTCAACACGGCCGAGTTCACCATGCTGCTCGGAGCGCTGCCCCGGACCTTCCAGGAGGGAGCAACGCGCCTCCTACACTCGCACCTGCACGCGCTGGGCGCGGTACAGCCTGCACGCCGCGACACGCGGCCCTCGCTGTGCTCACCTTGCACACTCTGTACATTTGTGCTCTGTTCAACAATAGTATTAATACAAATGACAAATTGTAACGTGCACAATTTCGCAAACGGACTAGAGTCGGATCACGACTTGGAGGTTTTGCCAAACGTCCCACTTTTGTTGGGAGAGTCCCGGTTTCAGAAAGACCATCCTGGCATCTTGAAACATTGAGATTTTGTCCAGGTTGAAATCTTCTGGCCCCATGCTGAATTCATTATATGGGCAAAGGGCAGGGTTACCTGGGAAGTGGGAGAGGTTGACAGGCGAGTAGACCGGGTCTATGAACAGTAGCCGGGACCAACGTCAGAAAGACTGAGGCCGTTCACCTTATGGGTGGTGCTCGTGTTAAAGTGGGTGTGGTTATGCAAGCTCACTACGTTTTCTGGTTGAGCCTCTCATACATCATTGGAAACTCATTTGCCAGTAAAAAATATGATAATTGGTTTTTTACCCTTCTATCTGGTAACAAAACGGACACTTTTTTTTTATAAGGAGTCATGTTTGCATAGACCACAATACCTGCAGTCATAATGCAAACAAAAAACATAACTCTGATAATGTGCACTGGCAAATGAGGTTCCAATGGTGTAAATGCTCTGATGGTACATTGTCTTTGAGTTGTGCACCTTTTGGCGTCATCTGGTCCAACCCATGTGAGACTAGGCTCTAAGGAAAGCTGTCTCGGGTGTGGACCAATCAACTTCAAGGACAGTGCACATTATCAGAGTTATGTTTTTTGTTTGCATTATGACTGCAGGTATTGTGGTCTATGCAAACATGACTCTTTGTAAAAAAAGGTGTCAGTTTTGTTGCCAGATAGAAGGGTAAAAAACCAATTATCACCTCTCATACATGTTGTAGTTTAGCCCTCTGTGCTGTGCTGGTTCTGCCTGATTAACCTCCCCATGAGGCATATCCAGCAACCAGATATCCACTGTCACATTGCACTGTGGTGTTAAGCCCCTCAAGGAAGGTGCAAAGTAAAAAAAACTGTTCTTATTTTGAACATATACCCACTCAGGCTGTGTGTATCTGCGGTTCAGGTGGATCGTTGCATCATGAGACCGTGAGACACGGCAATGGTTTGACGAGGCTTTATCATGGCTGGCGATGAGGTATGACGAGGGCCCAGGTGTCGTAGCGTTGCTTGTCATTGTGTCGCAGAGTGGAGCTGGTGGCGTGCTCACCGTGGTGAGCCTTAACCCCGCGCTGGCGTTGGCGAGCCCGACCTCATCACCCACCGTGTCCTCACATGGCACCTTCTCGCCCAGGTGAGCCCCCCCCATCGCCACCGGCACCAGCCCCCCCCCCTCCTCACAAAAAAACCCAGCCCTTCCATAGCCCCTCCCCCTGCCGCCCCCTAGCACTCTCAGAGTGCCAGGGGCTCTTTGACTGATGGCCTTAATCTAAGTTGTCTTATGGTTGTTGTTGTTGTTTGACTTGCATCCCACTGGGATTTTTGCACACAGCGTTGGTGTACGGTGTTTTTTTCTGCAATATTTTGCTGTCTTTTCTTGGATTTTCTGTTTGCACTTAGTCACATATTCACTTTAAGATGTTATTTGTTCATGTTTTTGTTTTTTGTTTGTTGCGGTTGCACCCGATTCAAGAGCCGAATGGCTCACAGGGCTATACCTAATACATGCACTTGAATTTGATGCTCAGCGGTGCAACGTTGAACATTATAATCTGAATTAATGAGAATTTATTTTCAACATCGTACTCTTGGTAGGAAAAACATTTGCTCCCTTCAAAATGTTTAGCTCTGCGTGCCAATGCTGACTCCCACCTGCCAGTACATTTCCATCCAATGTCCCTTCCAACTGCACACGAGTCCTCTTTGCTGTTGTTTCATTTTAAGTTTTAATTTCATTTGCATCTGGTACGACAGAGTGGAACGAAGTGTTATATTTTATTTGAATTTGGCACAAAGATGGGTAGTTAATTACACATTGCAGAATTTGGCATGCAGAAGTCTTAAATGGTGCAGAGATATTTGTGTATGTGTGTGTGTGCACCCCTTTTGTCAATCCACTGCTGGATGAGGGTTTTCTTCACGCCATGTGGGTCGTTGAGGTTATTTGACCATATTTCTCCACGGGGGCCAGTATGAGTGAGGGGCATAGAGATGAGTGCCCACTGGCATTCACTTCAAGGGCATTTACAGCAGTCGAGCAGAATTACACTAAAATTAAAAAATAATCTGCTTTGTGGAGTAAAACAGTGTCATCACTATTTGTTTGTAAGAAGGTGTGTACTGATTACAGATCATCAGACATTAACAACCATTTTTATCCCTGAGAAAGTAGTTCCCCCCATGGCAGCATCTCGTATGGCAAAGTGGGAACTTAACACTTTCCAGGCTCAAACCTGCTTAGCTTCTGAGATATGATCTTCATCATCATCTATTGAGATCTGATGAGTTCAGGTGCATTCTAGGTGATTATGTCATTGGCAGAGATATTTATCTGACTAATTGTTAAGTCCGGTGTCATCGATGTTGAATCATTCATTCATATAAAGTGTTTTGTCAGTGCAAGTAAGTGAGCAAGGTCATGCTTTTGCACTAACATTATGGGGTGCCATGGTGGCGATGTTTTCTTCCTCGCCTGGTATACAGGAGGTCGTGTGTTCGACCCTGACACCTGTATATTTGGACCTTTTACCCGTGGTCGGGTTGAATTTTCTCAGAGTCCTCTGTTTTTTCCCCTCCACATTCAGAAACATGCGTTTAGAGTATTTGGCTGCTATACATTTCCACATGATAAGCAACTTTGTTGAGCTATATCATTTGTGGCCAGGGTCGCTTCTGAAAAAGAGCTGATGGCTCAGTGGGCCTTACTTGGTAAAATAAAAAAAATTGTAAAAATAAAATTACACATCCGGGGTGCAAACCGAACAGAAAATGGAATACAACGTACACATAAACAACATCATCATCATCATCAGCCATGTCCATCTCCTGCTGGATGAAGGGCTTTCCAAGCCATCGCCATCCCTCCCATCACCAGCCCGCACTGACCCGCGTTGTGAAGTATGGTAAAATTACCCCCCCACCCTCCAGACTGGTACAACTCATCCATAAACAGGGTGCCTCTTGTAAATCGGTACAGGGATTCGTAAGATAGATAAAACGACAGGATACTGCTATCCAACAATCGGCCCATTCACTTGCTCAGAAAACTACCATACCTGTTTCACTTGTATCGTCTCCATCTGTCATGAGTCACAAGTGATAATCGTAATGATAGTAGCAGCAGTGTTGTCAAAACTGAGCGTTTGTAAACAACGTCGAGGTTAATGAAGATCACGCCCCTGATTGCTTCAAAAATAAACGCTCGCTCAGCAGAGATCTTTGCAGAGGGGGAGGATACTGCGGAACGGTGGTCCCGAATGATTAGAGCGCAGACATGTTCAGGCTCGGGAGATAATTTGTCACGCAGGTATTGGGCCTGCTAAACACAAAATAATGCATCTGGAGATGATTGCATCTTCCAACGGTGCCCACTTCAGTCGTTCGTTCGAAATATCTCAGACGTTCACAACATCGCCCCTGCAGCCCCAAAATGGTTCACTAACGTCGACGTCGACATCGAACGTTGTCAATGACTGTGCCGTATGAAAGAAGAAGCAATTACGTGAACTGCCTGCTATCCGTGGCCCTGTTACCTTCAATCGCTAATACCCGAGATCACGATTGATCTGGGATGAATTCCATTACCTGCTTATGTATTCTTCCTATAAATTGAAAACTCATGTTCTAGATTCAATACTAATTTCTTCAGAACAGTTTTTTGTGTTTAGTTTGTTGTCCTTCCCCCCTGCACATCGATTATCACGGTTTGCTTCGGTATAAAATAAGTTCACCATGCATACATTATCCACGTCTTGTCACAGACCAGAGGGGTGACAGACAAGTGGTGGCAAATTCATCCCGTCCTTCCTCATTTATCCATGAACAAGTGACCCAGAAGTTGCGTCCCAGGAGTGCTAAATTCATCCCCTTATCCACGGATATCCATGAATCACTCTGCAGATATCACGTGTTATTTTATTGGAGATATGCAGTTAATTGCATCCGTCAGTAGCGTGTCGACGCAGAGAAGGGAAGCTTCGATGTGTGTGGATAGAATTTTATTTATGAGGTCATGAGTAAGACGCAACATGTGTGTTTTACTCGATAAATGGTAGATAGGAGTGGAACGACACATTTATTTTTTTATGCTGATGTGTTTACATTTTCCAATGCGAGCTTTGTGTATGTTTACGAGCATCAGTGTCATGGTGGTAAAAACACAATTATTTGCTGCAGTGTTCTTACTGCAGTCTATTTTTGCCTGCATACGTGACAAAGATCCTTTGACCGTCACCCAGAATGAGCCCTATCTTGTCAGATCTCGTAAGCAAAGCAAAATTGGGCCTGGAGAGTCGTGCTTGTACAGGGGACCGAAGTGCATAACAGCTAAGTGGTGGGTAGTAAATAAAAATCCATTGCTCTACTTTATTTCTATGCTCCCCATGACTATGTTCCTTGCCTTCACCAACCCTCACTGACCAAAGTGGTGAAGTATGACCATATAATCACCTCGACCCCCACGGCGTGTGGAGACCCTCATCCAGCAGTGGATTAGAAAAGAGCTGTAAATATCCATGTATACGTAACGCAAGTGGAAATTGGCATCTCTACTTATCAAGGCTTCCGTGGGTGTATTTTAGGGCCAAAATTAGCAACATAGCCTGTATGGTGCATAAAATATCAATAAAATGCATGAAAACCCAATGAGACATGCTGGTTTCTGGCTCTTACTCCCTCTTCTGTACCTCTGGAGCTGCCACCGCATTCACTTGCAATTGCCGTGGCAAAGATTGCCACTCAAGGATTGTCCTACTAAGTCATTCTAGGCGCTGCAAAACCTGCAGCTGACCTCGTAAAGTGCAAACGAATTGTCTCTCGAGACACACAGGCCTATTGGGACTCATGTGCAGTGGAATCTTAACCCTAGCAGGTTCTTCCTGAAACCAAACCTTTAGACTCGGTAAGGCTGTCCCGGCTAAATAATTGACCTCGTTGCCTGTCTTGAAACTGCCTTAATCAGGGATTAATTTATCAACTTAGCCTGCCAATCGTCGGTCCATATTTTCTCACCCAGTGCACTACATCCATCATACCTTTAACTTTGACTGTGGCTACTCGTCACTCGCCACTTCCCCAAGTCTACCGTCGACCGAGCAAATATTTGGTGAGAAATGATACCTCTGCACTGTAATGCTGTCTGCGTGCACGTGCGCCTGTCTGTACGCGTGCGGCAGCTTGATGCCGGATCTGGAGGCGGAGTCGGCGCCACGGGAAGATGACGAGTCGGCGCTGCGCAGCGTTGCCGAAGCTGCCCGTCAGCTCAGCTACCACGTCCTTGAGCCAGCGAGCCGGCTGTCCCGCAAGGAGAGCGATGCTGTGAGAACCGCACGGCAGCCGCACTGCAAGCGCGTCGATGTCCACCCCAACCATAAGCACCACTCGCCACACGAGCACCGCAACCAGAGATTCATTTCAGCTGGGTCTGTCTGGTGGGAGACCCAGAAAATATTTCCACACTCGGCACACCACATCTAGCCTACTTCTTCAATGAGAAATGTATACTCTTTGGTTCTTTCGGTAAAGTCACGTAGGTATAAAATAAAATAAAATATTTTAATATTTTTTTAATATTAAAATATTTTATACCCACGTGACTTTACCGAAAGAAACAAAGAGTATGGATTCCTGCAGTCACGAAAGCTTCGAATCAAGAATGAGAAATGTATCCTGAATTACAATGCACACCTACCCATCAGCACCACCTTTCATTCCTGAATGAGCAAACTTCTTATAATTTGACTGTCACACTGGCATGGAATGTATTGCTCTTGCGTGCATTGTCATGGGATGGTTTGCGTCTGCTTTCATTAGTGGATGATGAACTTAAACCATAATGTTCCTGCAGCAATTTTTTTTTGGATTATAACTGTGATTTCTGCACTCAAAGGCAAACACTCTGCTCTCAAGGAAACCCAATTTCTCTTTATTGAGATGATGGTATGTTTATCGATTAATTGCCATTTTGTTATGCATTTGAAAATCAATGGGTTAGCCATCATAACAAGTTAAACACTTAGTGGTTTCCTGATAAAATATGCCCGAGTCATTGTGGTGGATATTCCTCGTTCCTATGGCAGCAGTAGGTCTGTCCATAGAACACAACTCGTTAATTTTCCACAAAGTTGTGATCCTAATTTGAAAAATCTGGAAAGGATGAACGGCTTTGGCCCCTGAATGACATTTGAACCTATCATACCTTACCGTGAGTCACACAGTCTCATCGTTCCACCACCTGCCTGAATTAATATAGAGCAGTATGGATTTCTGAATTAGTGCGGAGTGAATAACTAAAAAACCAGAACAATCTAGTGGTTGCAGTGTTCCTTGGAAAATCTCTACTGAAGTCACTACCACTGGAGTCAGCTCATGGGGATGATACATCCTGTCTCGGCTCCGTGACTCGACGAGGGATTTGGCAAGAATCCACCATAATCCAGGGCAAACATGGTTTGACCTGGCAAGCTTTTAGTTTGTGTGCATCGCGAGATTAATTGCGGCGATACACGGACACTGTTGCCAGCGAGCACAGTGGAAGAATGTCGGTTGGCGCTTATCTCCTGCGCGATGCGTTTCGCGACCGCGCGTGTGCCGTGCGCTCTTTTGGCACGCAGACGAGGAATGATGAATCGTGCGCGAGGGCGTGTCCCGATCGCCGGAACAGCACGTGCCACGCGCCTCGCGTCCCCCTCCCGGTGACATCGCGGCTTTAAGGGGTCACGCTTGAAAACCTGAGGGCTCGCATCGCGAGGTTTTAACAGTCTCCCCCGAGTAAAATTTCGATTTAAAGCTTTCGTGACTGCAGGGATTCATCTTCTTGGTTCTTTCGGTAAAGTCACGTAGAAGGGAAATAATAAAAAAAACCATAATAAAATATTATTATTATTTTTTATATAATTAAAAAAAACATATTAAAATATTATTATTTAATTATGTTTTATTTTTATTATTTTACTATTTCCCTTCTACGTGACTTTACCGAAAGAACCAAGAAGAAGTCTCCCCGAGCCTCCTCCCCTTGTGTAGAGCTCCATGCATTGGAAAATTACACCGCTTCATGCCAAATATGCGGTTGCATTCCCATTGACGCATGCATGCACGGTAATGCTCGGAGAGGTGCCACCTCGTTTGATGCTAGTTCGCTGCATTTGTGGCCTTGTTGTTCCGCCGCTGCGTGCGGCAGTGTAAATCATTGATGCCGAAGTGCAGGTTAAGCATTTACGATTCGCTCGAGCCGTGTGTCTGTGCGTGCAATTTAATTTAGTAATGTTCGTCCCATTGCAATTAAGGAACTTTTTGGTCTTGCATTAGAGGGTTTACTTTAGATTGTTTCATTATATACACCGTATTACCTCGTAGTCACCCTCCCACCCCACGCTTGGCACTTTTGTAAAATTCCAAGGAACCTTTCTGTCGTGTTACTGGGTTGGAACACATGGTGTTCCGCACGATGTCTGATTTTTTGGTCCACACTCTTCTTCAGGTGCTGAATGGAACAGCTCATGGTTCTCCTTCGAATATATAGTGTTGCCGGCTGTTTGCTGGTGTCTGGTGTAGGCTAGCTGAACGATGCCAAACAACACGCGGTACATCCTGAATATAGATCAGAGAGCTGCACAGCAGCATGACTCTGTAAACCTAAAGGAAATGCTGGCTTTAGTGCTGCTGCTGCTGCTGCTGCGTGTGTCTCACGACGCTGCGAGCGCAGGTATCTCGTGACAACGGCCTCGCCGCCTCCCTCACGGACGTGCGGGGGCCCGGCTCAGCCGATCGTGCCGACAGTCCGTCCCTCGTAGCGGCCCAGCCGAGAGCGGCACCCGTGGTGGCGGCGGCGGCTGCGGCAACTGCGAGAGGGACGGCGACGAGCGGAACCGCCGCCGCACTGCCCACGCAGGACGACGCCACCGCCAGCGCCGTCAACACCACCGCCAGCGCCGCTTCCAGTGCTACCAGCATCGCCACGGCTACGGGCACCGTGAACGGCGCGTCGCCGCGCGATCACGCGCGCACGACGTGCGCCACCGAGCCCGGTACCCGGCCGCTCGCCGACACTTAGCCACGCGATAACCATCGCCAGCGGCTAATCTCCGTGTTTTGTAATTGTGAGCGTGGCAGCACTTCCTTTTAACAAACTCCTGATTGAATGAGTCGGCCGAGAAGAGAGATCGCTGATTTCAATCAGGTCCGGCTTGTTGAAAAAATAAAAACCGCCGGGCGTTCATTGTTCAAAGCCATTCGTGGTTACCGTTCCGTAAAAATACAGTGGCAATAAAGGGCATTTGTAATTTAAAGAGGTTAACTATCGAATGTCATGTCGCCATTTTAAACAAATATAGACGTAATAAATTCAGTAGAAACTATGAGCAATGCTGTGGCTGGCATGTGACATGCAAATGAGTACATTTCCATCAAGGCTTTTTTTTTCTTCTCCTCTTGCGCAATCCCTCTACCTGGCTCCATTGCCTCCGCTCTGCTAGGCGGTGCCACGTGCCTCTATTCCTGCCCTCATAAACACAAGCCCATTGTTTGTTGTGAAAATAAGTGCCACCCACCCACCATCACCCAGCTGCCTTGTGGGGGCCCTCCTGCATAGGGGCTGAGCCCGGTGCTGGTCGGGTTTGGGGGTGAGGGGTGATGGGGGAGGGGGGTGCTGGCCATACAGCTTGCCAAACACACGTGTCAATTGGCGAGATAAAGTGGAACGCTTTTTTTTTCACGCGCTCCAGTGAGCGAGCTTACGTGCTCACTCATGGGTGCGGAGCAATATGTTTTTCAATGCCACTGACCCATTCAGGACAAAAGGGCCAGACCTGACTAAAAATATTTTCTACAGTGTTTATACTAAATATTTGTTGATGTTAAAAAGTTCAGCGCCGCTCAAAAGAACTTTGGCTTTCATGGGTCGGTAAAAAAAAATAATAACAGCATGTTATAGGGCCAATTTTAAATTTTCCAGTGGTATTTTGAGATGAAACAAGGAAGTACCGTCACCCCGAATGCCCTTGTTCACTTTCACCAGTTTTCACTTTTTGGCTTTTAGACAAGATACACAGATAATTTATGATACAGTGTGTACAGTTATATGGTTGAAACATTGAATGCGAAGCAATTTGTGGGTTTTTTTGGCGAATGGGGGCATTTGTGTGTTGAAACAGATCAAAGGCTTAAAGTCATTGTTGTCTCCTGCTTTGACCCCTTCAACACGTGGTGGCCTGTGGGCTTGTTATGTTAATGAGCAGCTACATTTCGTTGGGTTTTTTTAAGCCCTGTGAATCAGCCGAGTTTCCTTATGTGTAGCCCTCATCTAGCCTTGTGGAAATATTCTATATTTGTGGTCTTGCCTCAAGTAAATTAGAGAATTGTTTGCTAGTAATGGTGTGAAGAGTTGTATTTGTTTTTTTTGATGCATTGGTCATTCATTGTAAAATTTTCAATTATTGTGTCCCTAATACGCTGTTGGTGTGATGCGAGTAGACAAAGTATTTATTTAGATCTGCAGAGCAGTGCACAGAAGCAGTTATCCCAGAACTACCTCAGAGACGCCTTCATGTGACCTAGGCCACAGGTCATCTGAAGGTCACCCTGCTCTGCCACTGAAAGTAATGGTTGTCGCATTACAGTCAAACTCACATTTTTTTATTCTCAGGGGTGGAATTTAGCCAAACGCAGCGCAGAACGATTTTTTACGTGAACGGATTTTTGCGTGTGCGGTCATTGGTGACCGGGATGAGACCTCACCGTACTTGAGAACTCGGTATAATCATAAGCGGCTACCTGGATTTGAACCCTGGATTTCAGTGGAGGCATCTCGGCGCTCCGACCTCTAAGCCACCTCTGTATTACTCATTCTTAACAAACCACTCTTTATTTTAAAGTGAAAAAACCCCCCAAAACAACGATCGGGTTAAATGTGGGGTGGGAGGATGGGTGTTCGCTCGGTCGTAGACATGTGCGGCGTTGAGAGTTCATGAGCGAACAACCGCGCGGTCGTCCCGATCGCAGGGGACGTGGCAGACGGGAGCGCGGCGCTGCCCGACATCCTTCGGGAGTTGTCGAGCGGGGCGGAAGGTGGCGAGCGGCAAGGTGAGCGGATGCGCGCCGCACTGCAGGACCTGTGGAGGCTGGCACACGATGGCTGGCTCACTGACAGCGGGTCCACGCCACTGCTGCTGACGCTCACCGACGCCGTCGCGGACCCTGACGTGAGTGTCTCGGAGGCACGGGGTGTGGTGGGGGGGGATGTGGTGTGTGTATGGGCAGGGGGGCGGTGGGACACAAGGCGTGGGGATATGGGACACATGGATATGGAGCATAGGGATGGCACAGGGACACGGGAATTCAGGATGCAATGATGTAGGGCATGGTGATGTGGGAGATGGAGACATGGGGCATGTGGATACGGAGCATGGCAATAACGGGCATGGGGGAACGGGGTAGTCGAGGTACAGGAACTCCAGTCTTAGGATTTATTGTGTGGGCCAGAGACGATGGAGAAAGTTCCAATTTGTTCCCAAGCTTGTATGTTTGAGATGGATTTGCTTCATACCAGGAATCTGAAAAAAATATAAAGGTGCGGTGCTGTAATTTCTTGCCTACGTTATTTCCGGAAGAAGGGCCTCCACCAAAGGGAGCTCTACAGTTACCCTCAAGATGGAATTTTTGGCCTACTCTTTTATGCTGGCCAGACGTCTTGGAATACATAAGATGTGGGACTATCCACGCTTTACCCCACCACACATGACCTACCGATTGACCGTGGTGTATCCATTTAAACTGCTGGCTGGGCAAAGGTGCCAGGGGGGACGGGGGTGGGTGAAGTTGATAAATGTGCTCATCGTCATGACTGCTGCGCCAGGAGATTGAACCTGCTGCCTTTTAACCATTACACGAAGGCAGCATCCCTACAACATTAACACATTTTATGTCGGAGTGAGAATGAGAGATCCTGTGATGGGGCATCCCGTGACGCACGCGTGTGTTCTCGCCTGTCGCTCTGTGCGAGCAGCACACAGTGCGCATGCTTGCGCTGCACGTGCTGCGGGAGATGGCGCTGAACCGGCCCGAGTCCTTCGCGAGCCATGTGGAGGTCGCCGTGATCCGGACTCTGGAGGCTCACCGTGACCCCCACAAGGAGGTGAGCTCGGTCATCTCGGCCGGGAAAAATAACACAAACAAATAAACAGCATCAGCAAGTATGGTCCAACCCATGTGAGACTAGGCTCTAAGGAAAGCTGTTTTGGGTGTGGACCAATCAAATTCAAGGACAGTGCATATATTATCAGAGTTATGTTTTTTGTTTGCATTATGGCTGCACGTATTGTGGTCTATGCAAACATGACTCCTTGTAAAAAAAAGGTGTCAGTTTTGTTGCCAGATAGAAGGGTAAAAAACCAATTATCATATTTTTTACTGGCAAATGAGGTTCCAATGAAGTACGGAACACTCACGGCAGGTGGGCCCAGTGATGTAGCCAGGTTGGCGTGGGCCCTGGTGGTGCAAGGAGTGCAATGGGGGGGCCCCCTGTACAATGTTTACCTCCCATCTTCGTAGCCTGGCACCTGGGGGGCCATTCTCTCCGTGAGTCACTGATAGACATGGGCAACGCACGGACTAAAATAGAGATCCATATACTGACATAGAGACCTGCGAACTTGCAAAGAAACCAATAGGTTTCTATGCATATGGATCGCATGTGTAATATTCAATGTTTTTTTTATCCGTGCATGGCGGGGAGGGGCGGGGGAGGTGGGGTGAATGGTCACACCTAAAGTGAATACACTCGTAAACTGCAGCTTAACTTTATCTGCATCCACCGTGCAAGTTTTATTCTGAAGCTAGTTACTTAGCAGTGGTATGATACTCGGGGTCACCTCTTCAATTTCTCGTCCCAGGGCGGTCTATCATTATCCCTCGAGAGAATGAGCAGTGCTCATGACAGTATGCGGTGGTAGGGTGAGTGATGTGGGTTTATAATGGAATGAGGTTCATCAGTTCACACCTGAGTTCAATTCCTGGCTGTGGCTAATATCAGTGGCTGGATTCCTCCTTCACCGAACCGCATTGGCCAGTGTGGTGAAGTATGGTTCAACAATGCCCATGCGTAACATAGCCGTTGTAGAACTTCATACACGAATGACCAAAAAAATCACATCTCCAGAATTCCACGTGCATTTAGTCAGCAAAACCAGCATGGCGTGGAGATAGAAGTTAAACCAAACTTTAGTGTAGAAGATGAAAAGATATTGTTTATGTGGACCTATGCGAGCACGGCTTGTCCTTGTTTGCCTTAGGGAGAGAGAGAGAGCGGGCAGAGAATGTGTTTGTAAAATAACGGCAAATGTCGATAAGAACTCCGTGATGTCCTCAAGTGGCTCCTGGGGTGTAATGAGGCGATAACGGCAGCATTCAAATCGTTATCATGAGAACGCCCCAATCTTAGTCTCCAGCGATAAACCAGCACAAAGTGTTCATATGGAACCAATTTTCACAGCAAATTAAGGTGCATTAAATGCATGATACGAATTATTGTTATAAGCTAGTCATCGGCGATGTTGTATATGTCGCTCCTTTCGTGGATCGGTGGCACAGTGGTTCGTGTATCGCACTCTCAACCCGGCCACCTGAATTTTAATCCCAGCCATGGTCAACATCAGTGTCGAGTGCAACTTTAACCACTCCTCAACTCCCCCTTCGTCAATTCTTGCCTATGTCCTCTGGATAATTAAATAGGAAAGTGAAATGGTTTGGACATTAACCTCAGAATCAGAATAGTTATTTATACTGGAGGAATCCGACGAGCTATCAAGCTCTTTTTCATAAACTGTATGTCCAGTAGGGGTGGGTCAGAACGTTACAACCTCAGCCTGTGGTCGAGGCTCGTAATGGATTTCAGCCAAAGGAGGGAAAAAGCTTTAAAGGACGTCTGCGGCAGAGATGGAGAGATTAATCAGCTCATGTGCAGATGCCACGTGGAATGTTGCATCGTGAGACGGTGAGAGATGGACATGGCTTGCGGAGGCTAAAATGCAGCAGTGGCTAGAACAGGGCTGATAATGGTAATGATTTTTACGTGATAAAATTAGAAGTTTATTCTTCTTGGTTCTTTCGGTAAAGTCACGTAGAAGGGAGATAATAAAATAATTAAAATAAAACATAATAAAATAATACAATTCTCACGACGATTCGGCCACAACGCAAGCAGCCGTCCTCAGGTGAAGAACAGGTCTGTCGGAAAGAAAGTTTCGGACGCTGTCTTTCTGACAGCCCTGTTCTTCACCTGAGGACGGCTGCTTGCTTTGTGGCCGATACGTCGTGAGAATTGTATTATTTTATTATGTTTTATTTTTATTATTTTATTATCTCCCTTCTACGCGACTTTACCGAAAGAACCAAGAAGATGAATCCCTGCAGTCACGAAAGCTTTAAATCGAAAATTAGAAGTTTATTCTTCAAGAATGCCTCTACTTCACATAAAAGCAGTGCGTTTATAAACAAGCAAATTTGAACAAAAGTGAACTCGCAAAGAAGTGCAGCTGTTGACCAAGACTCATTTGTACTCAATATTTCATTCTTGTTTACTTTACTAAGCAGTTTGTGCACTGTGCAAATGCTCCTTTTGTCATGTAAGAAATGTGATAGGTTCAAATTGCTACTTGAACAGACAGTCTTATGTTTATATGTGATGGTATCTCGCGTTGTTGACATTCAGAGGAATTGAAAGATAGTCCACATTGTAATCACAAAATACTTTCACCCTTATTCTACACACACAAGTCGTCTGAAAGCGATCCCCCTTGGTATGATATCCGCAAAAGCCAAATCAAAGCATTCTGCCCAAGGGGACTTTCTGAAACTGCACAAGCATCCAAAGTTTGCATTAATTTGCACTCCGCTAATCAGCGGCTATTCACCATGATGACGATCATCATCTTCAGCCACGGTTATTCCACTGCTGGATGAGGGCCTCCCGAAGCCGCCACCATCTCCCGCGTTTCCACGATATAATATTCCACCTCGCACCTGCACCCGAGCCGATTTCATTGCTCCGTCACTATTATTTCCCATCGGCCATCATTCCTTCTAGCGACGCGTCCTGCTCAAGCCTGAGTTAAGTATTTTATCGACGTATATTTTCGAGTTCAAGCATTCCTATTTTCGTCTCAATATGATTCCAAGCATGCGTAGAAAGTGGCTCTTAATATATGAATGATTCAAATTGCAATCAAAGAAAAAGCATTCCACCGAAGCTGCAGTCCTTTTCAAGATTCTGCGTTACAGTTTGACTGCGCTTAAAATTCAGCTTGGTTCGCATTACGCGCACACCTGTGTGCACCTCAGAATGACTTAGCAATTTCACGTGTTGGAAGTGGAAAGGCATTGCAGCACACATCTATCTCTTCCTCCACCCATCCCGTCTTTTTGGAGCATACCGTGTCAGTAAAAAATGTTATCTAATCCACTTCGCCGGTACGGCATGTTCCAAAATCTAGACTTCCGCTAGTGCAGCAACACACCTGAAGTAAAATGAAAATGTTGTAAATCGGAATGGCTTTTCCCATTTAATACTACAAATTAGGGATGCGTTTTGGACAGTCATTCCAACTCTACTCCTAGCCTAAAAATATACATCTATATAACGTCTCACAATCCAAAAATAATAAAGAATGTAAATGTTTAAACGATGAAATGATGATTAATTTTAAACGAAAACTATTAACCTTTTCAGGGAACTCACCAACAGATCTGGTGCATGTTGAAATGACTAGAAAGGTGATGCGGAGGCATTGCTGTTGCACTGTGGGGACACCGTGACACAGTCGCGGTTGGATCACGCAGCCTCCCGGGGGCTCCATCCTTGATTTCGTTAACGCGCAAATTCGATTTCTTTACTCAAAAAGTGCACATAATATGTCAATTGCGTGAACTTGAAATATAGTAATTTGAACGTTGGTAAATCGAGGCCAGAGCACCTACAACCACCATTCGCCTCTAAGTGGCGGTGACGTCACCACGACGTTCGTGCCAGGCTATGTGCACCTTGAGGCCACGTGAAGTGTCGAATGCCCGCTGGCAGGAGGTCACGGGGCAGACCCAGGTGCCACGGGTCGACTGACTGAGATGACTGGCCAATCCACCACCTGTGCCCCCTACTGTGCCAACTTGCTGTGCTTTAGCCACCCGGCGCTCCACTCGTTGTTGTGAGCGTCGCTGCTCCCCCCTCCGTTGTTGTTGGATGGTGACTGCCTCTAACTGCCCAGTAGCAGCGTATTTCAGGAACCTCCTCCACTGAGGCCGATCTTGACACTGCTGGTACCAGTCATTGGCAAGTCCACTCAGCTCCACATCCTCCTGTACCACATCACTCCATCTCTTCTCTAGCCCGTGCTGTGCCCATTTAGCCCCCTTGATCCGGTCGAACAAAAGCTGTTTAGGCATGCGGTGGCTGGACATGGGGGCTACATGACCCAGCCAACGCAGCCTTGCCTGCCGGAGGAGCTCACTGATGGGACTTTGTCCAGATCTTTCAGAGATTTGTGAGCTCCTCACACAATCCAGCCTGGTTACACCCAGCATGGATCGCAGACAGGCCAGCCAAAATGTTTCTAACCAGCAAAGATGTTCCATTAGGGGGGTCCACGTTTCGCAAGCATAGAGAAGGGAGGGAATGACTGTGGCCGAGAAGACCTGAAGCTTCATACAGACCAGGTAGCTTCCACACAGCGTTATGCAACCGATGAAAAGATAATGCCGCTCGACTGATTCAGATTGAGACCTCTGCTATTAAACCGGAGCTGGTAATGAGCACACTGCCCAGGTATGGGAAACTCTCCACAATCTAGCAGCCTCCTGCCGTTGTTATTGAGGTGATCTGGCCCATGCCTTCCAATCACTCCAGACCAGGTGCCAGCATCATGACCAACTCGGGCATTGAAGTCACACAACAATATGACTCTATCCCGAGGGGCCACCTTAGCTAGCACCTGTGACAGGAGGTCATAGAAGGCACATGACTCATCAGCCTTGCTTGCATCCCTCCACGGATGTTCGTCTTCGGTTGGGGCATAAGTAACCACGACCACCACTCCTCGTCTCTGGTTGATGGAAAGGCGAGCCCAAAGTAGCCTGGGGCTTATA